AGAAACCCCGCGCAAGACTAAAAGGATACCGGCACTAAAAAGATATTTAGGAGGGGCCAAAAGAGCAACGAAGAAAAAGAAAAGAAAACGAAAAAAAGAATACGCGCCACCCACAAACGCGGACCAGAGACGAAAGCGCCCACGCTTTCGCTTTCGAACAGCAGTTTAAAAAAAAGTAAATAAAAAGCCAAAAAAACGGAAACAACAAAATCAGAAAAAAAGACGACGGAGGGGCAGGGCAGCTGTTTCGGCGGCCCCGAAACAACAGAGGTGGGGTATCGTGTTTTGTTTGTGTTCTGCGTGCGTGCGTGCATGCGTAAATGATTAAGTGTGTTTTACAAGTAGTGATGTTTGAGTAGATGGGGGGGGTAATAGTATACTGTAGGTAGGTAGACGTGCCGGGATCCCTACCCCTCACCCCTCACTACAAACGCCCCTTCTCTCCTCTCGGAAGAGAAAAGAGGGGGGAACGCAGCCAGGGGCAAGGGGCGCGGACGAGGAAAGGCGCGCGGGCGCAGACAGCAAGTTGGTGGGTGCGGGGCGGCGGGCCCTCCGTTGTCGTCGTCGTCGTCGTGTGCGTCGTGTGCGTGCTGCGTCTCGGTCGCGTCGCAGACGAAGGCGTGTTATGGCGATGCGGCTCTTAAACGGTGGGTGCGGTGTGGGGCGTGCGTGAACGGTCGTCGCGGGCGTGTGGGGTGGAGCGAGCGAGCGAGCGAACGAACGAACGAGCGGGGCGCGCGCCGCCGCCGCCGTCGTCGTCCTTCGTCGCATCACTGGGTCTTGGATCGCCCGGCGAAGCACGCGGCGAATAAGCTCGCGATTGAGAATCGGAAGGCTGCAGTTGACACGGCCAAAAATCAACATATGTCCATGTGTAAAAAACGAAAAGAGTGCCTTAGTCGACTACGCTCTCACCAGCCTGCTCGCCCTTGCCCGCTTTCTGCTTTGATGTATCCACCGTCTCCTCCGCTGCCTTGTCCTGGCCTTCGGTGACCTCGGCCTTCTCGGTTTGCTGCTGCTGCTGTTGTTGCTCCTCCGCTGCTGGCGTGGGTGATGGCTCGGCGGCCTTGGCGGCTTCCTTCTCCGCGTCTTTGTTCTCCTCCGCAGCCGGTGCGGGCTTGACGGACTCGGCGTCCTCCTCCGAGACGGCTGGAGTGTTGGCGGACTTGGCGGAGTCGTCCTTCTCCTTAGCCGGGGCGGCATCAGCCGTACCAGATGCCGAGACGGACTGGCCGGGGCCTTCCTCCTTTTCCTTATCTTCCGGTATGGTGCTAGCTTCCTCGACAGCCTTGATCTCTTCGTCCTCGGCCGCCGAGATGGAGGAGCCACGGTGGGAACTGGTCGACTTCGTACCGGCTGCGGGGACTTCGTGGAAGATTGCCTTGGGGGCCGATTCGCTGGAGGAACGAGGGGCGCTGGTGCTGGTCCTGTCGACGAGGGTAGTGCTGAGATGTCGATTAGTCGAAATGCCAGAGATGTCGTGCGATGTTATCTTACTCCGCGTCCGGAGTGGACTTGGACTGCGTGGTCTTCGTGGAAGCGATCGAAGGTGCCTTCTTCTTCTCCGACGCAATCGATGCGATTTCACTGCTGGCGCGGGCCATGGCTAACTGCGCCTCCTCGGACAGCGCAGGAATGTTTTCCTTGGTCGAGTCCGTCTTCTTGGATGCCACGGAGGATCCCGAGGAAGCGACGGGCGCGGAAGCCTTGGGGTCACCATACGGGGACTTGAAGTCTGCGTTCTGTGGGGCGGTCACGATGGAGGTATTGACGGTGGCCACTTCCCCGATTTCGTCATGGAGCTCGCCGAATTCATTCCATTCTTCGACTTCCGTGATGCCCTACAATGAACGCAGTCAGCCTTGAGTCCTTTATCCATTGTCCCGCCAGCCATTGTCCTGTGCTCCAACCAAGGTATGCGCGCTCAGACATTCCCTCTCTTGCGCGGAATAAGACTTACGCCGAGGACGTAACCCTCCTTCACCAGCAATGGGAACTTCTTGCCGCCGGCTCTACGACTGTACAACTTCCTGGCCTCTTCATTTGTCGCAGTGTCAATGTAGGTGAAGGGAATTCGGTTCGCTCTGAGGATTGTTTCGATGCGCGAGGTGGCGGTGACGACATGGGTGGAGCCGGCTGTCAGAGAGGTGAAGAGATAGAGGGTGTTGTCACTATCCCACTTGCTGAGGTCCGTCATGATGGGCTATTGGAGTTCGGAATGCGGCGGTAGGTGCTAAGTTGCGGGGTGGCGACGCCGTGGCGGAGAGTGGATCAGGGATGGAAAATGAGAGATGGGTAGGGCACAGACAAGCGTGGGACAATGAGCGAATGGGTGAAGGGAGAGTGAAAGGAGAGCGAGAAGGTTGGAGGCAACACAAAGTCGGACCTCGAGCTCCAAGGGAGGTTATCGCGATAGGACGTCCTAGCTTGACAGGGGTCCCCTTTCCAGCAAGACGGTAGCATGATTCTCGCCCTTGTCGGCTTTGCTGCACGCCTCATTCCAGCAGTTTGGCCCGCAGTCATCTCCGCGCAATTAACCGTCGCCGAATGCGTGGCCCCGGAAGTAGGGATTGGGAAATCCTCCTGTTGGCCTGACGTCCTCGCAATGCTCGTATGTGGCGCAATGCCACCCATGCACAAGCCCTCCATGCCATCATGCCGGTTGGAAGAAGGGTCTGCAGCTTGACACAAGGATATCCCCCCTCGACTCTTCTGAAAAGTGCTTGCACTTTGCACTCATCTACTATTAGGGATATTTATGGCGCCATTACATGTTGGCCAACGTCGTGTGCTCATGCTTTCCAATTTCCACCATCCAAGGCTTCGCAAAAAAAACCTCCATTACGCCTTCGCGGGCGGTGCAGTGCCGCCCTTGACCCACGCCCACTCCGGACCTTCTCTGCTCAGTACCTCCTGCGCACCTCTCTTAATGCCCTCCTCCAGGCTAACAATAGGGCGGTAACCGAGCCTCCTCTTCGCTTTGTCAATGTTGTAGTACCTTCTGACGCAGCTGTACCTGACCTGGTCTCTCGTGATGTTGGGCTTGCGGCCAATGAGCCAACACGCCCACTCAAGTATGGCACCAACGGGCATCATGACATCGCGGGGCAGGACCCAGACGTTCTCAACGGGCATGGTATCGCCGGCCTCGCGCCAGAGGGCACGGGCAAAGTCCCAGAAATGCACGGGCTGGTCGTTCGTGACGAAGAAGGCCTCGCCATCGACGCGCTCCGTGTCGAGCGGAACGGTGGGGTACATGCGCGCGGTATGCAGCAGCGCCGCGGCTGCCAGCAGATGCGCGTGTGCCACGTTGCCCACGTACGTGAAGTCGAACAGATTTGTATTGTCGCCCAGCTGGAAGCGGTGTTGCCCGCGGAAGTAGGCGCCCAACATGGGCGGCATCAGCTGCACGTCGCCTTCGCCGAAGATACCCGCCGGTCGGATCGAGCAGGTCAGGAATTGAGGGTTCAATGGCGTGCGGTTGGCATCGAGGACGGCGGTTTCACCCCATGCCTGAAGATTGTTAGACACATGTACAAAGATATTGTTTATTGTTGAAACGGCGAGTCCCAGTATCGTGCCATTGGGTGCCACAAGTCCATGTAACACCATCGACGGGGTTTAAGCCTACCTTTGTTGAGGTGTAGTAGCTCGGCTGCTCCTTGCCTGCTATAATGGGGTACGTTTCATCCGCGTTCACCAGCTCATTTATATTGTCGAAGATGACGCTGGCACTGCTCGTGTACACGAATGCCTTGACACCGCTCTCCCTTGCCGCCTTAAGCAGTATGCGCGTGCCCTCAACGTTGACTTTGAACATCAGGTCATTGCTGATGCCGACCGCGACGGGGCTGGCCGTGTGGATGACGACGTCGGCCTTGAGCTCGCCAAAGAGCTTGAGCATGGACTCCTCGTTCGTGATGTCGCCGTCATGGTACGAGACGTTGGGCGAGGCGTTGCGGTTCTTCGTCGTGCGGAGGTCGAGCACTGAGATGCGCGATTCCGGGAATCGTTCGACGATCAGGTTGACGATGTGGTGACCCAGGAAACCGCAGCCGCCGGTGACCACAACGTGGCCGAGAGACTTTTGCGGTGTCGACATTTTTCAATTCGGATGTTGAAGAAACCTGGGGTGCGGTGTGTAGGTAACGGTACAAATGCGCGTGTCTCACTCTAGCCCGTCTGTCCGCCGCTCGAGCTTAGACCCTGGTACCCTGGACCCCCAGGCCCCATCTCAGAGACGCGGTCATGAAACTAACACAAGTTCCTTGTGTATTCGAATGACTATTTTTGTAGTCTATTTACGTGTTTCCCAATGGTAGTTGAACTGTATTTTGTTAATACTTTATTGAATCTTTATCCGGCCGACGTTTAGCGTGTGCTGTAGGTCTGAACATGTCTGGCACCACGCGCTACGAGTGATCATGTCCAGATCGCTCCTATTTCGCGTAGCGCCGCAACGATCGCCGGACGCTGGGTTGGAGTAATGTGCGCTCGCGCCGATTGCTTCGAATCCTTCAAGGCCGACACCATACGCATATCCATGCTTTTCATTGCTATCTACGTCCAAGTCTGCTTGTTGTGCTGCCAATGCAAATTTTATGGAACTGAAAAAAGAAGAGAGTGAAGTAAAAAGTGCAAAATCCAGAGCAATACCGCCGTAGCGGCAGCAAACATCTCAGTGTACCTCCATCCCCACACGGACCTGAACTCCAAAGCTAAAGTCAAAACTTGCTTTTCAACCCTCGAATCAAATAATCAATCGGTTTTACTTGATTTCCTCAGCGAACCAGAACGGTTCGTCTGGTGGTCTTGTCTTCGCCGGGTTCCCATGAAAGAACTCGCAGACGAACTTGAGAAATTCTTTACCTCTGAAGACAGTGATAATGTCGCCAGTATACAGTGTGCCAAACAAGACTTTGCCATTCGATGAGTTTTTGGCCAACTTTGTGTCGTTTACCCAGATTCCATTGCTCGCACCAGTATTGATGAAGACTTTTAGATCGTCTAACTTCGTCCAATCTTTCAACTTCGTCCAGCCTTTCTCCGAATCAGGCACTTTGGAGTGGTACCACAACGTAAAGGCCATTTTCGGAACGCGGGTATCCGCAGGGTGTTTGTACACAATTGTGTTTTCAAGGTTTCGGCCCCACGAAGTTGTGCGCTCCTCGAGATGCAGGACAAGTGGCAAAATGGAGCCTTCGACGCTTGTAAGTTTGCCGAGACGCGGACGCGGAGGTGGGCATATTGGAACGTTAGAAGGTGCGGTCACCAGAGCCCCAGATACACAATCCTTGGTCTCGTTGGCGGTTGTGAAGCTGGCAGCGTTCTCTTCACTATTTTTCTCATATTTGATAAGTTTCTTCTCTTCGCCATCTTCTTCGTCTTTGATAGGGATATCTTCGCCGCCCTTACTGTCTTCATTGTCGTCATCTTCATATCCTCCGTGAGTCGTATCGGGCATAGAGACTCTGGTCGCGAAGCCATTAGCTTCAGATGTAGCTTCAGTAGTTGGATCATAGGCTTCGGTTTCGATATCATTAGGTCTATATGAACCCCAAAAGGAGAATGTTGTGAAAGGCAAGGTGATCTGGCGATTAAAACGGGTCTCAGGAGCTTTGGGCGTAGCTTCTTCCGGGTGATCATGCGTGTCCTCGGCAAATTCATCCTGTTCCACCACAGGCTCTTGACCCGCTGATGTATCTGGAAGGGGACAGTGTTGGGATCCAAGAAACTCTGGAGTTCTGGGTTCGTTCGAAATTTCCTCGGGCGAATTGGGAGACGATGGCGAATGCATGGTCAAGTCGCGGACCATTGATTCGGCACCACATAGGCTTTCGGCTGCCATATTACCTCGGTGGTCGAGCTTTGGTGTGCATTGGCTATCACTGGAAATTCTCTTAGCCGATCTGTTGGCTTGATTGACTTTCTTGGGCGTCTCGGGGCCACTTGATGACATCGATTCGTCGAGCACCAAGATGGCCCGGTTTATTCGTTCACCGAGGACGCCCGGATTTTCAAGTGCAGATTGCCCTACCTCGCCGAAGAGGTGCCTGCCTGGAGCAGATCGTGGAACGCGAAAGGTGTCATTCACGTTCCGAAACCGGGTCGGAAGTTGCTGAGACGGGTCGGGGCTGGAGTCTGATTCTGGCGGTTCTCGAAACTGATTTCGTGGAAAGCGGTCGTCACGTTTGATGCGTTTAGATTGGTGGGCAGTAGGAACTTCCCATGAATCATCCGGCTCGACGTCCGCTTCTTCGTCTTCGTCTTCGTCTTCCTCGTCGTCACTCTCCTCAGGAGGGCCATAACCGGCTTTTATGTCATTGAGGCTCAGCTGAGAGAGCTTGTCCTCAGTCTCGGCCTGTTCATCCTCCTCTGCTTCTTCAGGAATGGCGTGCAGGCTTTTCTGTGGTACCAATCCCGGTATCAATTCCTCGGCGAGGCTTGATAACCAAGGATGTCTGAGACAATCATGCTCGGTTGGCCTCGATGCTGGATCGCGATTGAGCATCGCCATTAAGAGATCGATGCCTGCGTCGGACACGCCGGCCAGGGTAAGCGGGGTGGGGTCCAAAAGTGTGTCCATGATTTTGTGGAACATTCCCTTTCCAGTGTTGTCCATAACCCCTTCGAAAGGCGGTTTTCCACATAAAGAATACCACAGAACAGCACCAAATGACCAGATATCCACCGATTGACTGTAAGAATGGTACTTCTTTCCACTCTCATGCCGGCGACGCTTGGTTCCTCTTTCGTAATTATCATAGTGTGGGAAGACTTCAGGAGCACAATACAGAAGTGTTCCGCAGAACGTTTTGAGGAAGGTTTCGTTATTGCTGACGACTTTCGACAGGCCAAAGTCGGACAGCTTGACGTTCAAGGGTTGTTCCGACGCGATGAGTATGTTGTCAGGCTTGATATCCCTGTGAGTGATCTGCTTGCTGTGCAGGTAGGCCAAAGAGCTTAGGATTTGGCAGGCCATCCGCCTCGCTGAGTATTCGTCGAGGTTGCCGTGGTCGAGTAATTTCGACAGATCTCCGAAAGGAACATACTCCATGATGATGTAGAGATAGTTACCCTGATCTCGATAGTCGATATATTGAACGATGTGCGGGTGCGATAGATCTTTCATAATCTTCATTTCATTGTCGAGTTTTTGGTCCATCTTGCCGTTCTTGATAAAACGCTTCTTCTCGAGCTCTTTTGCTGCGAGTAGCCTTCCGTCCATTGCGGTAGCGAGCTTGTAGACGGTGGCGAATGCTCCTTTACCAAGTTGGTCAACGACGTTGTAGTCAGGTTTGCCGTTCCAATGCATGCCGTGGGTGTAGTGAGCTCTGAAGGCAGCCCGACGGCTGTTGGGCGCAGGATGCTGACCCGGAATGACAGGAAGGGCCATCTCCGGCTGGGTGTTTTGTCGTCGCACCTCCTCTCGAAACCTTCTGTCGATTTCCTCCATCCTCTCCAAGTATTCAGTGAGCCTAGTATCATGCTCAACTTCAAAGCCTTCTCTTGACGGGATGCGGACGATGAATTTGATAACTTCTTGGGGGTTGGGCGACAAGATATGTATAATTGTACTCTGCTGGAGCATTCTTGTCTTCTCCGCGTTGCGTTCGCGCGTCTTGGCCTTCAACAATTTTTCGTCGACCATGGTCCCGTTCGTGGACATGTCTTCTAACATGATGATACCAGCATCATTGACAAATATTCGAAAATGTACGTTGCTGACACGCCTGGAAGAGTCTTCGCCAACCTGCATGGTGATGTCTGACATCGCAGCATTACGCCCGAAGCAGAATTGGTAATGAGGCCTTTTGACCACAGATGAGTATCTCAAAGCAAGTTCTTGTGCTTCTCCAGACTCGTTTAGGATGAATGTTTCCGTCTCTTCAGGGTTTCCCTCGGGTGATGGTCCTCTGCTTCTCTGGAGCACATGTTGGGGAGCGTGCCTTGCGGTGTGAGCGACGATTCGAAATGCAGCGGGCGATGTTGGATGAAGGATACAGATGACATCAGTGATGTCTGCCTCGTCCAGACCGGAGTCATTCCTGCCAAGGCGACGCGGGTCGAGGACTTGTTGCGTCATGGGCTGCGTGAGTTCTTCCTCCATGACGATTGAAGTTGTTTTCTGCATAGCCTTGCATATTAGGTTCAGGAAGATCTAGCCAGTGAAGGATTTGAAGGGGATTTAGATCAAAGGAGCTCGTGTGAACAGTACTTCCAAGAGTGTGAAGTGCCAGACGGAAGAAGCAGACCAAGACGTACCGTAAATTCACTGCTTAAGAAACTAGGCAGCAAATGCGCTGGGAAGAAAAGGGATTGGTAACTCTAAGAGGTCAGGACTGCGCAATTATCAGTTTCTATTGCCTCTCTAGACGCCTCGTTGGAGGCTGTCAAAAAGATATACCGAGAAAGGTTGGAATGCGCGAAATGACTACAATGCTTTATTGTTGCGTAGAGGCGAGACGTATGACGGGTCGTATTTATTCCTCAATCAGTTATGGCGACTGGTAGGACGGCGAGGTTGTTGGAGACGAGCGAAGCCCTAAACGTAGCGGGCGGGACTCAAAACAAACAGTCCTAGAGTCCTCGTCTCCAGTCCTTCAACCACCAAAAGGCCCAGCCCTATGTGTATATAATGTCCTCGTGCGAGGTGAAGAGCGAGGTTACGCGACAGGATCTAGACAGGCAGCAAAAGCAGCGCGGTTGCTAGGCGGACATTTGCCTAGCGTCGACAACGCGGTTGCGCGGTTGCTGTCGCGTCCAATGCCTACGGACGGAGCGGGTGGCGTGTATGCGACGGCGATTTGCGCGGAGCGACAGCTTGCTTCGTGAGTCGAGGGTGTTCGAGCGGGGTGTGAAGAAGGGTGTGGTAAGTCTCTGGTGGTGGTACGCACGTCCAATGGAGACTGGTGTCACCACGCGACGCCCTCAACTCTGCGAAGGTTAACGGCGCGGTTCAAGGCCAGAGCACGGTTCGCTCATTTAAGTCGTAGATCCCGGTCGCTGCCCGGGCCTCGGAAATCCCCCATTGGCGTTCCCCACAAGGCTCTGACGGCATATTCGACCACCACGCGCGCGTGAAACCTGCAACCGGACGACTCGAGACCCGTCGCCTCGATGCCTTCCAGGCTGCAACACCGCGTCTTTGGTCTTTGGGTATTGGCTGTCGTCGCCTTGCCATTCTCGATCCGACGAACCCCACGCCCAAGCCTACAGCTGCTTGGCTGCCGTCGACGTGACTGTATTCGTAAACGCGAATCACCAAACGCGCGTTTTTTTCTCCGCGACGCAGTTGCCTCCTTGCGCCCGTATCGCCCGGGAAGGCCTGACTAGCGGCCGAATGCTTCGTACATCACTGCCGCTTCCCGCATCAGCCTCAACGCAGCTGGCCGTTTTCGTACTTATAATCATGTGATACGAGCCTCAATCTACGATAGATACTTTCTCATGCATTCTATTCAATAGATCATTACGGATTGTTTACTTTTTATATCGGCCTGGTCAAGATTGTTCCGGCGCCGTTGCCTCTGAGACAGAAGTTTGCAGGCGCAGAGTCTGGCTTTGACGTCTTAAAAATGACGATCAACTGTGAATTGCGATTCTCTGGTTTGTTGTCCAGTGCCTAGGGAAGAGCAAAGTTACATTGGATTCTCAAGCCAGAATCAAGCTTAGCCAAGCAACTGAGGCTTTTTTCTCTCAAATAATTGCAAGCCAGAATGTGTGACGGTACTCTTTCCATTCGAGGCAAAGTATTGGCTTAATCCCGGTATGTGCAATCTCCAATGCCATGCGTTCGATCCATGCTGGTGTTTCAGAGCTGCATCTGTGTAACAATCCGTGTGGAACCAAATGCAAATCCGTGTGGAACAGGAGCGCGTAGCAAGACGTTCGATCATTTGGCAATGGAGCTAGTCGAATACAGTAATTCAAGCGGTGATGCGTGCTTCGTGAATTTGGTATTTGGCTGCGAGTTTAGGCTCTAGGTCCGGGCGAGAAGTGAGTTATAGTTAGTACTAAAACTTAGAGATATGAACGTAGCTGTAGTAATTTTATATGCTTGAATCTGGCCGATTAAATGCCTTTGCTTCTACTATTATGTGGTACTACGTTCGGAGAGTTAGGTGTTGTAATTCACATAACCTTGTAAGCTATATACAGTGCGGCGTCACGGGTCGCTGGCAGGGTCCTTCCTCAACACATTCTACGACCGAGCACAACGCAATAACCTCTCACATTCAACAACGCACGCTGCAGCCAGTCACTCAATTCAACCTGCAATCAACAGCCTGATCAATTCTCATCAAAATCTCGTCTGGTATCCCTTCGCCTCGTACACAGCCTGCTACCGGTCCCTCATAGAGCGAGCCAGCTTCTTCAGACTTACGTTGTCAAGCCGGTCCCACGCTTTCGGAAGCCACTCAGCCAGCTCAGCTTCAATCACGTCCTGGCCACCTTTCATGTGTTCCAAGTCGGGTCGCAGCTAAAAGAGTCGCTCTTTTAGCGGAAACCAGAGGTGTTCCTGAGGGTTGAGATCCGGCGAGTACGGTAGCAGCTCGAACAGCCGAATAGCGTAGTCAACAAACTACTACTTCGTCAGATTCGCCGTATGCAGCGACGAATTATCATGCACGAATCTCATGTCTAGATCCAGCGACCTCTCAAGCATCTTGTCTAGCACGTCGCAGTAACTTTTCGCTATAACTCCGTTCTTCTTAGACTCGGGATCTCTCTCCATATGGATGTAATTAGTCAGACCGTACCGGACTAAAAAGCCAGCCCACATCATGCAGCGAGGATGTTTTCCTAGTGGTTTCGAGTAGACATTCTATCTCCGGTACTTTTCTTTCCCAGGTTTTCTAAAAACCCACTGCGGTCTCTTTCTAGAACCTTGTTCAACATAATACTCGTCTGCAAAGACAAATTTATCCTAATACTTTCTCTTTTTTTTTCCGGTATTTCTTTGCCATTTTATACCGTAACTTAGCAATATCTTTAGAAATAAAAGGCCTTTTCTTAGCTCTCCACTTTATTATATTATGTTCTTTTAAAACCCTATAAATAGTACTTACTACAACCTAGTTGTAGGTCTCATATTACTTTTTTATAAGAGTATTTAGGGTATTTATTAATATAACGTATTATTCTCCGCTGAATATAAATATTCAGCTTCTTTTTAGGTCCTGGCCTTGGCTCTGGATTAAAGCGTTATGTTTTTAAAAAGCGTTGAATAGTAAGTCCCACTGTGCTTCTTGGGACACCGGTAGATCTCGAGATTTCAGCTTAGCTGGTGCCGGCTGCGTTGCTGGAAACAATCTAAACTCGCTGGTCATAAGAAAGATTTTTGCCCGGAGGCGAATTTCCTGCAAGAAACTCTGCAAAAAGAGTCTCCATTGTGGGTTATGAGGAGAAAGAGAAAGCGGGGTTGAGAGAGAATTTTTGTTGGCGTTGGACCCTGCCAGCGACCCGTGACGCCGCACTGTATCTAATTATTAATGCAAGCTATAGATCTGTCTAAGAAGCAATCTACAGTGAGCGCTTTGTCCGCTTAAAGGACTATATAAAAAGATATAGAGCACGTTTGAGATTCTGAATTGCTAGATACATTTTCGCTTCAACAAAACATAGTTCACCGCAAAGATACGGATAGTATTATAATGTTTAACTTACATACTTTTAAATTTGGAGGAACTTGATACACTTTCGCTTCCAATAAACAAACATTCACCGTGGTGGAACAAATAATCATAACTACTCCTGCGACTACAGTACTCGTATGGATGCTTATCAAAACAATCATATCTATGGCAAGCGTCGGATATGAAGGGGTGCAAAGTTCTTTAAGCCTTTGGAAACCATGACCTTATCGAGATGCTACAGATGAATACTCTTATCACACAAAAGAGGTTTCCAGTCTTATATGAAGCTATTCATAGGGATGACAACACGTACTATATATCCTGATAACAAAGGCTGCTACCACAGAGCAAAGAAAAAAAGTATACGGGTAGGAAAGATGGTCACTCAACTTCAGTAAATGTTTAGCAGTAGCTACTGCCTTCACCCATATTGTCACTTGTGCCGCACCCTCAACACACCCTGAAGCTCATGATAATTGTCAGTAGTGAAGTCTAATGAAGACATGCCGCAATTTCTCTCGCCTCGCAGGTTCATAGATATCGATTCCCTGCGAGACGATCAATATTCCTCCATCACTCCAATGTTTGCCAGCACCTTGCCAGTACAACTCCGCCTAAAGTGTTTGTCCCAAGCTACTAACTTCAAGTCCATATGCGCCATCCATGCTTCAATTATCATACAGCACATCCCATGGCCGTATCAAGCAGTGCCGCTTTTCCGATGCTTCAAATCTACGAGTTGGCGTCGATCTCAGACCAGACCTTCTGAATATGCTCGCGCTTGACCTTGGCCTGTTCACGGTTCGCCTTTGTCCGCTCGAGGCGCTGGGCACGAAGGCACATGTTGACCGCGTGCTTGGGCTTGTTGCAGCCTCCAATACAACGGTAGAGGAACCCGCGAGCGTGGCATTCGTCGAGGGCGTTCATGACTTCCTCGCAGGCTACGTAGAGTCAGTCTGGCGGTTCGGAAGTGGCGGGAAACGAGCACGCGCAGCGCAGACGTACCCAGGTTGTCCTTGGTGTGCAAGTGAGGATGCATTTTTACTGTTTGACTCTTGAGTTCTAAGCGTGTTCGAGCGTAGGGTCTTATTAAGGCGGAGGTTGTCGGTGGAGGGGTTGACGGCAAGTGGACAGTTGCGACGATCGTCCGCCGCGGCTTTCGCTTGCCCGCCATCACCGCGACGCGCCTGCACTTTACCTCCCCGCGGACATCCAGGATTGCTACGCATCTACCTTAGCAACCATGTCTCAGCCGCAGGTAAACCCGAAAAAGCAGCAAGGTGGGCAGTCAATCACATTCTCTACGTGAGCCGTGCTAACTCCTGACGCAGAGCTGCAAGTTCAGTACTCCACCTACAAGAACATCCTGCAACAGCTTGCGCAAAAGATCGGTGACGTCGAGCAAGAAACGGAGGAGCACAAGTACGAACCCTTTTCTGCAGTCTTATCCACCAGCGTCACGATCTCGCACCCCCCGAATACGAATCTGACCAGCCCTTGTTGCTGACCGCTTCACGAACTCTTTGCCCCGAAAGCTTATGCGAGGGTGTGCGCTAACGATCAAGCTTAGGCTAGTTTTGGAGACCTTGGAACCCTTGTCTGAAGACCGGAAGTGCTTCCGCATGATCAATGGTGTCTTGGTGGAGAGGACAGTGAAGGACGTGGTGCCGGCGCTCAAGACGAACTCCGAAGGGCTGAAGAAAGTGCTCGACGACCTTCTGAAGCAGTACAAGGCGAAACAAGAGGAGATGGAGAAGTGGAAGGTACGTATCAATCAAAGTCTCGTCAGAATCGAGGCCACGTTATGCCGCGAAAAGGGTGCTAATGCGCTGGCATTGCAGAAGAAGAACAACATTCAGGTAGTACAGCAATGAAGCCGTCGCTCGACGCGGACATCGTTCACGCGATCTCAGTCGGAATCGAATAGCTCTTCACGAGGACGACACCTCAGCTCGCGCGCCCAACATCCCAGACTTGGCGTCAGGGGTGTGTGTCAAAACAGTCTCTCGTGGCATTCAGAATTTTCACGGAAGGAAGCTTCTGTTGCTAGACGGCAAGCCCTGCGGTCAGCCTGCATTAACTACAGATTCAGAGGGTATCAAAACAGCTGCACGTCGGAATCCCCCGCCGACGGACGAAGAAGAGATCGGCTAGATGACATATGGCTCACCAGCTAAAGATAGTGCGGTTGACATGGGTGCGGCGCGGTGCAGGCGATGAACTGTACGTACAGGAACAGGGCGTTCGAGATCTATTGTCGAGGCAGTGTATAATGAAGTCAACAAACCCCAGAATCTTCCGCCTCAAGTCGTCGGATCTTGACTTGCACGCGAGCTCCGTGACGTACGGCAAAGGCTGAAACAGCGTATGCTTCCGAGTGGTTCCACCGCAGTCATGGGTGGTGAAAACGGAGGGCTACAAGGCTGAGACCAAGGTGGCTGACGCCCGCTGCAACGATGTGTTGGCGCGGAGCTGCGCCCAAAGCTGGATCGACGCCTAACGTCCGTAGAACAGGAGCGACAGTTCCACGAGCGTGGACGCCATCCTCATAGGGTACCCAAGATCGCGCGCAACGTCAGGTACTCCAATTGGCATGGCCCGTTCTCAACGGCTATTCCGACGTCAGGACAGTGAAGGGTAGCTCGCGCGCCGTTTTCACCGGTCATGAAGGCCTCTTGTACCACGGGCTATGCGGCGCTGACAGGCTACCACGTCAAGGAGCCTGGGGGGTAGTCCGGTCGAAGGCCCTGGAAGTGTTAACACATCACGGCCCAAAGGGTGACGCGCCATGCACCGGCTGCAGTCTGGGCTTCTTGAAGTGCTCGAGGTTTTGAGAGAGATCTGCGGGCGTTCCGGGACCCCACGGGCACCCACCGCCTCGAGCTCTCTGCGCCGCTCCGTGCTGGCGTCCGGGGTATGGTATGTGCAGCCTCAGGCCGCACGCCTTTAGCCGGTGGTGCTGGGGACAAGAGGCGGCGCAGTAGGCGCTTCAATTGGGCCGCGCAGGCTAAGCTAGCCGGCTGCTCGCATCTCCTCTCGACTGGTCGCCAGGCCATCCACGACTCGTGCGCCGCTCAGCCTCGAGTCTTCTTGTCCGTGTCGTCACCGCGTCCGGCGCGTCGCATCATTGTCAGCGTGTCCTTTCGTTGTCCGGGCGGCTGTTTTGGCGGCTGACCCGACTAGTTGCGCGCGCGCGGCGGGCGATCATTAGCCGTTGATTCGGCAGCGACATCGTTGTCGCGGCTCTCTCTCATCTCTCTCTCGCTGTGACATTGCTCATTGCTCCGCCAGCAACCCATTGCCCGCCAACCACCCCCGCTTCTTGCATCCCGCCGGCATTCCGTCGGTCACGTTGCTACATCGTCGGCCCTCGTCCGCAACTGCCGCCGGTAACGTGTTGTCCGTCGGTGAGCTCGCAACTCAAGGCAACGTACGGGAGCCCAGCTTTAAGCTGGCAACTGACCGGTACCACCTAGAGCCGTTTGCGCGCACCTGCATACCCCGAGTCGCACTCCTGCCTCGTCACTCGCCCGCCTGCCCTTCCCCATTGCGCACTCACGCGCCACCGTCTCCTCCACGGATCTGCCGCCTATCCGCACCCTCGTCGGCCCTGCACGTCGATACCACCATACATTAGTGGGTTTCCTGGCATTACGGCTAGCCACCTCCGCTGCGGGCCCTGTCCAGGCTGAAGTCACACAAGCTCCCGGCCCCGGCTGCCCTTGACGCGCATCACCGAGGTCGCATACACGGCCGTCTTGCCTCACAGCTCTGCGCTGGCGAGAGCAGACCTATTCGCTGGCAGTCCACGTCATAGAGAGGGTAGCAGAGCCTTAGAGGCCTGCAGCTGGCCGAATAAACATGTCGGCCACCCCCCCGAAGAAGGAGAACGTGGAACCTGGAGCGCAATCGCCTGACGATTCGGAGCCGCATATGGACAGAGAAGCTCAGGATACACAAGCGCAAGGACTCGGGTACGAGTTCGAAGTCAAGGAGCAGGACCGATGGCTGCCTATAGCGAATGGTACGTCCTCTTATGCACCTCTCCCTCGTCTGATTTGTGCCGTCGTCAACCACATGCTGCACGTCGACGAATGCTACGGCTGGCGTCCACCACTACACACAATCGCGCGTCTCAAACCGACTCCTGCGAATCAGCGCTGCTCGCCTGGCTCTCGCGCCCAGCAGAAGACCGTCGCTCAAAAACGGTCGGCAGGATGTCTTCCGCCTCGCCGCCGTCATCAGCCTCCCCGCCACTTAATTCGTCCAAGAGCAAGTCCGACAGTGCAGCCAGCGATGCTAACATTCGTAATTTTGCTCCAGTTGCGCGCATCATGAAGATGGCCCTGCCCGAAAACGCAAAGATTGCAAAGGAGGCCAAGGAATGCATGCAAGAGTGCGTGAGCGAGTTCATCTCGTTCATCACCAGCGAAGGTGCGCCAAAAAGTTTGCGAGCTGGGAAAAAAAAGCAAATCACTGACGTCGCGCAGCGTCCGAGAAATGCCAGCAAGAAAAGCGCAAGACGGTCAATGGCGAGGACATTCTCTTCGCCATGACTTCTCTTGGCTTCGAGAACTATGCCGAAGCATTGAAGATCTACCTCTCACGGTACCGCGAAGTAAGCTGCCCCTCCCCCATTTCGTTTGTCAACGTCGAAACGTGGCAAAGACGAAGATAATCTGAACTATTGGTATTGATTGGTGCCTCGAGACCCTCCTCGCAAATCAGAACAAGCCTGCCGTCGGTTTCAATGCAGGCGGGAATGCTGCCGCCGGCGCCAGCGGCAGCGGGGCGTCTGGTGCAAATGCCTCCTCCGGCCAGGCCTACGGCACAGCGGAGGGTTCCAACAACCTATTGAGCGGCGATGTCGAATCCGCCGACCACGACAGCACCACGTTCGGCTACACCGTCGGCCACCACAACGGCAACGGCAACGCAGAGTTCTGAGTAGCGCCGCGTCCCCGGATGATCAGGATCCCCTTCAAGATTCATCGCGCGATGCTATGGTCAAATGCTCGTTACGGCGCATCGGACATCGCAAAAGAAGGCGCATACGGCTAGTCAGTGCGCGCAAGCGCGCTGGGTAGGCCGTCCCAACCCAACCAGATTGTAAGATATTGGAATGGAGCGGGGGACATGATGGGATTTCTTTTTCAGGGCTGTATCAGTTCGGCCGTATACTCGCTGGGGTCCATCTGATAGCGGTCTCACATCCGTATTTCAGAGTAATTCTGGAAGCTGTATTACTTCAATTCAATGGGGGAATTCGTATCTGAGACTTTGGTGAAGCATTGGAATGGGGAAATCCTGTAACGGGATAGGTAGAAGTGACATTGCTCGCGCAACCCCAGCGTCATGTCCTGTGATTCGCGATTTTAACTACATACATTCCCACCTATCTCAAAACAATGGAAGATTATCTCAGCCATTCCCCTCTATTCACACCGCAGCAATATCAATGGCTAACGCACGAATTCCAAACCTATCACATACACCAGCCAGGAGAGAGAGTGTGGGGGGGAGAGCCCCGCTGTGGCATCCGTGCCTCCATCACACACTTGCGCAAGACACACAGCGCGCAAGCAAGCACGACAAGCAAGCAAGCAACAGCCGGGGGCCCGCATCTTCGGGCGGGCGCATGTGACGGTCGCACGATACCAAAAGCTCCGGGGCGAGCGGACCCTTGCTTCGGCGGGCGGGGGGCTAGGCCACCTTCTTCTTTGCGCCCCTGCGGGCAGCACGGCATTGGCACTGCACACGGGAGGACAGCGGCGGCGGCGGTGTCTTTCTCGTGCGCGTCGCGTAGACGTACGCACAGTACGGAGTACGGGTATGAGTACTGTGGGTAGGCGGCGCGGTCGGTTGTCGTCTGGCGCACCGTCGCTTGCCCTGGTTGTTGTATCTCCCGTATGTATGTACTTACTGTAGGCTGTCTGGCGCTCCTGCTGCCGCTGCTGATGCTGCTGGCCGCTCACCCGTTATCGCGCGTGGAGTGGAGAGATGATGGCGCAGTGCAGCATCTCGTCTCTCTTCTCAACGACGACACACGCTGGACCAGCCACAGCGCGCGGCAGGCAGAGAAGCAGGCATAGTTACTCCAGCGAAGAGGGGAGTGGGCGCGGACAGCCACGTACGGTACGTGTAGCTAGGTAGCTACACCAAGGCAGGCAAGGCGCAGCTCAAGGGCGGGTAGCTGGTAGGCGGGCGGCGAGGGAAGGTTTGGGGCGGGGGCGCGCGTCGCACTGGCGCGGCCGGCTGTGTTTGCTTCGTTCGCCCTTCAAAGCTCTATGTTCGAAGTTGCAGGGGTGGGGTCAGGCTTGGCTGCCTGGTTGGGCGTGCTGCAGCGCGCCACGGTCGCACCGGCCGCCGCTGGATGGTGTGGTAGCAAATGTTGGCGCTGGGGATGCTGGTGATGCTGGTGCTGGGGGGATGCGAAGGTTGGTGCCTCTGCGAGTCTTGCTGCTGTGGAGGGTGCCCGTGTGACGTGAGGCTTTGGATGGGTGCTTATGGCGAGGGGGCCCGCGTTATTGACATGGTGGCTTTAGCCGGCTGCCCGGAAGGTCGTTGGATGCTTGCAGGAGTGGGTGGTTGGTGTTTGGAGATATTTCTGGGGTGTTCGTATGGGCTGACGGAACTTCACTTGTTGGTGGCTGTGGTAGGTAGACAATGCTGACGAATTAATCCGTTGTCTCCGCAGACTAGGTTGACAATGATCCGGATGTCTAAACTGCATAGGCACATATATGACTTACTTCCATACTCTTCGAACTTGTATTTCTCGCATCCTTTCCTCTTTGTATATATCCCTTGCTTCCACTATGCTTCACGAGCCAGTTTGATAGATGGTAACTCTGCAAAGCGGAGGCAAAAAGGTTAGTGAACTATTAAAGACCAGCTATCATATTCATCAGTCAATCAATTTCTTATTCTAATTGTGTTACTTGAAGCCTGCAAGTGAGCATATGCAATGTCGCTAAAATGCAAGCAAAGAAGACCAAAAGAAACCAAGAGCAACCAACATGGTCTAGCTCGGACAACACAGCTTCCCATCCTGGTCATGGCCAACACTGAAATTTCCCAGTCCGTACGAGATCCGAAATCAGTAGAGAAAGAGGCCCAATTTGGTCACAATGTCCACTTGTTGAAACCGTGAGACATTCTCTCCTCTTCGTCCCTCAGCTCTTTCATCCTCAGCTTGAGTCGCTCTTGCGCGAGCTCGATCCGCATCTGCGTTTCCTTCACCGGCGTTTCACACCCCCTGAGCCCGATGAACTTGCCGAATTTCCTGCGCTTGATCGTCAATCTTGCGCTGTCATTCAGGCCGGGGCCGGCAAGGAAGTCGATGTCCAACTCCATTGGACATGGGTATTGGTGGGTCCAGTTGTCAGGGGTCGATTGCGAGTAATACTCCGCCATATTATCGAGCTCGGTTTCTGTTAAGAGCATGTATTGAAGGATGGTCTGCGGGAAGCACGGATGCGGGTTTCCGGTTGGCAGTGGGTAGATTGGCGCCAATTTTAACTTCATCTGCGCAATTTTGGCAGCAAGCTCAGGGTTCCGCTGTGCTAGGTTTGAGGAAGACATCGTGGTGGATGACAAGGTGTGTGGACCTGTGTGAAATTGTGTGTTAAAGTTGCAGGCCTATTCAACCTTGGAAATGAATGATGGACGATCGCTGTCGAAACTTGGTGTCTTACTACGACCTGCATAGAATTTGTGGGGACAGACAAGAGTCGACTAGAAAAACCTGCACAATTCGAGGGAACAGTGGATATGCAAGATCCCGAGAGAAGAGAAGTCTATATATGCCACGATTGTATGCTTTGTGAGGCCGGATCGTTCAAAGAAGTGGTGCTAAAATAGAATGCTGAGACAAAGGCATTGTTTTTTTAATGGGTTGGGACAAAGGAAGGTAAATGAAGACAAAAGTTTCTTTGTTGAGATTTTTGAGAACTTGAAAGAAGTCAGCAACTCGACAGTCATTTGTCACTAAACAGTGCAACAGTTGTTGGCTCATGGCAAGATGCCGCGTATATGCGAGGTCACCAGCCCTGGGCAGGTCGCTATGCAAAGACGACACCAGATAGTAGAGGCATATGACTTTAACTCACTGAAGAATTATACTGCCTCTAAGACACGTTCTCAATCTCAGAGTAATTCTGTAGGCTCTTCCGAGACAGATTGCCAGTTTAAAGTAGGTGAGATGATGGGAGTTGTCGAGGCTAAGATGGATCTTTTTAGTTTAGAGCAGAGCATTGGGTCTTGTCTGCTTGTTAAGACAGCGTGCCCACGCCCTTGCAGAACGAATGGACGGACGGACGGGAATAACTTAGTGATCGGACTCAATGCTTCTTGTGACGGGTGCTCAGGGTACTTTACAACACTACTCAGAGTATTATCATGTGCTCTACGTGCTTCGTGGGGGTTGCCTGGAAGACCGGCTAGCAGGTAGCTAGAGGACCATCTGTGTGACGCTGTTTGTAGCCGTATATCGACCTCGTGTATTGGCATTAGGAAGAACACTAAGTCCTATACCGACGGCAAAATTTCAGTTACTTAGCGATATTTCTTGCTCTGCATTGCAAAGGAGTAAGATAAAGCTGGGTAGCTCCATGAAACTGTTCATGTCGTCATATAAATCGGCCGCGATTGATTTGCATGGCCTCGCATAAGCCTATTTCAAATAATGGGCCTTTCCGAAATCCCGGTGACACAACCGTATTCCTAGCTCTTTTCATGTATAATGCAGGAGTGTCATATTCTCAACCGAATTGATGATTGTTGTAATGTGATGGTGTGGAAGACGGACGTGATGTCTGGCGCGTGCACGCTTAATGGCTTGCGGCCACGCGGCTTAGTCATTGACGCGGTTCGCGTCGCTTGCCTGCCTGCGCGCGTGTGCTCATCGATTCCAAAAACCCCACCGGTCTTCTTCTCACCTCCCGACACTTTCCATACACGACCGTCTGAACGTTTCTTGATACCCCTCCACTGTCCTTGCTCCTTCTCCTCCTCTGAACTCCTTTTCCTCGCAAATACCGCCAAGAGTACGCTACACAATGCCCATTCGCGCGTTGAGAACCGCAGCTGATGCCTAGCAGTGCTTGAAGCCCGTCTGGAGCAGGCCAACCTTCTCAAGAAGGTACGCGTCTTCCACACCACACTTTAATCAATAACTGACCGCGACAGGTTGTCGATGCCATCAAGGACCTCGTCCAGGACTGCAACTTCGACTGCAATGACTCTGGCATTGCACTGCAGGCCATGGACAACTCTCACGTCGCGCTCGTGTCCATGATGCTGAAGTCTGAGAGCTTCTCCCCCTTCCGTTGCGACAGGAATATCGCCCTTGGCATCAACCTCACCTCTCTCACCAAGGTTCTTCGTTGCGCACAACCCGAGGACATCTTGACCCTGAAGGCCGAGGACGCGCCCGATGTTGTCAACTTTGTGTTCGAAAGCGCGCAAAGCGACCGCCTGAGCGAGTATGACATCAAGCTCATGGACATTGACCAAGAGCACCTGGGCATCCCCGACACCGAATATGCTGCCGTCATCAGCATGCCCTCGGTGGAGTTCCAGAGGATCACAAGGGACCTGATGGCCCTGTCGGAGTCAGGTAGGCAGGCTTGAATGCATATTATGGGCGAGGCTGACAGATATAGTGTCTATTGAGTGCACGAAGGAGGGTGTCAAGTTCTCGTGTCAGGGCGACATTGGCTCCGGTTCGGTCACGCTTCGCAGCCACACCGACGTCGACAAGCCGGAGAACAATGTCGACATTGACCTGACGGAGCCCGTCTCTCTGACTTTCTCGCTCAAGTACCTGGCCAACTTCTGCAAAGCGACCGGTCTGTCGGGACAGGTCAAGCTGTGCCTGTCCAACGAGGTCCCTCTGTTGGTCGAGTACGCGCTTTCCAACAACAGCTACTTGAGGTTCTACCTGGCGCCCAAGGTAAGTCATGCGGTATTCACGTTGCACGGTTCATATACTGATAATGTCAGATCGGCGACGAGGAGTAAGAGCAAGTGTCGGAGGGTGACAAAATTACGAATAGAAGGTCATGATATCAGCGGGTGTAGGAATAAACAAGGAGCAAGGACTGTAGCGCAAAACTAGGATAGTGGGGTCCTACATGTCTATGTTGTCGGCGGGAGTCTCTTTTTTTGTTTGGTTCGGCAAGATTCCAGAAGATCCGCGGGGTAGGTATGAAGTCGGGTCAACGCCAGCCCCACACGTCACGGCGCGTTACCGCAGATAAGCAGCTGAAGAAATAAAATCCGCGATAATCCTATAACCCGCACGCTTCCTCCACCTTACATCTTGCTCTTGTGCGACCATGTCAGCGGAGAGCTCGATACCAGAAACGCGCGTGCTCGCCATCGCTAGCCATGTAAGCCATCCTTGAGCGCCGCCGAACAATGGCTAATCCACTCAGGTTGTCCATGGGTGAGTGTACCTGCAGCTATATCCGGCCCATCGCCACAGAATCCCTGCTAAGCACGCGATCAGCTATGTCGGCAACACGATGGCGACGTTCATCCTGCAAGCGCTCGGGTGCGAAGCTTCAGCGATAAACACGGTGCACTACAGTCAGCCCTCCCGTCTCCCACTGCGCCATGTAGCGAACGCGCGACTCATATAAAGCGTGCATGCAACAGGCAACCACACGGCATACAAGCAGGTCAAGGGGCGCAAGACGCCAGCGGAGGAGATCATGGAGCTGTACGAGGGCCTGAAACAGTCGTTCCTGAACGACTTCGACGTGCTGCTGTCAGGCTACATGCCCAGCGCAGAGGCAGTGCAGGCGGTCGGCAAGATCGGGCGCGACCTGCGGCTCAATGCGGCGGGCAAGCCGGGCTCGTTCTTCTGGGGTGAGTTTTTGCGCGTCAGCTCATGGCGACGGCGGCGCTAGCGCGGCTCCGGGTCGCTGCGGCGTGGACTGTGATGAGTGTATATGGGCTGACGAATGCGCGACAGTGCTGGACCCGGTCATGGGCGATCAGGGCCGCTGCTATGTTCCTGAAGACGAGATCCCGCAGTACAAGGCGCTGCTGCGCGAGGCGGACCTGATCCTGCCAAACCAGTTCGAGGCCGAGTAAGTGTGTTGTTGGCGCGGCGGCGCCCTGTCACGCTCACATGAGCACCCAAGCAACAACCAAACAAGGCAGCTAAACACGCGCCTCCAGACTCCTCTCCGACACGAAGATAACCTCGCTCACCACCCTGGCCACCGCAATGCAAGCCCTGCACCGCACGTACCAGATCCCGCACATCATAATAACGAGTCTGCGCATGAGCGCCTCGGGCACCATCTCCCCGAGCACAACGACGAACCCCACGCACCTGACCATCATCGGCAGCACGGCGCGGCGAGACCTGTCACCACGGCTGTTCCGGCTCGACATCCCCGCGTACCCGCTCTTCTTCTCGGGCACAGGCGACATGTTCGCGGCGCTAACGGTGCCGCGGCTGCGCGAAGCCGCCGCCTCAGCCGGCCTGCTCGGCACGCCCGCCTGGCGCAGCCCCGACGACGTCCCAGCCGCGGACCTGCCGCTCGCCCGCGCCGTCGAGCGCGTCCTCGAGAGCATGCAGGCGGTGCTGGGCGCGACGGCGGCGTATGCGGCCCGCGCGGTCGAGGTACTGGAGGCGGCGGAGGGGCGGGCGGGGCTGGGCGGCGGCGCGGACGACGACGATGATAGCGCTGCGAGGAGGCGCCATTTGGCGCTCATGAAGGCCAGTGAGGTCCGCGTGGTCCAGAATGCCCGTCACTTGCTTCTGGGGCCCGAGAGGGAGGGCGAGCCGCCCCGCGTCAAGTTTCGCGCGGAGGAGGTCCGCGTGGAGGGGTTTGATGGTAGGGCGGGGGAGCCGAAGCCTGATGAGTTGGGGGTTGTGAACTTGGGGGTTGGTGCTCGGAAGGGGGAGGGCGAGGGCGCGGTGCTGGTTGGGAGGCCGGGGAGTTGATGGGGAGTGCGTTGTAGATGCGTAGATGGGTGAGATGGGATTGGGGGTTTAGAGGGTTAGGTAGTGCCTGTATAGGGGGCTTGCATTTGGGTGGTTTCTTGAAGGGTTGGTTTCAGCTAGCATCAGCGCGCATAGCCGTGTAGACATACAGTCGAGACTGGAGTCCTCATCATTTTACACTATCGTGCTTGCAGTATTTTGAATCATTTAAATTCAGAATAGTTTGTAAATCTTTCATTTTTATGGAGTACCACTCACCATGGGGATGTGAATTATCTACCCATGTAGCCGTCGAGTCTCGTTAGAGAGTAGGTATATTTTAAACGCCGAAACCCAGCCCGTCTTTTTTCTTGCTTCCAAGTAATCTCTCTCCACTCTCTCACCCGACACGCGAACCGGACAAGTCTATGCCGTGCCATTGGCGCCAAAGCCACCGGTGCTGCCGAAGCCGCCCGCGCCGCGGACAGTGTCTTCCAGCTTCTCTACCACGGCAACCTCGGCCATGACGCACTTCTCGATGACGAGCTGGGCGATGCGGTCGCCCTGCTTGACGGGGAAATCCTTGTCGTCGAGGTTGGCGAGAATGACGCCGACGGGGCCGCGGTAGTCCGCGTCAATCACGCCGGCGAGGGTGTCGATGCCGTGCTTGTATGCAAGGCCAGAGCGGGGAGCAATGCGGCCGTCTAGAGAAGTCGGAGGAAGAGCGGTCAGCTTGTTTGTTTTGTTTGTTTGTTTGTTTGGTTACTTGTTTACTTGAGCACAAGTGCGGGCACACAGCAAACGGGAATCGGGGATTGGGGGAGGGGCCGACGCACAGGTGCCCGCCGGGACGGAGATCTTGATGTCAGTCGGGACAAGGGCCCACTTGCGGGCAGGGACGACAGTGTCGGCAGAGGCGTAGAGGTCGTGGCCCGCGGCGAAGGGGGAGCCCTTGGTCGGGGCGCGGGCGGACGGCGAGAGCAGCTCGATCTGCAGCGTCGTGGACTCGGGGGCGGGCGCAGCGGGCGCGGCGGGCGCGGAGTGCGTCGAGTCGGACATTTGGAGCGGCGTCGGCGTTGCGGTGCCGGATTCGTCGCCGGCGGGTGCGGCGTTGGTGCTGCCGCTGATGACGCTCGAGGGCACTACTGCTGTGGCGCCGGGCAACGTGGGCTCGGGCTCGATGTTGCGGCTGCGCTTGGGGTGCGGCGAGGCGGGGAGAGAGGGTGGCTCGTGTTCAATGGCGGGCGTGGCAGCGATGTTGTCGTTGGTGTCGGTGGACATGGTGTGTTTTGGTGGTGATGGTGGGAATTGAAAACGGGACCGGGGACGACAGGCGACGCGTGAGGACAACGCGTGGGGTGCGCGTCACCACGGCCCAGTTGGCAAGCCCGCCAAGCAGCAGAACAAGGCGTGCCACGTGACAGGTGTGACTGTGACGGAATCTTTGCTGTTAGCGCTGGGTGCCTGAGGCGGCGGACAACGGAGCCGCAGGGCAGGTTTGGTTGGCTGTCGAGCCGTGGCGATCTCATGCAAGTGACGACCCTGGAGCTTGTGCTCCCAGCAACCGCCGCATCATCCCGAAGCTCTCCCAAACTCCCCTGTCGCTCAGAGGTCGCTTGTATCGCCAAGGTTGGTGCTCTCTTGTTTCAGACGCAAACAATAAACAACTCCCCGAGCTCGCTCCCTCCTGAGTCGCTTGTGTCGCCCGCGCACGTCGATGCCGTGAACGAGCGAAAAAAACCACGCCAAAAACGCAAACGCCCAGTCGCAAGCCGCAGCCCGACCGACACTTTGGTGCCCCCACACAGTGTCGTCGACACGGACGCTGCGACCCGCCCCCTACCTGCTCACCGGGACCGCCAGCCAGCACGCAGACAAACCTTAAACCCGAGAGCGAGCTGCTGTCGCTGCCGCCATCATGTCGACCCATTTACAGACGCCGCGCCGCACCAATCTCCGTCCCTCGCTGGCCAACTCCTCCCTCAACACCGCCTCCTCGCCCGCCCTGTCCGCCTCCCAGCGCACCGCCTTCGAGCGCAAAGCCAGCCTTCACGCCCTGACCGGTTCATCGCCCGCGCGATCCGCCGGCGGCCCGCCCTCTGACGCCATGGTTGGCGGCGACGGACAGCCCCTCGAGGTGGGCGACGAAGTCGACGTGCCCGGCGGCATGTACGGAGTTGTCAAGTTCATGGGAGGCGTGCGAGGAAAGAAGGGGAACTTCGCCGGTGTCGAACTAGCAAGAGAGTACGCGGCCAAAGGAAAGAACGACGGTGACGTCGACGGGTGAGTCTTCCTCCGCTGCCAGTCCAGACGGGCTGTCTGCTCACCACTGCTACAGGACCCGTTACTTTACCACCTCCGTACCCGGCGCTGGCATCTTCCTCCCCTTACATCGAGCCTCCAAGCGCGCTTCCGTCGACCCCAGCGAAGGCAGCCTTCCGCCTACCCCGGTCACACCCGGTTTCGGAGCGTCCTTTAATCTCAAAGATGATGGGTATGAGAGCCACAACGCGTCACCCCCTCCGCCGGTGCCCAAGTTCTCGCAATCTATGGGAGCTGGGGCCCGTGCTCCGAAGAGGCCGGAATCGCCTCTCAGGCAACCATCCAAGGTTGCTACCACACCCGGAAGGACGCCTAATGGAAGAAACCTCTCGTTGGGCCTCTCCAAGAGCCAGATGGGAGCACCGCCAAAGTTCTCGCCCACCCCGTCTAGGTCTATGAGCATGAGAACGCCACAACCGAGGAAGCCGACTATTTCGAGGGCAAATTCAAGCGTGGCCGACACCGCTGATGAAGATGATATGACCAGCGAAGGTGGCCAGAGCAGCGCGTTCAACCCGTTCAACCCGAAGGAAGAAGAAATGGAGCGGCTACAGAAGAAACTAGACGAGACGGAGGCTGCATTGAAAGACCGTGAAAATCAACTGAAAGAGCAGGCCTCCAGCTTGGCAGACATGGAATCCAGTCTCATCGAGATTCAAAACCTTCTGCCAACTGATGACGAGGACCTGCCGCAGTCAGTGCGCGACGGTGAGCCCGAGGACTCCGACGTAGGACATCTGCGGGTGCTGTTGCGCGAGAAGAACGAGAGGATTTCAATACTTACTGCAGAGTTCGACATGCACCGCGCAGATTTCCGACAGACGATTGACGCGCTTGAAATGGCAACTTCAGAAACGGTGCGTGTATATGAGCAACGAGTTGAGGATTTGATGGCCGAGATCCGGGAACTGCACGAACGTAGCGAGGATGTCGACAGTGTCGCGGAGCAGCTTAAGCAGCTCGAAGAGCTCGTGCAAGAGCTGGAGGAAGGTCTCGAGGACGCCAGGCGCGGAGAGGCCGAAGCCCGCGGCGAAGTTGAGTTCCTGCGCGGTGAGGTCGAACGTGGCCGCAGCGAGCTCAGGCGCGAGAGAGAAAAGGCTGCCGCCGCTCTGAAGGGAGCCACTGCTGCTGCGGATGGAAGCCCTCTCAGCCCCGGCGGCACCCCGCGCGAAATCGAGCAACGGGACGACGAGATCCGCGGCCTCAAGGCCATCATCCAGTCACTCAGCGCAGGCGGCGACCTGGCCAGCCCAGGACTGGAAATTCCTCGCTCTCCGCTTACTAGCTCGTCAAATGATGCTGCAATGGCAGAACTGCGCTCGTCTGTTGATCGGATGGAGCGCGAAAACGAGGAGCTCCGTGGCCTCATCGAGCGCAAGGCTTTCCGCGAAGAGGAGCTGGAGCGCGAGGTTGAGAACCTGCGCACTCAAACCAGCGAGATCAACCCGGCACGGGATTCCGTCATCAGCAACACGCAGTCAGAACGCTCAAGACTCCGTGATTCGAAGAGCACCGTCGTCAGCTGGCGCGGTTACCAGAAGAGTCAGGCAGCCCAGCGCGAGTCGGAGCGGCAGCAGCTGGGGCGGATGCCCGAGGCGGAGAATGACGGCCGCAGCTCGAGCGCGGGCCAGTCGGAGCTGTGGTGCGAGATCTGCGAGACGGGCGGCCATGACATCCTCAACTGCACCAACGACCTCGGCGGTGCCAGGAGGGACGACATGCTGCACCCGAACGAGCACCACAACGAGCTGCACCTGACGCCCAGCAACCATTCGCACCTTTCGGCGCGCACGTCGGACGACGAGCGCGAGCACCGCATGGAGGCCGAGCAGGCCGCCGCCATCACGACGCCCGCGCCCAGCGACTCGGTGACCTCTGGCATGCGCAAGCTTAGCGTATCGTCTGCCGATTTCGACGCCGCGGCCGCAAACAGCCCGAGCCCCGCCGTCAAGCAGCCGGCACCGCCGTCGCAGCCGCCGCAAGCGGCGCTGCCGAACCCCTTTGAGGAGGGCCTCGTGGCCGGCAAGGGCCAGGCGGTCGATGCGGATAAGTGGTGCGCGCTGTGCGAGCGGGACGGGCACGACGCGACGGCGTGTCCGTTTGATGACATTTTGTGACGCGAGGAGGGATTTGGGGAGGCGCTGGCGTTTCGGATGAGCTGGGAGGCGGGGGGCGCGTCGGGGAGGAGGGATAGTCTGGCATTCTGAGGAGCCTGCTTGCTTCTCTGACCTGCCCGCTCTCTTCCACCTCTTCTTCTGCTTGCCTTTCTTTGCCGGCCTGCCTCCATCCCCTTCGCCATTCGGCAAGTTCATACACACGCTTCTTGTTTGTCGTCATTCTTATTCTTCCTGGCTGTCTCCTTGGGGCCCGTTGCAAGCGTTTGCTTGCCGGCCATGGTTCCGTTTGTCTTGGTCTTGTTGATGCGAGCGATATGCGGCATGCATGATATCCCCCCACTGTCTGTCTGGCCTGGCGCAAAGCGAGCGCGCTATCTTTCTTCTTGTTACATGTCTTTATCGTCTATTTCTTGGAGTTTCTTTTTTGTTTTGCTTTTTGGCGCGGCGGGCTTGCTGTCCCGCCGTGTTGCTTTTTTGCTATTTGAGGGTGCGGTGCTTGAGTTGGGATGATGGAGGTTGTATGTACTCACTACCTATTCGAAATGCCGACGCCTTCTCAGATCCTATATTGCTCCTTTGATTGCTTTGTCTGTCTCGTGTGATGTCTTGTTTAAAGGTACGTGACCTACCTGTTGCTCAATCACTTTTGTATTCTCGTGCCCGCGCGGGTTACTTCTGTGCTCCTGTATATCCGTGCCTTGATGTCTTTACGAGTGCTTTTATACCCTTGCGTAGTTTTCATTTCGTACTTTCGTGGGATGGTCTAGTACCTTTGCATAGCTTTTCCTTGTATATCTTTACGAATGCTATCGTGTGTTTTTATATTCTTAGTCTTCGTACTCTCGTCGCCTTTAGGTGTCAAGCATAGCTGTCTAGACAAGGAGTACTCGGCAGGTGTAGTAGACTTCACTCGGTATGCGGTTGCGAGGTGGGCGAAATGGTCGGTGCTTGTTTATTTCAATGTTGTGCGGCGTGAGAAGGGCATGGACGCCGAACAACGCTCGAGCCTGTCCCCGCCTACAGACCCGGCCAACAGAGAGAGAAGCGCCAAACGCGACCAGACGTATGATGTCGGCGCGATATTTTGACGTTCGTGGCGTGATGTTGCAGCGGCAAAAGAGCCTCAGGTCGCGTGGTCCGTGCCCGGCAAAAAGTTCAAAAGCTCTGGAGGTTGCCAGAGCTATAGCTCCCACATCCATCCATTGATCATTGATTGCTCTCATCATGGTCAAGCGTAAGGCCGACGCCGTCCTCAATGGAAAGTCCAAGAAACGCGCCCTCCCTGACGAGGAGGCGCGCTCCAACTTTCGCAAAGGCCTCTTCGACGACAAGGTCCTTGATCAGTACAGGAATGCCTATGCTGAATCTCAGCCGTACGCGCCCTCTCTCCTCCTCCTCCCGCCGTTTTTTTAGGGTCTATCTGACATGGCACAGGTACAAGCACACGGTGATCCAGAATCTCGTCGACCCAAAGCTGCTCCGCAACGTGCGCGACGAGATCCGCGAGCACATCTCATTCACGCCCAAGGAAACGGACATCTACAAGATCCACCAGTCGGGCGACCTAGCGAACCTGGACGGGCTGGACGACTCGTCGCTGAAGAAGCTGCCGTCGTTGCTGCAGCTGCGCGACGCGCTCTACTCGTCCGCATTCCGCAAGTATATCTCGTCGATTGCGGGCTCCGGCCCGCTCAGCGGCGTCAAGACGGACCTGGCCATCAACGTGTACACGCCGGGCTGCCACCTGCTGTGCCACGACGACGTCATCGGCAGCCGCCGCGTCAGCTACATCCTCTACCTGCTGGACCCGGACCGCCCGTGGCAGGCCTCGTGGGGCGGCGCGCTGCGCCTCTTCCCGACCGAGAACCTGACCACCGACGCCGGCGAGCAGGTCACCGTGCCCCAGCCGGACCACACGGTCGTGATCCCGCCGGCCTTCAACCAGCTCAGCTTCTTCACCGTCCAGCCAGGCCAGAGCTTCCACGACGTCGAGGAGGTGTACAAGCGCGCGGAGGGCGAGAGCGAGACCGACGACGGCGGCCGCGTCCGCATGGCTATTTCCGGCTGGTTCCATATTCCCCAGGAGGGCGAGGACGGCTACGAGCCTGGCCTTGAGGAGAAGCTGGCGGAGCGCAGCTCGCTGCAGCAGCTGGAGGGCGGCAAGGCGGAGCAGTTCGACCTGCCGCAGCCGCGGTGGATCGAGTACCCGGAAGAGGAGAAGGAGGAGAAGAAGCAGCCCGAGCCGAAGGCGAAGAAGGAAAATGACGACGACGACGACGACGACGACGAGGAAGGCCAGGCGCCCCTCACCGAGGAGGAGTTCCAGTTCCTGCTCAAGTTCATGACGCCCATGTACCTGACGCCAGACACGTGCGAGGAGCTACAAGACATGTTCACGGAAGAGTCATCACTGCGGCTGGCCAACTTCCTCTCCAAGTCCTTCTCAGCGCGGCTGCGCGCATTCATCGAGTCCGCGGACGCGACGCCCACGATGCCGGGCCGCGAAGACGACACGGGCGTCGCGCGGCCCCCGCACAAGCACCGCTTCCTGTTCCGGCAGCCGCGCGCCGACGCGAAGCCCGAGGACGCGCAGACGCCCTACGACGAGCTCGTCGACGTGCTCTTCCCGTCAGCCGCGTTCAAGAAGTGGCTCGCTCTGGCGACGGGGCTGGGGCTCACGCGCGCCAGCGTCCTCGCCCGCCGCTTCCGCCGCGGCATGGACTACACGCTTGCGACGGCGTTTGAGCAGGACGAGCCGCAGCTCGAGCTGTGCCTGGGCGTGACGCCGAGCACGGGGTGGGGCGACGACGAGGCGGACGGCGAGGGCGAGGCCGACGCCATGGAGACGGAGGAGGACGGCGCCGGCGCCGGCAAGAAGAACGCCGACAAGGGGAAGAAGAAACCGGACACCAAGACCAACGGCAAAGCCAAGGCCACAGAACCCGAGCCTCCCGCACAGGACGAAGACACGGTCGGCGGGTACGAGATGTACATGGCGGCAGACGAGGATTCAGACGACGACGGCTCCGACGCCGGCTCCGACGACGGCGTCGACGTAACCACGTCCAACAAGAACAAAGCCGCCAACGCCTCCTCGGCCACCGGCGCAGGCAAGCGCCGCAAAGCGGACCCAGCGGTCTACCGCCGCGGCGACGACGACGACGACGGCGTCCTCTTCAGCATGCCCGCGGGCTGGAACAATATGAGCGTCGTGCTGCGCGATCGCGGCAGTCTGCGCTTTGTCAAGTATGTGAGCCAGGCGGCGAAGGGGGATCGGTGGGATGTTTGCGCGGATTTTGGGGTTGTGTTTGATGATGAGGATGAGGAGGATGGGGAGGGGGAGGGGGAGGAGGCGTAGGTGTATCTGCTGCTGCTGCTGCTGCTGCTGGGTGGAGGGGGGTTGAAAAGTTTGTGTGGCGTGGGTGGTTCTGATGATGTATGTATGTATATGTATGTGCTTGCTTGCTTGCTTGCTAGGTGTCTAGATACCCCGGTTTCGTGCGGGGATGAAAATGGGTATACATGGGCTCTTCTTCTACTACTTCTACTATTTCTTCATCTTCGTCTTCGTCTTCGTCTTCGTCCTCGTCTTCGTCTTCGTCTATATAAAAGTACAGCAGGCGTACAGTACAGCAGCGTACAGCATACAGCATATACAGTGACACTCTAGCTCTAGCCAGAGTCTCTCTTTCTTTCCTTCCAACGCCGCAAAGTCATGCAAAGCAAGGAGCCCCCACACGCACACGTTTCATGTTCCTCATTCCTAGCAGGCCGTGAGCGCGGCGTGCCGTGCGGATGGGGAGGGAGGCAGTGGTGCCGTGTCTGCTCTGTCTTTCTCTCCTCTGTCTTTCTCGGCCTGCGGGAGCAAGGCGATAGACAGACATGGCGCATGGAAAGGCCTATCCGTTCCAAGCCGCTGGGGTTACGGCATTGCACTCCCATCCCCACACAACTACTCCTCGGCCCACGCCTCCTCCAGCGCCACCAACGCCCCCATCGCCCGCTCATACGTCCACATCGTGACGGCGCTAGCCGGCGCCGCCTTGATCAAACTGACGCCCAGGCCTCTATACAAGCCCCTCGCGCCCTCTCGGGCGACGACCGCCCTCACCGTCCCCAGCACGCCACGATACGCGGGGATATCGCCGCCGACGTAGCTGGCGCGCGTAGGCCCCTGCACCTGCAGGCGCTTGCGCACCGTATCGAGGGGGAAGACAGCCGTCTTGCTGACGATGCTAGCGAGGACGCCGGCCGCGGCGTCGGCGCCACCGAGGGGCATCAGCGGGAGGGGCGCCAGTGCGGGGCGGAGCCCCTCGTACAGCGAGAAGAAGAGGCCCATGTAGGGGAAGATTTGAGCCAAGCCCGCCCCAAGGCCGCGGAAGAAGCCGCGGGGTCCCTCGCGGGCCAGGATGTCTGAGACCGAGAACCGCAGCGAGGCGTAGGCGGGGCGCAGGGCCGAGGGGCGCGCGCCCTGCGCTGCGAAGCGCGTGCGGAGCAGGTCGAGCGGGTAGGTGCATGCGGTCGCGAGGGTGCCGGCTGTGGCGCCGGCGAGGAACGAGGTCGCTGTCGGCGAGGGCGTGTACGGTGCTGGGAGGGCGGCCAGCTGGCTCGCGCACAGCCGGTACGACGTGAACTGCGTGGCGCCGTAGAGGACGTAGAGCGCTTCGGCGGGGAGGTTGCCTTTCCAGAGGGCGCGCACGCCCTCGGTGCGCAGGATGGTGAGGAGCGTGCTGAGGGTTGTGGTGTAGAGGGGTTGGGGGAGGGGGAGGCCTGGTGGGGGCGTCGTGGGGTGCCGGAGGCGCGGCTGTAGCTGTAACCGGATCTTGACGACGTCGAGGGGCGCGATGGCGAATCTGGTGCTGGCGTGTCAGCGCTGGGCTTGTGTGTGGTGTGGTGGTGTGTGGTGGTGCGGTGATGGTGGGGGCGGGGGTGTGAGTCGGAGGTCGGACGGAGGTGCGTCGAAGGGATGCGTGCTCGTCGTCGGACAGGGTAAGATACGCGCGGGACGCAGTCTGGGAGGGCAAATGTACCTGGAGACTAGGCCAGCAATGCCGCCGGCGCAGACGACTTGCCAGCGGTTGCCCTGCGCGCAGCGTGTCAGCGTCAATGGCACCAAAGGGGAGTGAGTGTATACCTCATCTTTCAGCGGCGCGACGTCTTCCTTGCCCGACATGCATGTGAAGCACGGCAGAAGGGAAGCAGGCGGAGACGAAGCGTGGTGGGCCCGAGGTAGGCTTCTCTGGGCGCGTCGGTCGTGGGGAGAAAAAGGAAGAAGAGGTAATTGGAGAGCAGCGAATGACGTCCCGCCAGTTATGTGTGCAACATAACCCCCCTGCTTCTCCCCGCAGATATACCCTCTTCTCCCGCCGCTTGCTTCTTTTACATCAGCTCATCTCTCTGTAGCTCCATCCATCATGCTGAGGTCTTCCCGCGCCCTGCAGCGCGCTTCCTTCGCCTCTAGCTATAATGCTGCTCGGCGCGTCATCACCGTTACCCAACCTCGTCGCGTGATCTCGACAGCTACGACAGTTACACCAACCCCTGCGCAGAAAAAGGGCTTGAGAGCAAATGGCAAGAGCAACGGAATTGGAATCGGAGCCAACAGACGGACAACATGCTCGAGCAGCAGCAGCAACAGCTCCGGCACACCCCCGGCCCGCGGCATCGCGACCCGGCACATCAGCAGCGACGAGCTGCGCCGCGAGCTGCAAGAAGACACGCACTCGCGGGCCTCAGGCACCGCGCTGCCGGCGAGCATGATCCGCGACATCGACGCGGTCGAGAGCAGCGAGGGCCCCAACGTCCGGGACACGGTCGAGCTGGGCGGCAGCGCGTGCCACGGCTCCAACGCGCGCATCATCGCCGTCACGCTGCCCGGCCGCGACGCGCCGCTGGAGCTGGACGCCGTCGCCGCGCGCGACAGCTGCGTGTGCCCACTGTGTGTCGACGTCCATAGCAAGCAGAAGAACTTCCAGTTGACGGATATCCCTGCCGATATCAGCGCGGATTGGACCCTGAGCCCTGACGCCCAAGAACTGGAGATCCGCTGGCGCAATGATGTCCCTGGGTTCCCGGCCGAGCATAAAACGACCTTCTCGTTGAAGCCCGTCGAGAACGCTGTCCCGGACTCGATCTACCATCCCCTTGAGCCGGTGGAGCGGCGGATCTGGGACAGCGCGACCATCACGGCGCAGAACAAGTGGACCGACTACAACGAGTACATGACCTCAGACACGGCGCTGGAGTCGACGCTCTCGCACCTCGGGCGGTACGGGCTCGTCTTCCTGCACAACGTGCCGGACTCGGAAGACTCCGTCGAGAACGTGATCTCGCGGATCGGGATCCCCAAACGCACGTTTTACGGGCAGACCTTCGACGTCAAGTCGCGGCCGCAAGCCAAAAACATCGCGTACACGCACCAGCGCCTCGGGCTGCACATGGATCTCATGTACGTGACGAACCCGCCGCACCTGCAGCTGCTGCACTCGCTGCGGGCGCGCTCGCCCGGCGGCGCCTCCATCTTCTCGGACTCGCTGCGCGCGGCGCACGCCCTCTTCGCCAGCGACCCGGCTGCCTTCGCCGCGCTGGCCTCCCTCCCCGTCCCCTTCCACTACCGCAACGATTCCCAGAGCTACTTCAAATGGCGGCCGACCATCGAGCTCGCCGCGCCACTCGCAGGCCGCTCACCCAACCCCGCTCCCCTGACCGCGGACCCCACCACCACCACCACCACCACCACCACCACCCCACCCATTAAGTGCATAAACTACTCCCCGCAATTCCAAGCCCCACTCCTGCCCTCCACACTCCTCTCCCTCCCCCCCTCCTCATCAGCACCAGCGCCATACTCCCCCGCCCAAACACGCCGGCTGCACGCCGCGCTGCGCAAGTTCACGGCGCTCGTCGAGGCGCCCGATGCGCTGTTCGAGCTGCGCCTCGAGGAGGGCCAGTGCGTCATCTTTGATAACAGGCGCGTGCTGCATGCGCGTCGCGCGTTCGATGCTAGTAAGGGTGAGAGGTGGTTAAGGGGCGCGTATGTGGATGATGATGTGTTTTTTAGCCGGGGGAGGGTGCTGAGGGGGGAGGGCGTGGGGGCGTAGGCTGGGGGGAAATTGTATCTGAGGTGGGAGGGGTAGTGCCAAAAGCTGTCTCGCGTGTGCGGGGGATGCGCCTGTTACTGTGGTGGGACATGCAGGGCCCGCAGGTGCACTGTGTTCGTGGTGAAGAGTGCTTCATCATGCAGGGGTGTTTTGCTCTGTAGCCTACTTGCTGCAGTCTCGAGGGACTTGTCTTCTTGGGAATGCTGAACGGACACGCAAGAAAGCAAGAAAGCAAGAAAATCGGAGCCACTGAAACCGTGGCCTGGACGCCGGAAGCGGCAACGCGATGGTGATGGTGAGGACGCCAACTCCCCCAAACGTGGAGGCAGGAGATTTGATAGGGCTTTGAAAGACTGAGACTGACTGAGGTAAAAGTCTCGTTTTCGGCTGAAGCTTCTCGAAGGGTCTATACGTTAGTCGAAAGCCATTTCCCTGTAGTACCGGGTGGAAAACTCTCATTCATGGAACTCCTCTTCGAGTGAGATAGTAAAACCTGGTCTTATCTTTTCTATCGGTGGCTGACTATGTAGCATTGTCAACGAGACTCCATCACCGACACCCCATCTCGACACCAGCGCTAATCCCACACCTACTCTCAACGGCAGTCACACCACCATTGCCTTTCTCTGCATGACCTAACTTGCAAGGCTCTTGATCCAGCTTCTACTACGATTTTACAAACTCAGGATTTGCTGTATGGACCATGCAGATCGCGATGGGAGTCTTGTTCGCTTCCGACACGGCTGTATTCGGGTTCGAATTTCTGACGACACTCTTTTGCCGTGTGCCATAGTGCACTGACAGGAGACGCTCTTGACTGTTGCACTTTTCCACTCTCGACTCGCACCTCGATGCTCTTCACCTGGAAGCACGCGCCTTGCTTTATAGAGAAGTGAGAGTTTCTAGACGCCATGACTGAGGCATCACTTGTTTGCCGATCGGGTCATACTCAACACTGGCTATATTTTGCTGTAGCACGTTCTCGAACTCTGTACGCTTTTCGCAGACGATCTATTACTGCGAGGTTTCTTTGTTGCGTTGCAGCGCGCATATTTGTTGCGCCCTCACTGAAGAAGTTGCCAGCGCGTCTGCTCTGTTCTTAGATGGCAAGGCCGCCTGTATATTAGTGCACTAGTAAATACTCTGACCTCGCAGTCTGTAATCTCAAGAATGGCCTGGCTGTGCTCATTCATCAGTACCCTGTCTGCCACTATGTTGCCGAAGATGATACGTACTATGAATCTGATTGGCAGTATTCCCACACTTTAGTCCGCCCCGACAAGACTATAAAGATTCAAGAAGACAGGTTTGGCGAGGCTGTTGCAGTGTTCTTTTTGTAGGTTGACATGAGATCTACCCGGAGGATTCGGCCCCAGGCCGCTTCCCGAAACGTGTCTAGAGAGCTTCCCCGATTGACCGCAGCCGCCGACACCTCTCCAGCTCCAGCACCAACTTGCGCGACGCAACGAGCAACAACCATGCATTCGACGCTCGTGCGCGCGCAGAATGTCTTTGGCTTCTTCACCACCGTCGCGGCCTTTGTGGCAGGCCTGATTGCGCTGTCTGTCTTCATCGCGCCGCAAACGCCCTCGGCGAGCATCAAGCTCCAGAATGTGCAGGTGGTCCGCGGAAGGCCGCACTACTACAGCTCCAAGAAGGAGGAGTACGCGCACATCAAGTTTGACCTTGACGCCGGTACGACAATGCTCTGCGCAATGACCGTGTACTTGGCCAAAACTAACTAACACTGTCGCGCAGACCTGACCTCCCTCTTCACGTGGAACACGAAGCAAGTCTTCGTCTACATCACAGCGACGTACCCGTCGCTGAACGCGTCGGAGCCGCCCTCCCAAGCCATCATCTGGGACGCGATCCTGGCCTCGCCGTCCGCGCTCTGGCACCAAAACCACTACATCCACCCGGCGCCGAAAGGCGCGCCCGCGCCCAAAAAGTCCAAGCCCAAGTCCAAGCAGCAGCAGGCGCAGGAGCCGCTCTACCCCGCCGGCGAGCTGCACCTCGCCCGCCAGCGTCCGAAATACCAGATCACGGACGCGAGCGGCAAGCTGGCGAACCGCACGGACGCGGTGCTCGAGCTGGGCTGGAACGTCCAGCCGCATGTGGGCTTGCTGACATGGGTGGATTGGCCCCCGTTGGCCCAGTTCGGTGGCGCGTGGCAGGAGCTTAAGGGAAGGTATAGTAAGAACTTCGATTTCCCGGGGTTGAAGGGCAAGAAGGAGGGGGATACGGCGACGGCGAGGGGCGCCGAGGCGAACAAGGAGGGCGTCTATTGGTAGATGCTGTCGCCTGGCGCGCGCGTGGTGTCTTCGTGTGCTGTGTATATCTTTGTGTCGAGGGAAAAAGCCTCTCCTCTTTCAAGAACAACAGAATTTCTTCAGACTTCCTTGCCAGTTCGCTCTCATTTCGTCACGTCTCACAATGTTACCTTTTGGTCAAACGGCAAACAATTCCTCGGCAGCGCAGTCCCCGCGACCTCCACCGCAGATGCTCACGAACCGATCCCAGAGAGGAGCCAGCGCCAGAGCAGCCTGCCCATCACCACAGCGCTCCACGCCGTCCAGAACAAGCGCTGTGCGCCATACTCTAGATAGATGCGATGAGGCAGGCAGTGTTACAGTACCAGCAACACAATCTACCGCCCAGCAGCCAAAAACAACCCACAGCATCCCCATTAACCTGCCACCAGTACTCACAATACCAGCTCTTTCCTGCTAGCCAACACCACAGAGATAGAAATATCGCGCGGGCGTGTAGAAAGAAAGCTCTATCTCTCTCAACACCAGCGCCACCAACACCGCCACCTTTTCTCAATCCAGCAGCGCCGTACCCGTCTGTACGGCTGCCAAAATGACGTCGTACTTACAGATACGGATACGGATACGGATACAGAGACAGATACAGAGACAGAGACAGAGACAGAGACAGAGACAGACACGACTCACTTCGGCCAAACGAGAACCGCCATGCGGAGGCGTGGAGGCGCAGAGGCGTGCAGCCAAAACAAGTACGCAGACGCAGAGACAGACCTCGACACCTTCTCTTCGTCTCACTCACAGAAACGCGTCGGCGAAGGCGCGTTTGTTCAAGAGAGGAGAGGACCACAGGCGGAGCTGAACACCACCAAAGACACCACCGAAGACGAATACGACGCGCGCTCGAGAGCAAGCCTCATGGAACTACCTCTCTACACGATCACGAAGTGGGCGGATCGCTGAGGCGCAGGACCGTTTTAGCGGACATGCGGGACCGCGGTGGCGGTCGTGTGCTGCGTCAGTATGCAGTGCTGTTCAGCGTCAACATGCAGTGGTGCTGGGCTTCGGTATCAGTGCGGAGTGGAGAGCGCCATGACCTGATGGTGTTTGATTGAGGGACGACTTGGCGGTGCGGTTTGCGTGCTTGCTTGCTTGCTTCCTTCGGGGCTACTGGTCTGCGGAGTGAGCTGCTGTTGTGTCCCGGTTAGTATTTTTTTTTTTTTTTTTTTTTTTTTCAGTTGAACGGAAAGTTGTGGCTGTAAGCGGGATGGGATGTTTGGCGGTGTTGTTGTGGGATAAGGCGGTTGTGGTTTTGTGCATACGACATGCCGTACAGTAGGTATGTTGTATTGGTCGTGAGTGGGTGTTTTGCTGGTGTTATGGCTTTTCTTTGGAAGGGGAGGGGTCTGGTTGCTACTGATGCCGTTTCTAGATATATGTATTAGTCGTCTTGTAGTATAGGTAGGTAGCCTCAGTGAGTAACGAGTATGAAGTACTGTCGTACTCCCAACTGCTTTGTCACTCTCGCTATCCGCTGTAGTCCATGCCATACTTCTCCCGGTCTAAACAAGCAAACAAGCAATCAAACAATCAAAGCAAGCACAATCCCACCACCCATCCATGCAAGCACCCAAGCACCCAACGCCTAACACAGGTAGTCCCATCCCATCCTCGATGTATAGGTATATATGTCTACGCCGACCTTGCCTAAAGATATGTCGTTGTACGCGACCATTACTCCTCCCGCTCCACCTTCTCGCTCTCTCGCTCCCTCCCGCTCACTTTAGTGAGCTACGGACGCGTGTTAGCGGCGTCGAGGGAGTGGGCTACAGCTCGTCCAGCACGCGCAACCGCCTCGCACCTGCACCCCCTTCTTGCCGCGCATCGGTATCTGTATCCGCATCTGTCTGCGCGCCAAGCACCTCGTCCACGAAAGCAGAGGCTGAGACCGAGGCTGCGGCTGCTGGGGCTGTCTTGTCGTGCTCGTGCTCGTATGAGGGGTTTTGTGTGCCGTCCTGGTGTGCGAGGCGCTCTGCGTGGGAGTCTGAGTCTGTTGACAAGGGAGGCTGCATGCGCTCTGGCGCCGGCTGTGCGGTCTCTGTTTCTGGCTGTGCAGACCCCGCCTCCACCTCCGGCTGCACATCCGGCTGCGCCCGCGCATTGTTCGCGCGCGCCTGATGCAGTATCTCCCTCGCGGGCAACGGGATCTGACCCACACGCTCCGGCGCCGAGCGCGACGCATTCGCGCTCAGCACGCCCTCGCTCGTACCCGCACCCACATCCGCCCCCGCACCGCCCCCGCGCACCATCAGCACCATGACGCCGACAGCGAGCACCACGCCCACAATGGCACAGAGCATGCGACCGCGCCACCTGGCCCTCCCGCGCCCGACCTCGTCCTCGCGCTCCCGCCGCTCAACCACCCTCTTCGCCTCCTCGAGCCGCAGGTCCAGCTGCCGAGCCCGTTCGCGGGCGGCCACGATCCGCGCTTCCATGGTGTTGAGCGCGGCGGCGTGGGGGTCGAAGGCGTCGAGCGCGGAGAGTTGCGTTGCCGTCTCGGTTTCGAGCGCGCTGGTGGCGCTGCGGAAGGTGCTGGAGAGCGATTTGGTGCGCGCTAGGAGCTCGTGTAGCCCGTTGATTGCGTGGTGCAGCGTGGAGACTTTTTCGAGGAGCGTGTAGTAGGTTTCGTCGAGCCGCCGCGTCGACGTCATGGCGGATTCAGAGAGGACGCGCAGGGCGCTGCGCAGCGTGCTGTGTTGGGGGTGGTTAGCCGGCGTTGTGCGTGATGTGGTGGGGACTGCAGCAACGCGGCACGAATACATGCATGCGCGGGATACTGTGCGCGGGGCATACTCACTCCTCCCTAACCCTTCCCATCGCCCTCTCTCTCAACACGTCCTCCGGCCTCACGAGCCCCAAAACCGGTGCTCGCCGCCCCTCCTCCCATTCCTCAAGCGCGCGCACCCCGGCGTCAACATCAACACTGCTCCCAGCGCTGCCACGCTCCTTCTCCCTGCCCCTCTCCCTAGCCCTTCCCCTCTCCTTCTCCTTCTCTTTTTCTTTCTCCTTCTCCTTCTCCTTCTCCCTCCCCCCCACAACCCCCGCCCTCACCAACTCCCCCAGCGACGCCCGCCCAGGCTTCTCGTCGCGCGCGTGCGCCGCGTCCTCGGCATCGCTGCCGTCGCTGCCGCCGCGTCGTCGCGAGCGGCTGTGGCTGCGTCCGCTGAGCCCGTGCACGTGGCGATGGCTGCTATGCCGGTGGTGGTGATGGTGGTGGCCGTGCAAGGAGAGGTGGGAGCGGCGCATGCCGGCACCGCTGCCATTGTTGTTATGGGCGGCGTTGCTGCGGCCGAGCGAGATGGTGTTAGCGCGCAGGAGCTGGGTGCCGCTGCCGCTGCTGCTGTTGCTGTGGCTGTTGCCCGTGCTGTGGTTGCTCGTGCTGGCGTGCGCTTGTTGTTGCTGCTGTGTGGACGCCATGGCGGGCCATGGTGTGTGGGAGGGTGGGAGCGTGGGCCGAGGAGAGAGAGAGGAGGCGAGATGTCGTTGCGCTTGCTGTTGCTGCACGGTGGTTGGTCGTGGCCGCGCTGGGCTGGTCGTGCGGTCGGTGGTGGAGAGCTCGGGGCGAGCGTGGGTGCGCGTTGCGGGGACGGCGTTGCATGGCGTGTCGGGGGTGCCGCTGCGCCGGGTCTTCAGCAAAACAAGTCATCCGCGACCATATAGATAACAATCTCTTAGCAAAAGGAGCATCACAGCTCGACCCTCTAAGTTGGTATCAAAAAAAAAGCAAATCAAGCAACGCCCTACGAAAGTAGTAGTCTACGTGCACCAACATCGGTGCAGCCCAACAAAAGAAACCGCCAACCCCAATACCAAAAATGAAAACAAAACAAAAGAAACCTCAGTCCGAACTCTTCGCTTTCTCCTTATCAGTAGCTTCTGAGATCTTGCCTCCGACCTCGGAGATCTTGTCGCCGGCTTTATGCGCCGTGTCGAGCGCCCAGCCCTTGGCCGCGTTCACTTTATCTGAGAACCACTCCCACCAGTCCTTGCCCTTCTGCTCGCCCTTGCCCTCGCCATCTTTCTCGCCGTCGTTGACGCCGCCTTCACTGGGCTGGGGTTCCGCCTCTTCGGGCTCGGAGGCGGTTGGTGCGGTCGGTTCCACAGCGGCGGACGACGCAGGGGTTGAGGATGCGCTGGCCTTTGCCGAAGACAGGGCTGATGATGTAGCAGTTGAAGACGTAGCGGCAGAGGTAGCGACAGACGACGTGGCGGAGGAAACGGTGCTGGACGTGAGGCTGTGGGCCGGAGGGTCGGCGGGCGCCTCTGCGGAGAAGTCGTCCTCGGAATGCAGTCCCATGGGCTTCAGTGGGAGGCGCAACGTGCCGTTGTTAGGCTTCGGCTCCGCACCAATGCTGTCGCAGAGGATGTTGTAGAGCTCGATGTTTTCTGGGTTCGAGTTAGCTTGTTTCTAGGCAACACAGGGGTAGTATCGAGGAATACTTACGGAAAGGCTCCAGTTTACTGCCAGGCTGATGGGGGAAAGCCGGACCTTTGGCAAGGAAAATAGCGCGCATCAGAGGGTGTTCATGGTCGTACCCATGAATGCCCTTCGGGTAGTATGAGTAGCCGTTTTTCAGGCTTTCCTGTACATCGAATTCCTCCTTGGTGGCAATGGCCCAGCCGGTCTTGGGGAAAATCCAGAGTGGCGCAATGCGGTCGTTGTTCGAAAAGTGGTAACGCGTAGGCATATCCCAGTCTCGAAGATACACTTCGACATTTGGGTTGTTTTCTGTGTTCCTCTTGAGATCATTATATAGCTTCTGCAGATCATTTGGGTTCTTGGGCCGCAAGCCAAAGTGCGGCCATCCTTCTATATGCTCAATAAGACTGGTGTCGATCAGGTCCTCGAGCTGAAGAACTCTGGTTGTATCTGTTGATGCCATGCCGTGATCTGAGACAATAACCAAGTTGACAATCTCGGTGAGGTTGCGCTCCGCAAGTCCACTAACAAGCTTACCAAGCATAGCGTCGACTCTGGTAATGCTACGGTGGACTTCGCTGCTGTTAGGTCCGTAGCGGTGCCCATCTTGATCCACATCAGGCACATAAGCCGCAATTAATTGCGGGCGTGGTTGAATTGCCGCAGCACTTGGGTTCTCCGGGCCAGGCAAATCCAGTAGTCCTAGAATCCTGTTGACCTTGAAATCAAGCTTCTCCGTTCCGTTGTACTTGTCCAGGTGGGCCGGCTGAAACTCTCCAATCATTGCCTCGGAGCCAGGCCACATGTGAACAGCGGTTCTGATACCTTGAGCCTCGGCCGTAGACCACAGAGGGTCACCACCCCACCATTTGCTCTGCATGCTGACTTCCTTGTTGGTGTAGTAGAAGTCTTCCTTCAGCTCGGGGTCCCAGAACGAGTTACCCACAACACCGTGACTCTCCGGGTAGAGCCCGGTGACGATGGTGTAATGATTGGGGAATGTGACGCTCGGGAAACTTGGAAGCATGTAGTTGGGCGAGACGCCCTCATCGATCAGCGACCGCATGGAGGGTGTAATGCCTCGCTGCAGGAAGTCAGCCCGGAAGCCGTCCAGCGAAATGAGTATGGTTGTTGGTGCAAACTCCGACGTGCCATTGGAGAGAAGGACCGGCGGCTTTTTAGGCGCAGGTCTGCTTGAAGACGACGCACTAATCGCTAGTCGAAGAAGACCAGCAACAAGAATGAGGATCGCACCATGTATACAGATGCGCTGGATATGTTGGTATTTCCTCTGCAGAACAAAGTCAGGAGGATTACAGCGATAGGTTGGTTCAGTTCATACCTTTTGCCTCGAGTCCTTTATAATCGACCTTATTCTTTCCTGATCACCTTCGAAGGATTCTCTTGACCTACTGCTCTCACCAGAAGACCTGCCACCTTCTTCCATGTTATACATGAGTTCCGTGCTTTCGCCCCGCGATTGTGATCCACGGCCGCGCCGCAACTCTCGTTGCCTCGGGGCATTGTGGTCGCTATCGCCACGGAATATCCGTCCCAGTCCGCTGCTTGAATCGTGGCCTAACAGCTTCTCCCTTTCGTCCTCTTCCTCTAGCAACTCCTGATCTTCTCGGCGCAGCTCTGTGGATGTTTTGCGCTGGTCGTATAATCCCGACGCCTCATACACAGTCTCATCGTCTGAGAGGATAGACTCGGTGTCTTCGACTTTCTCCCTTTCGCCTTGCGCCATCATGGAGTTCCCGATTGTTGCGATTGTTCTAGCAGCGCACGCATGCTCTGGGCCGTAGGCCTTGTCCAGGTCGTGTTGGACCACCGTGGGAAATCGTATCGCAAAGTCTTTCCGTAAGCGGTTGCACGGTCGCGGTATTCAGTAGAGGGTAATTCGAGGGCCGTATCAACTAGGAGAGTGGAGTTGGGTGGTCTAGGGAGATTACATAGCTGAGGTTTCGAGCTTCGGTCGCGACATCTCGCTTGTCCCGATATGGAACTCAGATGATGCACCTTCACCACGTCAGGCAATGTTAGTAAATAACCAATCAAATTACGAACTTGAAACTAGTGAGAAATTGCCTGACCTTGAAATACTAACTGGTTGGAACCCCTTGTCTCTGGAAACTGCCCAGAGGTTTGTTAAGTATTGTGATGATAGCTATCTTTTGTATATACTAGCTTATGCACAAATTTATCTGATCTTAGTATAGCATTCGCAATAGTCATGGACATTTATACAATTGTCAAAGCCTTTGAACAGATCTGTGGACAAATATGCCAACCCGACCTACAGACATGAATGCTACCCCTGATCCTGACATTTAAAAGCTGGTTTCATGGAGCGGATTTAAAGTTGCTTGTGAACGAATATACAAAAGCCTGTCTACATGTATGTACAGAATGATATAATACTTTTCAGCGCTCACAAGATTACCGCATGGTTGATTTGGTCTCGTCTTCACTAGGAATGTAGCAAATCAGGGCATTTGTACGACCACCTCCAAGTCCTCTGGCGGCGGTCCTACGGTCCAGCGTGCCTTTGACTTTCTCACCTCCAAGTGACTTTGAACGAGCATGACGAGCCAAATATGCGGAGCAACCTGCCCCCAACAGAACAGCCAGACCATTCCCAATCCTTCCGCCTCTTTACCGTCTGTCCTGTCGGATCCAATGTCGTTTGAAATGTTTCTTTGGCACGAGACGTTTTCAAGATAACCCTTTTCAAGCAATTCTTGCATTCCAGTCCAAAACTCGTACTGCCTGTCCAATCTCCAGGTAGAGGTATCGAACATCCAGCACCCGCGATCTGTATCATTTATGGGCCGGGACACAAATGCCGGGCGATAATGCTTTTCCAAAGGTAAATTTTCAACATACTGTTCTAGCAACTCAGTCATCTCATTGAAAGATGTCTTATTGCTGACAGATGCGGACGGTGAAAAGAGCTTGATCGGAAGGGAGGCAAAGTCGTAATTTGCTGGACCTTCGTTGCGATAGGCAGACCCATCAGAGGCTCCCTTATTTTTCTCACTCGTGTCTTTCACCAGACTAGTTGAAGCATCTTGGTCCGCTTGCGAGGCTCGGTCTTGTACGTCGTTGGCATCGTCTTGTAACGATGACTGCGAGAGTAGAAATGTTGTTTCTGCTGTCCTGTCACAGTTTGAGCGCCTCGTTTCCATCGCCTCTTCCGGAGACGAGGGAGCTAAGACATTGTGTACGGCCATTGGGGCTGGGTCAACATAATTCTCTGACTGTGATTTTAGACTTGAAATAGGTGCTCCCATGGATGATGTGGGTGTTTGCCAGTCGCCTAATCCATAATCTTCAGGCAGTTGAGAGCTTGGCATTTGCGAATTCATGCTACCTGGAAGTTTCGGGGACATCTCCGGAGACTGGAAGTTTGAGGTTGTTGCATGCTGGGGATTTTCATCCATCTGAGCATCATCAAATGGCTCGTTGATTTCTGATCCTGGAGATAGACGAAGACGTTTCGAGGGCCTTTCCAAGATGGGAGAACTTCCCATAGGATCTGACGACAGCCATTCGTCCGGAAAGGAAGAAAACAAATCACTTTGCAATGCAGCAATCCCTTGCTGCGTGTCTTCAATGAAGGTTTGAGAGTCTGTTCTCTGCAGACCCACATTTCCATGTGACTGAGTTGTGGAAGGTTGCCCATGGGGCTCTGGATTCTCAATGTTTTCTGATAGTTGAGTCGCTTGAGCGCTGGTACCGAAACTTCCAAAGTCCGGAGCTTCGTCAAAGTGTGCCAGTGCTTTGGCACCAGGAGCCATATGTGATGCCCGAGAGGTGTTACCTGCGGCTGGGAGGTGCTGAGCTGGCCCTTTCACTGCGCCTTCCCTATCTGCCAAATCGACCCTGCCAATATCATTTTGGCCGGACGCAGACGAAGATGCTCTGTCTCTAGGATGATCCAGTGCTGCTCCGTCCCTATTCCGACTGGAATCTCTTCGGGGAACCCCTGTTTGAGGCTGGTCGGGCTCGTTTTCAGCGTCTTTATCAAATTTGATTTTTGCCGTGAAGTCGCCAGCTAGTTCAAAATCGTTATAAGCTTCAGCCAGCGCTCTGTAGCGCTCGTCATCCTTGCGGGAAGTAGGAGCTGAGATGTGAACCAAAATATCCATATCTAAAAGTGGGAGGTAAAGGACATTTGTTCGAGGGCAAAGAGGCCATCCTGATGAAAGTACTGGGACCGACCTCGCAAAAGCTGAAAGGAAATGTTAACAAAGCATGATTTGACGGAAGAAGAGTAGGCAACAGGGTCGAGGCTCACCGCCCGCTTCGAGACGGCTTGCATCGCTTAGTCACAATGCCAAGATATCAAAATTCCGTCCGCGCCCACAACACCATCGCCTACGCTATCACCGTATCGCAGCAACAATGGCGCCCGCTTCGCTTCTGGATTTGATTTCCGCGCTGCCCACCAGCGAAAGCTGGGGCCCTCCGGTCTCCAGCGAAACCATGCTCGAGGGCGTTCCTTATGCGCCTTACTCGAAAGCCGACAGGCTGGGGCGTATGGCCGACTGGACCGAGGGCAAGGACCGTGAGGGTCGCGGTGGTCGCCAGCAGTACGGCAACAGAGCCTACAGAGGTGTGTTCTTAATGTCTGGGTTAAATTCCAGCGCAACCTTGATTCGCACTTGAAGGCACCTACTAACGACTTGCTAGATCAGCAGGTTTACGGCGCCTCGCAAGCCAGCAACCCCTTCGCGATCCAGGCCGCCGAGGAGGAAGCTACCTTCTCCGTCGTCGACAACACCCGTACTTCTACTAGGACCCGGGGCTTTGGCCGCGGCGGTGGAACCGTCTTCCGTGGCCGCGGACAGCGTGGCGGCGCAGCCCAGCGCGGTGGCAGGGGAACCTTCCAACGTGTTGGCGGTAGGCCCCAGCAGGGCGGTTACGACAGCCGTGGTGGACGTGGTGGCCGCGGTGGTAGGCGTTTCGGTTGGAGGGACGACAAACCGCAGCGCAACCGGGATGCTTCCGTTCAAGTCAAGCCGGACTGGTCGGTTCTGGAGGAGATTGACTTTGCGCGTCTCTCCAAGCTTAACCTCGAGACCCCCGATGGAGAGGACCTCGACAACTACGGCTTCCTCTACTACTACGACCGTACCTACGACAAGGCGCCCGGTGCCGTTACCTCGCAGAAGAAGCTCAACGTTCTCGACCGCGCGGCCTACAATGTCTCTACGTCGAGCGATCCTATCATTCAGGAGCTTGCCGAGAAGGACGAGGCTACTGTTTTCGCTACCGACAGCATCCTGTCCCTCCTCATGTGCGCGCCCAAGTCCGTATACCCCTGGGACTTGGTGTTCACTCGCCGCCGCAAGCAGGTCTTCATTGACAAGCGCGAGAACTCCAACATTGACATGGTCACCGTCAACGAGAACGCGACTGACGCGCCGCTGGAGACTTCTGAGGGCAACAAGGACGTCATCAACAACCCCAACGCTCTCATGATGGAGGCTACCCACATCAACAACGTCTTCCCTCTCCAGGTCGTCACCGAGTCCCAGTCTGCCAAGCGCGACATGCCCCACGCCCACCCCTTCTACAACGAGGAGGAGGAGACCGACCCGCCCGCGTCCAAGGCCTACAGGTACCGCCGTTTCGACCTCTCGCTCGAGCGCGATGAGGAGCCCCTCCACCTGGTTGTCCGTACGGAGCTTGACGCCGTTGTCAAGAACAACATCAACGGCGAGGACCAGTTCCTGACGATCAAGGCCCTGAACGAGTTCGACAACAAGGCCCAAGGCAGCGGTGGTGCTCTTGACTGGCGCACCAAGCTTGCCAGCCAGCGTGGTGCTGTTCTTGCCACTGAGATGAAGAACAACTCTTGCAAGCTGGCTCGCTGGACTGTCCAGTCCATCCTCGCCAAGGCCGATACTATGAAGCTTGGGTGAGTTTTACACGTATGAAGTCTGCTTTCAGATAAGCTAACAGATGTTACTAGTTTCGTCTCTCGTTCCAACCCTAGGAACAACAACGACCACGTCATCCTGGGTGTTCTCAGCAACAAGCCTCGCGAGTTTGCTACCCAGATGACGCTCAACCTGGGCAACGGCTGGGGTATCGTCCGCACCATTGTCGATATGCTGCTCAAGGAGCCCGAGGGCAAGTACGTCCTCGTCAAGGACCCCAACAAGCCCGTTCTGCGCTTGTACCAGGTCCCGGAGAACACCTTCGAGGAGGAGAACGAGGCTGAGGCCGTGGGTGACAACGAGGATGAGGAATAGATGTGAGGGTTGATTAGCGATATGCTCTACGACATGGTTATGGAATCTTGAGCGAGGTATAAGACTTCGGATACCTGGCTCACAAAAGCAATGAGATAATTCTGTTTAGATTTCAGTTCCGGATGTAGTGACAGTCAATTGAGGGATACCCAAGGGGAATAGCGTTTGGAGATGACTAGACAGCTATGATTTCATTGGGTAGAGTGCCTTCCGATGCTCACGACAGGTGACACGCCACAAGCATGAGCCTCGCTTCATGCCAACGGACACTCACCTTTGTACATCCACCTAAACCTCAACGCAGCAAATCACAACCACGAAGTTGCAAATTGATTCGAGCGATATGGTTCCATCTCAGCCCACTGCCTACCCAAAACGTCATAGCCGCGGAGAAGATGCTTATCAGGCACGATAAGCCCCGCGGCAGATCGACTTGAGCTTCTCCGTGGGCCGTGGAAACAGCCGCCAGCCTGTCACAGCTCGTACAGAGCCGTTACGTTAGACATCTACATCATCTCTCACGGTCTGGAGACCTGGCAGCGGAGAGCATTGTGCCATTGACTGATTTCTTTGCAGTTGAGCCTACGCAGTCCCTAGCTATCGACCTGATCTTCCGAGCCCACCACCTGATACACCACGCCGCGCAAGAGATCGACCCATCATGTCTGCAAACACACACCACGACGAGGCGAAGCTGGAGTCGGAGCATTTCTCGCCGTATCGTCCGGACGGAAAGCTGGTGGGCTACACATGGAGTTCTGCGAGCTGGTGATCGGCTTCTGACTTGAGGATAGTATGGCTTCGTGTGCGTCGTTACCGGCGCCACGCAGCCCATTGGGACGGCTATTACAATGGAACTTGCAGGTGAGTGGAATCCATGGCCCTGGAACAAGGGATACTGTTTTAAGAAAATGACTGACGGCTTTCACAGCTCACGGTGCTGCCTGTATCTACGGTACGCCCCTCGCTCGTCCCCCACACTCGCACCCCGCATCCATTGAACCCCAGAACCGCATCCGTCACAATCACATGCTAACAATGGGCCGGGCGCAGCATGCTCGGACATGCCTAACAGCGACTACAAAGGACTGGCGGCGGCCGTTAACGAAACGCACCCCAACACGAAAGTGATCGGGTATCCGTACCACATCGCGACGGAAGAAGACACGCTGCAGCTGATCGACGACGTGCTGAACGCGTGGGGCCGGCTGGATGTGTGGGTGACGTCGTCAGGACTACTGGGTCCGCCCTCGCTGGCCGCTACGACGCCGGCTGTGCTGCGCGACCTGTTCTCGCACAACGCGATGGCGCCCTTTTTTGCGCTCAAGTACGCGCCGCCGGCCATGGCAAAGACGACGCCCAAGGGCAACTACCCCAATGCCGCACCCAAAGATGTACCCTACGGCTCCATAATCGTTGTCAGCTCCGTGGCCAGCTCCTACGGCGGATGCTGGGGCCCCGGCTTCACCATGAGCTCCCATGCCGCGTTGGGTGTGGTGCGCGCTGGTGTTGCCGCCCTCAAGGGAACTGGTGTCCGCATCAACTGCATCTCCCCCGGCCAGATCGATATGGGAATCGATCTCAAGAGCTTCGACATGCGCGGCATGACCTCGCAGCTGCCGCCGCACGACCTGCAGGCCCCCGAGATGCAGAAGTTGAACATTGGGCTGGAGCGCGCGGGCATGCCGCAGGAGATTGGGCGCGCCGCCGGGTTCCTGGCTAGTGGCTTTAGCAGCTACATCACCGGCGCAAACCTGGTTGTCGATGGCGGTGCGACGTATGTTTATTTTCCCCCTCTCTTTCTCCCCTCTGTCCGAGGGGCTTGCTTCCCGATAACGGGGTTGACGCTGAGGCAGGACTATGAACCCCCTGACGGTGCCCGTTTGAGTGGGTTTCTAGCTGCACTGTCTCCAGTCTATGGCCCCACGAGGTCTCGTCCCCACGCCCTCACCGGCGAGAGAGATTCACCGGCCAGCGACATAGCCAATGGAACTTTTAACAGGTCGTCTTTGAGATCGTATATATCACCTATCATATTAAGTTGTTCTACGTTCGAAACTTCGATAACACTTTCTCAATATCTTAATATCTTAGAAAGTGTATATGTACCCTCTACAGATTGTTTCTTGCCCAGCCACAAGCCTGAGCCCTAAACGTAGCAGAGAGATCAACCCCACAACGCACACAAACGACTAATCTGCAGCAGGGTTACATTTCCAGGCCGTAAGTACATCCATTGTACGAAGACGCACGAAGATCCTAAAGACGGTGAAGCCCGCATGACAACGACACAAGCACGAAACCCGGACAAAGTTCGCAGCAGCGGAGGCACACGAGCCCTCGCCAGTGGTGCCAGTATCATAGCTCGCAGCCGCAGCGGGCAAAACCACGCACGTCAGTGCCGTCTTTCCTGTTCGGGCGGCTCGCACAGCTCCTATACTCCATACAGTGATCGTACAGTATCCCTGCCTCCACGCAGCAGCAGAAGGGGACCTCTCGACTCCACCAGCTTTAATGCCCGCAGGTATCGCGCTTGTCCTGCTCCACTGCAGACGCCAGCACCTCTTCGCACCAGCAGGCCGCTCCGTTGCTCTTCCATTGTCGGAGCGGCACTGACAGCCTGCCTTACCGGTTCCACAACATCAACACAATACCCAAACAAGCCTGCACCACAAACACCCCCAACAATTAACCACACACACGCCCCCCTAGGAGTACGTAGGCACCTATCACGCCTTTCCCCCCTCGCCTCTCATCCGCTCCATCTCCCGTGCAGGGGGCAGCGTGTCCGGTCCAAACGACATAGGCAGCAGCTCGCCCAGCGAGCGCACCTCGTACTCGCCGTCGCGGTTATGCATGAAGATGGGCGTGTCGAGCTAGATGCGTTGGCAGGAGTGTTAGCAAGCGGTCGCTGCTGAAGCGCTATGAATCGCTATGGGATGGAGGGGGAGGGGAGATTCTTTGTCTCCTCTCTAACCCTTCTCCCCTCCTCTCTACCTCTCAACCCAACCCCCCAACCCCTCTCACCAAAAAGGTAAACTACCCTTGAGGGAGGGCCGGTGCTGGTGTACAATATGCAATCCACGCTGGCTTGGCCCCTGCCGCTGCACGCGCTGACTAGCTAGCTGATGTGCTGACTAGTTAGCAGCCTTGCTGGGTCTGCGAGTAAGGCAGGCGGGCCGCCAGGCGGGCGGACGGGCAGGTGGGCCATGCCGTGCCAGGACCCTGACCGACCGGGACCCTCGTCTCAGGGACAGAGACGACGGTCTAAGGCCTGAGGGCTGAGGATCACTTGCTCTCCACGTGTCTGACAGCACCAGCACCAGCACCCCTCACCCCTCACAACCACCCAAAAAACCCACCCAAAAAATACAGACAAAATAAAAGCACACCCCAAAAAATAACAATAACAATAAAAAACCAAACAAAGAAATAAAAACAAAAGCAACTCACATCCAAAAACTCCCTCAAAAACTGGCGACACATGCCGCACGGGCTCGCAAAGCCCTGGATATCCGTCGCGACGCCCACGGCCTTGACGCCGCCGCGCCGCAGCCCGGCTTGCACGACTGCCGTGCCGACGGCTACGCGCTCGGCGCAGGTGCCGACGGGGTAGGCGGCGTTTTCGACGTTGGCGCCTTGGATTATGGTCGGTGTGGTGGTGGGGGGGGTTTGGGGGTTGCTGCTGCTGGGGTGCAGGAGCAGGGCGCAGCCGACGCGGAAGGAGGAGTAGGGGCCTGTGGTTGTTGGGAGGCGTTAGTTTGGTTTGGTTACTGTAGGTGTGTTGCTGTGCTGTGCTGTGCTGTGCTGTGCTGTGCTGTGGTGTAGGAGGAGTATGGTGGGGGTTTGGGGCTGGGTTGGGTTGGGTTGCGGCGCATGTGTGGCTGCTTGGGTATGGTAGGCGCGTATAGGTAGGTGAGATGTCTAGAGTACCTAGGTAGACACACGCAGCGCAGCAAGTACGCCACTCGCGCTCTCCTGCGTGGACTCGTAGAGTAGAGCAAGCAGGCGTGCCCCAGAGCACTCTAGCAAGACAAGGCAAGACAAGGCAAGGCAAGACAAGCGGGGAAGGCGCGGCCGGCGAGCAGCGAGCAGCGGGGCGACGGAGACCCCTCCACCGACACCTAGAGACAAGCTTAACGCGACCCGCCTCGCTCTCGCTCGCTCGCGGCACGGCAGGGCGCCACCAGCACGGCAAGGGGCGAGCCTCGGCTTGGCTTTGTCCCGCGCTCGCAGGAGTGCGGTAGCGAGAAGAGGCGTTTTGCTTGCTTGCTTGTCTGCTCTGCTCTGCCGTGCCCGGCTGGCTGGCTGGCTGGCTAGACGCCGACGCAGACGCAGACCCTCCCAGCGCATCCTAGGTAGGTGTCCTGTCTGCTCTGCTCTGCCCCGCCAGCCAGTGTGCCATTTGTCTCGCGCTCACCCGCCCGCTTGCTTGTCCGCTTGCTCCGCGTACTCCGCTCACCATACCCTAGGTATGTAGGTATGCATGCTTGCTCCCGCCGCGCCAGGGCGCTGCCGCTCCACGCCATCTCACCCACACACTTGCCCACCAAGCCGTGCCGTGCCGCGCGACCCTTTCGCTGGTGTAGAGTAGGGTAGGAATTGGTTCCGCCAGCCGGCGCTGGAGGCGCTTCCCACGCCGAAGACGCTTCTCATGCCGATGGCTGTGCTGATGCTGGTGCTTGTGCTTGTGTTGACAGAGGCAGGAATGAAAGAAGAGACGTCACGTACAATAAGCCCTCCCGCGCGCATCGAGGCTCTTCTCCGTCAAGGCGCGGACTTCCTCGGCCGTGAGGCCGTGGTGCAGCGACTGTGCCGGTGTCGTCGTTGTCGTTGTTGCGTCGGGCATTGCGCTGTGACTGTGGGGGGTTAGTGCTGCGGATATGTATGTATGTGTGTATGGCTTGGGCGCGCGCGCGCTGCTCGGACGGATGCGCGGAGGTTGGTTGGTGGTGCTGAGGGATGGAGTCGCAGAGGTTGGTTGCTTGATTGCTTGCTTGCTTGCTTGGTACGGAGTAAGGTACCTAAGGTAAGGTGAGGTGGTTCCTCTACGCAGGGAGGCGAACTGCAGGCAAGCAGTAGAGTACACAAAGAGACGACGACGACAATGGTGACGATGACGACAAGGACGAGGACGAGTCTACGAGTAGCTGCGGGCTCGGAGAGGGGCCAAAGGAGGGGTCGGGGGAGGGGCCAGACAGCTGACAGCTCGCTAGCAGGAGGAGTCGTGGGACGGGTCAGGTTGGATTGGGAGGGGCAGCTGCAAGGCAAGGTCGCAGGGCCCTGGCCAGGCATGGACGCCAGCAACCAGGCAGGAGGCGGCGCAGATCCGCGGCGGGGAAAGACGGCAAGCCGTGAGCCGTGAGCCGTGAGCCGTGGCCGTGGCCGTGGCCTCGCGGGCGCCGGGCGCGGCGACGGGGACCTTACCTAGCGATGGATGCTTGGATGGGCGATGACGATGACGAACAACGAGGTTAGTACCTCCTGTACCTACCTAGCGCGCAAGGGCCGCTTTGGCTCCTCTCTTGCTGGCTCCTCTCTCCAATCGAAGTAACTATGTACGCACGCTACGTCTCCGCTCGGCGGCGCTGCCCGTCCGTCCATCCATCCCTGCCATCCATCCACTCGCTCGCTCGCTTTCAAGCTCTGACGAGCGAGCTTGCAGCCCAGACCGGTAAGGTAACAACGTGCGCGACGTCGTCCGTGCACCGCGCCCGTCAGTGCTTTAGTTTCGCATATGCCCTTCCGTGCCTTTTTGACTTTGTAATTAGATCTAGGTATGTACTGTGCTGTGCTGTGCTGTACCTTGACAGCGACAACAGCAGCAGCAGCAGCATCAACAGACGGAAACAACAACCACAACCCACCAGCAACCACCTACCAAGGCAGCCAAACAGCGGCCCGTCACACACCCCAGGCCCGGGGCAGCGCGTGGCAATGCCGAAGCGAGAAGTCGCTCGCGACCACGAGGCGCGGCGTGGCAGAGGCCAAGAGCGGCCCAGCGGCACGTGGGGCGGGCAAAAGCGTGGTGAGCGCGTGGGGGCGCGCGCGCAGCCTGATCATGGTCCCGATCTTCCGTCCTGGGTCCTGCTAGCTAGCTCGTTTAAGAAGACGTGGCTGGGGTCTGTGGGTGCGTGTGGGCAACTGGGCTCCGGCGGCCTGTGGGCGGGCGGGCTCCGGCCTGTGGGCTTCTCTGGCCTGGTGCGTGGGCTCTGGGCTCCCTGGCTGGCTCTAGGCTGTGCGTGGTGCTGCTGGTGCGTGGGTGCCCGAGTCCCATCCCTCCTCTTCTGTCGTCGGCTCGTCGGGGGCGCGGGTTGCGCGTTTCGTTTCCACTGCGACCTGGCGACCTGCGCCCTGCCCGATCCGGAACTGCGGCGGTGTGTGGTAATGTGGCGAGGCCTTGCTTATGGGGCCGCTGCTACGTCGTGGCTGCCAGGGGATGGGGGGATCGAGCTTGTCGTTGTGGAGTGCTGATTGGTTTGTTGGCCCTGCTGCTGCTGCTGCTGCTGCTGCTGTGGGATGGTGGGTGGGTGGGTGAATGGATGGAGGGATGGTAGGGATGGATGTGGTTGTGGGTGAGAGGGCGATAGGCCGCAGCCTCGCATACCCAAATAAGGAGGCGCACATGGCTACCTCTATCTCTCGAGTCTCATCTATTATCTGTCTGTCTAGGTTCATACAACCTGCCGCCGCCCTCCCCCCCATCACAACCGCCCACGCGACCACCCCCACAAGGGAGGCGGGTACACTGCATCAAAGGCGTGCGACAATCTGTGGATGCTGTGTCTCTTTCTCTCGCGTTCTTGAACAACGCTTCAATGCCGCTTTGCTTGGAAAGCTACGGACTACTCTCGTCTCGATCGCTAAGATACATATCCGAACTGTGACCATCGTGTTTTCACCCGTGTTTCCATCGTACGCATTAACCCCCGTTGGTGAAGTCGAGTCGCTCATGGCCATCCAGTCTTTCGTCTGTCTCTTCTCTCTTTCTCTTTCAAGCTGCTCCAAGCGAATAGCCAGCCTTTCCACGCCCAAAGAGCGGTACGAGTGGATGAGCATAGTGCCGAGTAAGAGAGCAGCCAGAGAATGCAAGTAAGCAGCAGCCAGGAAGCAAATTGAAAGCATAACAAATCAGAGTCCCAGGTTTTTGTTTCCTTGTCCATGGATTTCCTTTCCTCCAATGCTGTCCCACTGTGGGCGGGTCCCACATACCAAGCAACACACATTACGCCCATAAATTGACTCCCAAAAAAACAAACAAAGAAAACCCTGAGTGTGAATCGAAATCTTTGCGCGCAAAGCAGAAATGAGAGCAGCAAAAACCCGAACTAGGCCTCCAACCCAAAGAAGCCAGACCATTTGCGCCAGCCAAGGGGAATAGTAGAGAAAAGCTTTTAGAGCGGTATGTCGATGCCGGGTGTCGGTCATGTAGGGGGATGAGAAGGTATGCAGCGGTCGTTCCTATCGTACAATGCATGAAGGAAACCTCTTGTGCCGTACGGAAGGATCCTCGTCTTCTGTGATGCGCGAAAATGTGCAGCCGGAGGATATCGCCGAGTAAACGTATCATAGCATGATGCCGTAAAGAGTTGAATGGGAAGAAGAAAAGGCAGCTTGGTCAGCTGCAATGCTGTTATGTGCTCATCGATATTGCCTTCCGCCAGCGAATTCTACGCCTTGCATGGCGGACGCTTGCGCTCCAGGCGGTGCTCCCTGCGGCCACTGTGAGTTTATGGGTTGCAGCGGAGGCAGGACGTTTGGTTGACCGGGACCGGCTTGCGCTTGCTGTTGCTGCTGTTGTTGTTGCTGCTGCTGCTGCTGTTGCTGCTGCTGCTGCTGTTGCTGGGCTGCGAGATAACCGGTCATCGTGCCGTACACGTGTGGGTGACTTGGATCCATTTGGCGAAGCTGTGCCCAGGTCGCGTGAAGCTCGTGTCGGAGTTCCGCATTTTCTCGGGCGATCTCCTCAGATCGGGAGTTCATGGAAGCCGCGGATTCATGCCGCATACGGGATGTCTCCGTCTGCATCCTTTCGTAGTCTCTCTGCATCCGCCGAATGTACTCAATGGCTAAAATTCGTGTCAATGGCTGCGAGGTGCGATGAAACTGACATGTATATCACTTACACTTTGTCAAAATTTCCCATTTGCTCGACTTGTTGCCCGGTGAGTTGGGCAATATTCCGTTCAACTCGTCGAAAAGCTGCTTCATTTCACTCCTCCTCTTCCTCTCGGCCATTTTATGGCTGACACGTAACTCGGGTGTCCGGCTGTAGTTGCCAGTACCGGCCGGAGACGTGTGTTCATTCTGGAGGTTGGTCACATTACGATGTTGCATCGAATGGTGGTGAGTATGTGCAATATCTGCAAAGTCGTTAGAAAGGGACAGCGCCGAGCACCAGTCGTTCTCACCATCATCAAATCTTTTTTGTCCGGCAGGCAAGGCGGATTCCACAGTGAAGATACTGCTGTTGATCGACGTGGCGAAACTGTTCTGCCTCGAGGGAATCGATCTCGTCGATCTCTCCACACTAGAGTCCCCGCTGCTTGAACCTCTGCGCTCATCCGGATCCGTGTGATCCGGGAAGGCCCACGGGAAACCCTTAGTGGGGGCTGCCGCCATAGGATCGGGCATCCCGGATACACTGCGCGGGTTCGGATTGATCACGGGCGCTCGCCGAGGCGCCTGATTGGATCGCACAGAACTCCTTGGACCCAATGGGGACATGGGCGCACCAGTGCTCGATCGGTGATCACTCGTGATGCCTCGCTGCTGCTGTAAATTTGACACGAGGGACACACGAGAAGTGTTTTGACTCTCATATGGAGAAGAAGGATTGAGAGCCAGCTGGTTCATGCCGGCGTTCATGCGGCTATCGACGCTGCTTCGCCGCGACTCCAAGTAAGGTGCACCAGCATCGAGGCTCTGCCGGTTCTCGAATGCATGGTTGAATGATGGCAGCGCAGTCGACTGCTGCGATAGATGCCTTCCTGAGTGCGGCGTTTCCGGAATAGCTATCGAGTTGCGTGAAGGCGAATCCTCGGCGTTGAGAATGGTTTGAAGTTGAAGACCAGTGGTATTAGAGACACCAGAAGAATGCTTGCTCTGCGTCTGGGAGATTGACCAGGTCCCAGAGTCCCGGTGATGGACGTCAGTGTGTTGCCGGTGCATCATTTGCGATTGCTCAGATGGAGACAAGCTGTGTGTCAGCGACGCAATTGAGGGCAACGCCTGGGATTGAGACATATTTGACTTCAGGCCTAGGCTGAAGTCGGTGCTGGCAGCGATCAAGGATGCAGGAGTTTGGCGTTCTTGCGCAGCTGCGAGAGAGAAGGGACCAAGTGCTTTTAGACGGCGATTGAATAGTCAACAGGTGACAGGGTTGCTTCTGTCAAAGAAAAGGTGAAAGATGGCGGCAGTTGGTGCGATCCAGGCTTCCAATAGAAAAAGGAAAGAAGCGACGGAGCAGCTAGGTCCATGTCAGTAGGCAAGGTAAGAGGAAGGAAGTCGACGTCAAGCGACGCGATCACATGCGGGGTCGGAAGGAGTGAAAAGCACTCACAGGGAGAAGGACGACGGGTGGCTGCGGCAGCGGAACAGGAGGACGAAGGTAGGTGAGATTGGCGAAGAGGATTAGTTTTAGGGAGATGGAAGAAGCAAAAGAGTGGCTCGCGAGCTCGACGTCAGCGGTCGAGAGGTGGGCGTGGGCAACTATGTAAAGGACATTGAGACTCGTCGAGTCGTCAAACAGTACGTGTCTGCTGCAGCGTGCGGGCGTGGGGCGAGGAGGGTGTTCAATGTCGTCGTCGTCGAGGGGCGGGCGCGCGCACACCCTCGTCGATCACGTGGGCTTCGGGGCGTCCTGGCGTCAGGCGGTGCAAAAAGGCAAAGCTCTCGGGGAAGGCAGGCGAGAGATGGGAGAGATGGGTGGGAAAAGAGTCGGGGCCAAGAGGGATCTTTTGGCTTGCCGGGACCTGTCTGCTTGTAAAAGACAGGCGGCACGCCCTTGCAGAACGAACGAGCGGATGGGCATGAATCAGTGGCCGGACCCAGAGCTTTGGGTGAAGAAGCGTGTCACGGTCACGGAGATCAGCGTCGCAAGCCAGAGCCAGGTGCTCACGGTGCTAAACGGCGCTACTCGGAGGACTATCCTGGGCTCCACGTGCTTCGGGGGGGGTGCCTAGCTAGCAGATCGCAGAGGGCCATCTGTGTGCCGCTGTTTGCGGGCGGGCACGCCAAAAAAAAACCTAGTCAGCTCGCCTCCGCCTCACACAACACACCTCGTGGCTTTCCGTCCGGCGTCCGCCACTGTGGAGGCACACCCTCCCGCTGAGAGGCCGATCTGCTGAGCCATGCCAGGAGGGCCTCGGAATGGACGCTGCATGCAGCTGCATATCATCCTCTTGTACTCGCCCAACGGCCCAAAGGCCTCGACCGCCTGACGCCATTGTCTCATCTCTGCCGTTACACGATGACTCAGCCGACCCTCACCGACACAACGGGGAATTTGCGTGCATTCGACGAGAGACGCAACTACACGTCTCCCAACGACCGGGTTTCCTGCCCATGTCACACCCGTCAAAAAAGAAGGTTACCTACCATGTCTTTGTTGCTTGGTCTCCTCGGACTCAACAGCTTTCGACGCCGTTCGTATATCACACCAGCCAGTATACCTACCTAGCCGCCCTTCATGCTGTCAAACCCACCTTCTTTGACAATGCCTCGAAAAAAAGAGGCAATCCGAACCGGCCCATCGCACCTCTCGTGGAGCCCTGTGTGGCGTAAAAACAGTGGCGGCAAAAGCATCGTCGGCGTCGATATCACGTTGCAACAATTAATCCAAGGCGCATCCACCCACACCGCTTTCCTCTCCTCGCGCGGCTCTCTATCAGAGGGCGATTGTGGCGTTTGTTGACCTAGCTAATGCCCGTTTAACTCCCGCGTTCTCTTCCCGACCTGGTGAAGGATTGCTTTTAACTCCACGCTCACGCCTTTTGTTGCGCAAGCAGGAACGAGGCTTAATTCAAAGTCGGTCGACCTGAAGTCACTGGCTGGACTGCATGACCGGCTAAAAAGGCACATGGCGACAGTTCGACAGCCTCGTGTTAGACCATATCCTTACGTGGTAGCTACCCACGAACACGTTACGAGGTTTTCGTCAGCGTGAGAAATCACGAGCAGCTAGGAGGACTGTGGGCTGGTTCGCTACACCCCTCGTGCTGCAAGCGGCTACTCGAGCAGGGTAGATAGGACGATTGCAGAGATTTTACTCAACACCAACAGCACAAGACAACAACAAGGGCGACGCCGCTGCAGTCATCACAGTCATCGCCTGCCGTCCGCGGCATCTCGATTGTACCGTTGAGGGGCTATTCGAAGGGGCGCGTTGCGCTGATGGCGTGCCGCTGCAAAACCAGACTCTAGCCGGCTTCTACCACCACACCCGTCTCGGGGGTACCAGGAGTGACCACGTACGAGTACTCGTGCCGTGATGAGTGCCAAGAAAATTGCAATACTCACCTACGAGTACACGCATGAGTACCTAATGCGCCAGCAAGTTGTCCTCGCCCACGCCAGGCTACCGTAGGCACAAGCTCAGTGCGGTCGCTCAAGCTCGCCATGAGCATGGGGAAACGGGCGCAAAGCGACGCTCCCCAGAATGCCATGCCATGTCACGTCCAAGTAGATCCCCCACGCCATCATTCCACAACCCTCCTCTGCTCTCTCTCCCAACCCGCCCCTCTCCCAACCGCACCCAAAAGGCAAGCCCAGACGAGGCGGCACCCCTCCTTCATCCCCACTCCAGGCAATCGGAACCTACGCAACCCACGAACGGTGCGGGCGCCCGCCCCGGCTCCCTTCCTTACGTCGCACCCTGCTCTCGGCCCGTCACTCGTGCCAAACTTTCATGTGGTCCGATTAATCCGATCAGTTCGAAAAATAGCAAGCGCGTCATTGTTTTCGGCGCCCCCCGACAGCCCATGGTTCGGAGCGGAAACAAGTGCGATGCACCGTCTACAACCGGCGGCAGCAGTAGCGAGAAAAAGAAACGCTTCTTCCCTAGCCTGTGGTGGGGAGTGACCAGGTACCCCCTTCGTGTTTCTAGGGTTGCAAAAGAGCGAACCCATGGCTCGGCTATGTTGCCCTTGGTGTTGCAGTGCATCCCGCCCCAAAGGTCGAAAAATGTGCCTTATGGCTGCTCGGATCTACGCATGACCACGCAGGTTTCAGGCAGCGGCCTGAAATTGCGTTCATCGAAGAAGCAACAGTGCTGAAGATAGCTGTTGTAAGCTTGCAAGCTGTTGCTCGTATAATTTCTCAAATATAGGGCTCTGTCGCCACCCGCATGTGGAGCACCCAGCCATGGAAAATAACATCGCATGGGACGTTAATCTCTGGTGATATTATTTCCCCGCAAAAAAGCTTCTTTCGTGTCGGTGCAGCGTGAGCTGAGAGCGCGTTCTCCAGTCAGCGAACGGCAGGCAGCCAGGGGTGAGCTGGGGGCTCCCGACCCCACGGACCAATAAATTCAAACGTCACCTTAACTACCTCGACGACAGGGCCTGGTGCCTCTCTACTCCGGACACACCAAGGACCGAACGCTCGGGCAAAAAGCACTTCTGCTTGCTGCCCTGCTGCCGATGCTGCCGATGCTGCTGTTGCTACCGCTGCTGCGCGCATCGAGCATGGGCATCGCGCAAGCCTGCGCGCGGCTCGCGCCTCTTCCTCTGTCTGCCCTTGGCTCTCAACGACCTTGCCAGAACACCGGTATCCGCGCTCTCCAAGGGGCGAACGGCTGCTCCACAGGGCTGTGCAAATGGTTCGATTCTCTCGTGGTCTGGGAGCGCGTTGAGGCCCTGTGGAGATCGCTGTTCGAGGTGCTGATGCTGCTCAATGCCCCTGCGGGGCTCTAAGAATTTCGTGGGTGTGACGGTGGCGTAAGCGGGGGGCGAGCAGGTGCACCGTAGCATCGACCTCTCTGATGAACCCCTTCGGGCTGCCGTAAGTAGCCTAATCGCAACCAGATAAGCTCGCTCTTCCTTTTCTCCTACGCGTTCTTGAATTCCTGGCATTTCGTCCTCGACGCAACCTCTCTTACGTATTTCTCATGTCCGTTGTCTTGCTGGAATGACTTCCTACCCCCGTAGACTTTGAGGTCGGCATTCCCTGGCCATGTATGGAGACGATCTTCATATTGATGTGAGGTCGAGACTTCGTTCGCGACCCCTTCACGAAAACTGGCGTGGACCGTCGGAGTTTCGGGCCACTGCAAAGCAGTCAGGCTGTCAGTCCTCATTTTCTGATGCAACGAATGGGTAGACAAGATGGAAGACATCCAATGACTGGGACTTACTGAACCCTGGCTCCAAACCGATGGAGCAATTGATTGTGATTGGAGAGGAAGAGGCTGTACTATCACCAGAAGGGGTCGAACATTTGCTGTCTACTAGTGGCATGCGGGTGTCATGTCATTGAACCTGGCCCCGTTGTTTTTCATCCTAGTAGCTCTACACGCGTTGCTGTATCATGGCCCTGTCATATCCATTGTTATTTCCAGCGTTGGCCGAACTAATTGAAGCGCAGGCGGCTGATTCTTGTATCCGCAGTACTCGCTTCCAGGCTTTCTGATACGCAGCGAAAGCTCCTGGCGTTGATATAGACAACAACTCAGCCATCGGTTTCGATACTGAGACATCGTTGCCAAGCGGATCTAGTAGAATGCACAATGGCATCGAAATTACGGATGCAAGAAACCAAGAACGTCATTTCCGAATCGGTCTAGGAGTATTACTCCTTCAGCGATGGCGCAAGTAAATCGGCCCACCAACATCCTTACCATTATCACAACTCGTTAAGATCATCCCCACATGGTGAACCTTATTGTCGTTCTGGACCCGGAAAGTGGTACCCCGTTGATGCTAGGACCCGGCGACTAAAGCTCTAAAAGTATCTGCTCGGTGGACATACCTACGTGGAGCCTCGGACTAGGAAGAACGGGTAATCACAGGTGACACTGTGCATTTGGCCACCCCATATTCCTGCTGCTGCGTACCCAATACCAGCGGCTTTGTCCTTGGTGTAATTTCATTGTTGGATGGGTGTCGTAGGGTGAAGCACTTCGCAGTGACCAGAGACAGCGAAACGTGAGGTCGAAAATCCGTCTCCGATGTCGCAGTTTCTCCGCTTTCCGATTCTGGCTCACTGCCTGTTTCAGCTTTCTACCCGCTGATGACAAAGTTCACAGGCGTATGGCTGATCCATGTGATGAAAGTTGTTTGGTTTGTTAAGGTATAGCTAAGCGATTGCATACTACTCAGACAATTTTGGAGGAATAACCTTGTCGGCATGACTGCCGAACTAGTAGTAGCTAGGAATTCGACTGACTGGAGGCTAGAGCTAAAGGACAGAGAGCTGGCAACCGCCAACGGGACGGCCAACAACCAGATCAAACTCCGAGTTTTCGTCACCAACCACGCAACCAGCTTGCGTAACGCTATGAGTCACTCGAACATCGAAGAATCGAAAAGCTTCAATCTCACTCAGCAGGTCTAGCAAGGCAACACTGGAAGCTTCTTTTGCGGAACACCGCATCACTAGTCGCTTTATGGCAATCTTCATCATTGTTGTCGTGCGCATCTCGTAGGTTCTCTCCTTAGTTGCTACTGTACACATCAAGTCGCGTGTCTGTTCGTCTTTAAATTCACCATCACTGCGCTGCTACCGACTGCTGATTGGCTGGTCCATTTTCATACTTTGCTTTCGCCAGTCAGATCTACTGAGTTGTCACTCGTATGTTTCTAAGGGCTGTTACCAAATCGAAGTTTTTTGTCGATAGAAAGAAGTGGTTGTATCGTGTCTTTGTGTGGAAGTTTTTGAGTGGTGAGATAGCCTGGTAGGTAGATATCCACCCACTTGAGATATGGCCTCTGACTGGTGTGGTCACCATGTTGTCGCCAAGGTAAGCTTGTTCGCGCCTACTTATCTCAGCTTTCAGTGGAACAGCACGAACTTCAAAGCAGGCTTACCATAACCGCACCTCTAGTCGTCACACCTGCTTAGCGCATGAAGCTCGCTTTCGGCCCAATATACACCTGGAAGGTTCAAGAGGTGAGAACTTGAATTCGATCATGGGGACTCGAGAACTACAAGTTTACAAGAAGCATTGAGTTCGTATGCTGTATCTATTAATCGTGACATGTAGTGCGCCAGTAGAGCGTAGAGACCCTGCGCTGTCGTTAGGGCATGAGTTTCCCGTTTAGGTTAGTGTGCTAACTTTGGATTGCCCTCTTGTCTATTGTTCAACTTTCACTTAACACTTAACTAACAACTTTTCTGTCTCTCCCCAACGATTCTACCAAATCAACCCTACAAACACGAACTTCCACAATATGTCGGAGTCAACTTCTAACGAAGATGCCTTCGAGGTGTCTGACGACCATACTTTGGAAGTGCCTGACCATCATAGCGGACATCCCACCGCTGATTCCGCTGTCGCACGCGATTCCATTGTCACCAACAGCAACCAGAAAGCTCAACTAAATCAAAGTGCCAGCCACTTCCTCCGGCTGCCAGGAGAGCTCCGCAACAGGATCTATGAGCTCTTGCTAACATCGCCGTACATACGGATCCGTGAGGTCTCAGAACGCGATATTCGAGCCCGTTCCCCACATAAATTGACCCTGACTACAGGCTTGCTTCTCGTCAATCGTCAAATCTCTCAAGAAAGTATTTCGTTTATCTACGCCAATAACAGATTCATGATTGAAACGGATATCCTTCCTTATTTTGTGGGAATGGTTGGGGATTCTATTACCTACTTGACAGAACTAATGTTCACCGGGTTGGATCTATGTCGCACCTTTCCGCCCAATTACGGCCGTTCGGGTGATTCACTCTACGAGTTGACGCAGCCGCCGCTAATATCATCTCTGTTGCTCGGCAAAGCAAGCAGCATAAAGTGGCTATCCTTCTCTCTGTCGCTCTACGACTGCAACATACCTTCCGCAAACTGCCTGGCATTCCTTATTTACGATTATCTATACTACTGGATCAAGGCTGTTGGGAAAGCTAGCGGTGATAAGTTTGCTGCTATGGATCGCTACACTATCTGGTTCGCTGGAGATAGTGATCTGTGCGAGAAGTTAAGCGGAGTTTGGGAAGAGGAGAGATTTCAGACAACTTATCGACGGAGGCTCAGGGAGTTGATCGACGGCTGCACATTCCCTGATGAACCATACGATGGTAACATTTTATGGGATTGGACAACATCATTCAAAATTGCAGGACACTAGTAGTGATGGGGATCAACACAATCGAAGAGCAATACAGAAGAAGGTCAAAGTGAGGCCACTAAAGAAACAAAGACGGGCTGATATGGATTCAAGAAGTGGAGGATCAACGGACACCCTTTATTCGTGCCTTATCCAGATTGCCACAGCTGCAGGATGGGAAAAAAACAAATAGCAAACATTGGTGCTTGGAAGCTCATAGAACAGTCAATTCAAATTGCCGCAGTACAAGATCCTCTTGGTCCATATCGTGGCTGTGACCGTGAAAACAAAGTAAAAGTGCAAGAGTAACTCCTACTTCTGAGTCCTTTCAAGTGTATCTTCGGAAATGCTGCTGATTGTATCACGGCTTCCCTGCATTCATAGATGTGACTGACTTGTCTTGAAGCATTACTACTCTTTTAATACTCGAATATTGCTGATGCTGTGAGTTTTGGCAATGTAAACATTTACTACAGTCATTGTCTTCAAACATGACTTATCTCTCTTCATTACACAGCGTCTTACTCTGAGAACACTGCGCCAACTACGATGAACTATGGAAGATTTGGATTAGACCTGTTAGTTATTTTCACGGCGACAGTGTTTTGAAAGACTGGGTCATAGGCGATGCTTCCGGCAACATACCACACCTAGCAAATCTAACAATATCCTCCACTGTATCTTCTTGGGCGTGGTTTCCTAGCGAAGCAAACGCTATTGCGGATCATCGAATCACCTGTCTGGAAGTCACTAAGACTAAATGGAATCTGAAGCATATTGTCTACCATCACATAGGTCGAGAAATGTGCGCGGACGTGGAAACGGTAAGTTATGTTGACTAACTAGTAAATAAAATTATCGCACTTGTAAGAAAGTCTAGTATGATATTCTGGCCACTTCGAATCAATTGAACGAACCGTCAGCCTCCTACTTCAAAGTCATGCACGAATCCAAACATTCGAATTGTGCTTGCAGTTCTGTCTATAAATTTCATTTGGACAGACACATCGTCTAACTAAAACCTCAGAAGGTCAAATATAGACTATATTGAAAACCGCATGGATGTCCTTACGACTTAGGGCCGAATGGTTTCGTGCATATTGCAGTGTAAGACATACGCAAACTACAGGAACAAATGGTGGTGTGGCGGTCACTGATAACATTAGTTCTATATAAGCAGCTTATAAAGGCGAAAGAACATCTCTGAATGCAAAGAGTGTTGGCCTTAATGCGTGATAAGCGTCATCATGTCTTTATTATGCTTGTCATACTGGATAAGGGTTAGTGATGATGCTCAATAATTTGAAAATCGGAATAAACTTGTAGGACTCTGGATATTAAAGTCTACACCAAGGTTTTATATATAGACTATCTGATATACGCTGCTGAGTGCTTCTGAACAAGCATGACAGGAGACAAGGCAAATAAATGCAGAAGGAGAAAGCATTTGCTCGAAGCTTAAGTGGAAGAAGTGAAAAACGTTCGTTAATACGGAGATTTTATTGAGAGTCTGTTGTGCTTCTTTTCTATAGTATGCTTGTATTAGATATTCTAGATATCCTAGTATCATCTAATCAGCTGTTTTCAGGTTATTGCATGCTTTGGGCTTATCAAATATTGCAATTCACTAATGATATTCGAAAAGTCGAGGGCAAGAACGAAACAACGAGCGTGAATTACTACGGACCAGAAAGCATTCCGACGCCAGCAACCCTTAGCTTACGCCTTGGGAGGAGTTTTATAGTTGCAGACGAGATAGTACCAATCCTGAACATCTGAACGCAGTCAGCAAAACGTCGCAACACCAAAAGGACAAGCACCGCATACTGTCATATGTGATCTGGTACTGCTCTGGGTCCTTCCGGCACCCGACCTTCATACACGGGAACACTTCATACAGCATCCAGGCCTCAGCCTTCGCCTTCTTCGTCTCACAGAACTGGTGTGTCGTCGTCTCCTTAATATTGATGAACTTTTCGTTGTGATCGTACATGCAAGTTTTCTACAATGGCACGAGGGTACCAGTCAGTCTCGGTCTCTGATACTGATATCGTCGCGGCCGGCCACACTTACCACGCATTGATCGAGCAGTGGACTACTATGAGTATCGACTAGCGTGTCGTCGCCCTTCTTCTTTCCGTCAGCAAGGGCCGGGCCAGTCAAGGCCGCGATGCCGAGAACGATGGTCGAGAAACGCATCGTGGAGGGGATTGGGATTGCTTGGCTTCGACGAGGAACGAGTATGGGGATGGCTTTCGGTGGTGAAAGTGCTGGGTTATGTAGCGCGGCTATGCGGTTGTTTTTCTCGCTATCTGTATACTTGCATGACTACATTACGACGACATATCGTCAACGCTGGTTTCTTTGAGTACCTGACTATCGAAAAAAAGCGTTGGCTATGGCATCATACATTAATTGAAAAGAGCTCTCACTTACCTGACGCCTCTTCTACGTGCTATACAAGGGATAGAGCTTTCCCAAGGACCAATTCTTGACTTGAGCGTTTCAGCACTATGCAAGCGGCATTTCTATAGATCTCTTCGTGACCATGGTCCACTATAGAATGCATCTTAGATCAATAGATATTTGTACAGCAGGTACACAGCCAAGACTCCCCTCTCAAGCGCTTCATACCCGCGAATGTAGATGGTAGCCTGTTGATCCTCTGTGTCTCCCCAATTCAATTTTCAAGCCGGCGACAGCCTAATACGCCAGGCACGGACTAGGATAAAAAGACCAAGGTCAAGGCTAGAACATAAAATTGTATACTTCACTGCAACATCATTAGCATCGCTATCCATGAGTCCATTCACATGATGTTAGTGCACGCATGGACGACAGATATTCGTCACCGATTACGATACGTCTGCTGGTGAAGTAGCTATTCACCGCTGTCGAAACAATGGTCAGTACGGTCGTGCTTTTTATGATTTGAGAGAGACGAAAGAAAAGGGATTGATTGGTGTAAGAGGCTGGGGTGTTAGCAGAACGGCACAGCTGCCCCGATATCACACTCCCCACACCCAGGAAGCAGAACTTTCGAATTCATCTAAGCAGTAGGTAGCAGGTGTAGGTGTAGGTGGGTAGCCAAGGCACAGCCGCCACCACAACCCCAGTACCCCATGCTCCGCTCCGCATAACCCACCCACCGCGCGGCGGCACGCAGAAGCAGACTCCTTCCCAGCCACGGCCTTTGAGCCTCGTTTCCGCCCCGCTCATCCAATCCCAATATCCCCACGCAGCACGCACAGCGGATTCGCATGTAAACCCGCCAGCGCCAACATCTTTTTTATCCACGCGAGCGTGTCGCCCGCACGCACGCACCACCCCGCTCTCTTTTCCCTATCGCAGTAGCATCGTCGTCTCGGTCGTTCGGGTCTGGCCTCGTAGCTCTATCGCGTCTCGTGGCGCTCGGTTCAGCCTTGCTTTGCTTTCGCGGCGGCCTGTGCTGCTTCTGTTGGAGTCGTGCTGTTAGCTACTGATTGTGCTTGGCATGCGGAAGCGTGTGTGAAGCTGCAGGCTTACCTCTTCTTGTCGCGTCCTCCAGGAGCGCCGTGTCGACTGCTGCGCCGGGGAGGTGCACGTAGCGCACCACGCTGCCGCGGATGAAGACGTTCTTGACGGAGCTCTGGTGCGGTCGTGTTAGCTCAACTTGTCCTCGCCACAACATCAACCCCAACCCCTCTGTCCAACTGTCCAATTGCCGCGCCAGTTGCTCCTTTCTTGTCCATCCCTTTCCCCACACCTCGCCCAAACCCCCCAAAAACCTCACCCAACCCAACACCCAGCTCTTTTGTCCCCCCAACCCCAACCACACAAACACAAACACCACGAAACTCACCAAATGCGGAAACTTGAGCTCCTCCACCACGTTAATATCATCAAGCTTGATATTCAGGAACTGGTCCACCGACTTCAGCGTTCCGCGGATGGACACGTCGTTCTTGAGCTCGACCGTGACTTCGTGGTCAACGAGGGTTTTGAAGAAGCTGTGCGTGGCAGAGGTGTGACGTTAGCTATTGTGTATTGTTTCTTGGTTGTGCGGGAGAGCGCGTAGAGAGCGAGCGAGTGACCTTGAGCGAGCAACGCGCAAGCAAGCAAGCAAGTAACTTTAGCTAAGGCAGCACCTCCACAGCCCCGCGCGCACGCCCTCACCCCCAATGCAGTAGCATAGCAGCAGCTCGCAAACAGGCGAGCGGGCACCGCGCACCCCACGCGCAGCCCAAGGTCTCCTCAGCAGCAGCACGTACCTGAAAAACAGCATAGTCGCGCAGCAATGACAACAGCTCCGTCAATCGGTCGGTCGGTCGCGTGTTCGTGTGTTCGTTCGTGCGGGCGCGGAAGAGTGAAGAGCGGAAGTTGGTGCAGGCAAGGCAAGGTAGATCCGCAGACGCTGGAACGCTGGAGCTGCTGCGGTCATGGAACGGGCGCCGCGCCGATGATGCCCGCGGTCCGGCGCCATCACGTGCAGGGCTCGGGCGAGGTTCCGGGTGCGTGTGCTGCGGCACCAACATGCACACCATGCCGGGCCACCAAGGAGGGCCACAACAACCTACCAACTAACACCGCGCGCAAAAAACAAACCAAGCAAAGACTACCTACCTACCTACTAAAGCTATTCTAGGCTGCTAGAAGACACGCAATCAAGGCAACTAACTAGGTACCTAGGTTTTTTGAACTCGTTATTCGCTGCGCACCACGCACAGCTAGCTGTAGAGGTTCGTTAGCCAACTGCTTTTTATCAGGTCTTTGAGTGTTGAGCGCCCCACTGGCTTGACGGCAACTTCGTGTGTGGCCTTTTGTAGCCGAAGTTGGTTGGGCTTTGTGACTACGCAGTAGGAATAGTAGGAAATAGCGTATACGCAAATTGGTCTCATTCACCTAGATACCACCAACCAACCAACCCAACCAGCCAGCTCCCAAGCAAGCAAGCATGCACGTCATCACCTCATAAACCATCAATCATAGCAACAAACACAACCACAAACGCGCAAACCAAACCAAACCAGCACAATCTGCGTCCCCTACTGACTGAAAAAAGCCCACCTGCCCCCACCCACCCACAACCCCACAAACGCACAAGAAGTGCAGCAGCGAGATCTGATCGGGCAGAAACAGTACCTAGGTAGGTAGGCAGGCAGGCACAAAAAAACAGCCAGCCACCTAAAACCCCTTCCTCGCCCACCCCTCCACACACCTCCAAGCCGCCCCATCACGGGCCCCCTCCTCCAACGCCTGGACGACCCCCTCACCAAGCCGCGACTCGTCCTTGCCCATCTCCGCCTGCAGCTTCACCAGCCACCGCTCCCACGCCCACGCGCCCACCAAGCCCGCTACGTCGCGCGCGTCCTTGGTCGAGCCGTTTTGTTGTTGCTGTTGCTGTTGCTGCTGCTGCTGCTCCTCCCCATCGGCCTTGTCGTCCATCATCAGCGAGTCGCGCTTTGGTTTCTGCGCCTGCTGGGCCTGCGACTGCGACGGCACCAGCGTCCGCTCCGAGCCAAACGAGTCGCTTGACTGGCGCACAGGCTCGGGCTTCGCGCTCGGCGTCGTCGTCTCAGTGGCAGGTGCAGACGCGCCCACATTCAGCGGCTCGTTCCACTTAGCGCCAGGCTGGGGGAACGGCAGGGCCGTCCACGCGCGCTTGACGTCTCTGAACCCGGCACGCGCCAGGCGCGGCACGAAGGATTTGGTGGCCGCGGCGTCGTAGCCGCGCGTCTTGAGGTTGAAGCCGAACTCGACGCTGAGGGCCTGGGCTTGGCCGCCGGCGCCCGCGCGCAAGATGTCTGCGTCCATGACGAAGAACTCGAGATACCCGCCGGGCTTGAGGATGCGCAGGCACTCCTTGAGGCAGAGGTCGTACTCGTCCTTGTTGGACGTGGTGGCGGCGCCCGGAATCGTGCTGGGCTTGCTCGTCTTGAGCAGGGCGTACATGTTGCGTGCCGACACGACGTCAAAGTGCCCGTTCGGGAACGGCAGCGTCCAGTAGTTGGGCACCTGCATGCGGCGGTGGTTGGCTGGGCCCTCCATCTCGCGCTCCTCCTGGCCCTCGAGCATCACTGGCGCTTCTGCGACCGTCGAAACAGTGTGCACGGTTGTGCGCGGATAGTCGAGCGCGACCTGCCAGGCCCAGTCGCAGGAGCCCTGACCGCCGAGGTCAAGGACGCGAGTGGTGTTGTTGTCGCGGGCGTGAGCGAGGACGCGGTGGGCGGGGCTAGTGATGAGGCGGCCGCCGTGGAGCAGCTTGGAGGCTTCGAGTGTCCAGAAGGCGGGGCGGATCAGATCCAGCGCCTGACGCTCCTTGTGGGCCTTGGCAATCTGCTCCTTGTGCATGTTCGGGTCGTCGGTGTAGAAGGTGGAGACGGGGCGAGTAGACGGGATTTTCGACGGGCTGTTCAGTTCGAACTTGCTGAGGTGGAGGCGGCGGTGGGTCTTAGGCATGCATCGGCGCTGGAGGTGAACGGCTTCAGCGCGGGTTTGACGGTGGATAAAAGCGTCGTACTTGCCAGTGCTCTCGCGGAGATAAACTAAAGCTTCGAGAAAGGTAGAGACCTTGGCGGCCTCGTCCTCGGACGTAACGGACGGAGACTTGGGCGGGATGAGGTCGACAAAGCGGACCGACTTCTTCGAAGGGGAAATAACAGAGTCAATCGAGTTTCCCCTCTCGTGGGTTGGGGTCGAGGGGGTCATGACGCCTTCGAGCCAAGTCTCCTGGGCAGACAGCCACATGCTCGTGCGGCTGAGGTTGGCCGAGCTGAGTTTTGCCAGCTCGGCCGCGTAGTTTTCATTGTACTCGTAGACAGTCTCGCTTGGCTTGATCTCCAGAACTTCACCAACCGGCGACATGAAACCGTCGCGAGCCGTGGGCGTCATCTCGGCGCTAGTGTCGAAAGAGGCGGGGACCTCGACGACCTGCTCCACGATGTTGTTGGGCTCGTTACGCCACGGCACGCCGTAAAACGTCTCGGCGATCGAGGTGGACGGAGTAGCCTCCCGCGTCCTCGGAATGCTCCAAGTGTGGCGAGCGGATTCCTTCAGGGAAGAGAAGAAACCACCCGGCGACGGGATAGACAGAGCAGACATGTCTTCAGCATCAGACGGCGCCACGGGGCTGGCCGACAGGTTTGCAGTGAAGAGGCGGGGAACCGAGGTGCGGTTGCGACCCATGACTTGCTGCATCTCACCCTCCGGTACCTCAATGACTTGGTCGGCGGTAACCGGTGCTTGCTCGGTGGTGAGGTGGTGCAGAGTCTCCATTGCCGCGGGGTCCAGCTGAATCGGGCCAGCCCACTGTCCATGACCCTCCTCCTGAGCATGCCTGTCCGGGGTCGATGGGCAGCTCAGACGCTCCATTTCCTCAGATGACAAGCTGCCGTCCAGGGAAGGCGCGTCGTGGGTAGCCGGAGCCTGTTTGTTTCGGCCAAGAAGCACAGAGAGGAGGTTTGGAGTGGAAGAAACTGGAAGCGGAGAGTATGTTGCTGGCGAAACCGCGCTCCCTTGAAGTTTCTCAATCGTCGGCCAGTGCGAAGGGGACGGAATGATCAACGAAGGAACACGTGTAGTGCTAGATCTTGCGCTGCTGGATGAGCTGGCGGAGATCTTCTTGACAGAGTTGGAGCACTTCAATGGGACCTCCTCCTCCTCGGATTCGTTGTCAGTCATCATGTACAGCTCGTCAAACTCCTCCCTCTCCTTGCTCCACTTTGGCGACTCGACCGGTGAGAATTCGATGTCGTCCATCTGAATGGCGCGAGTGGGGTCCAAGAGGGATGCCTTGGGGGTGGGGAAGTCCTCGCTGTAAGTGGGCGACAGGTAGGTAGGAGAGATCATTGCTGCGCGGCTAACGTTCTGGGCCAATTGAGGGGAGAAGAAGCCTTGGGAAATCTGCGGCGAGTCTTCAATTATAGTATTAAAGGTTTGCCTCCGATCCAGCGGAGACGAGAAGCGCTTGGTAAAAGGAGCGTTGGGGTTGTAAGTCGTTGCCGGAAGATAGTATGTAGAGTCCATGGTGGCTGAGTTTCTGTATCGCTTCTATGTATAGGAAGAAGCTGGAGCGAACCAGGGTGTTTGCGGCTATAAAACTGGAGCGGGTCGCGAAGAAGCAGGGTATTATTACGAGTCCTTGAAGCGGGATCCGATCAACGGATTGGCACGATGCTGTAAAGAGACAAGAAAAAGACCCCGATCAACGGTAGCCACAAGCGACAAGGGAAACAACGAAGAAAGAAAAAAAACGGGCAACAACGCGAGAGAAGAGGAGTGATGGTCAAGATGCAAGGGCGGAGACGGGTGCGGCACGGCACGAAGTAGTTTATCAGTCGCCCATGGTTTGGCCCGTGAGCAGGGCAGATGGGCCGTGGCGTATTGCTTGCAGGGTCAGAAATCCTTAGCCTGCTTTTGCACGCAAGAACTGGAGGACAGGCGGCAAGAGGAGAGCCCGATTTGGTCTACCTCGCGGCAGCCTTGGGGCCACGACATTGGGCGGCCGGTGGGTCAGCCAGTGAGTGGCCGTGAATGAACGATGCTGGTACGACGTGCGCAACCTGATGTGCAGTGTTGAGCAGGGCGATTGGACGGGAGGTCGTCGAAGCGCCGGGCGTGAGCAGGGATGCGGATATTTTTGGGCGCTTGCACTGGCGCCCATGTCTGGCCGTGACACGACAACACACTGGCATGCCGGTTAGCATACTTAACTGCTTCTCAGTCCCGCGCGGATATAGATTGGCTATGCATATTCGAAATGACGACCGGCGTGGGTCGCAGTTTAGGTGGGTGCAGCGGCTAGCCGCCATGCGGTATGCCGATCAGCCTTTTCAGATCGACCCCGACTACCGAGTGTGTAGTTGGAAGCTGATTCATCAGGAACATGCGCCCCGAGCTTCGAGCGAGCGAGCGAAAGATGATGCGAATCGATCCAAGTGTATCGCAGAGCCGTGGAGCCATGGTGTTGGGAAGTCGGACACACAAATGCTTTTTTTTAATCTTCTTCAAGTCTCCTCGACGTCACACAACAACCCGTTTATAGACGACTAGCCTCCTAAAGTTCAAACCATCCCGCCCGACCTCTACAGCACCTCTCTCCCATCTCCAACCTCCCTCCACCCGCTCCCCGGTCAACACATTCATTCGCAATCTCCGCCGCCGTACCACGTGTGCCATTGACCAATCCCAAACCACCCAAGCAACAGCAGCAAGCAGCAGCAGGGCCAAACAGGCAATCAGCCGCGGGCCTCTCAGCCGCTCAGCCAGCCCCGCCAAGCAGCAGCGGCTAAGCACTCTAGAGTAGCACGACGGGCAGCAACACCTCACGCAGCGCCGCCACCTATCGACCGGCCATGCCCGTCTCCGCCGCGGCGCCAACCCCCGCAATCCTGCCATCACCCCACCTCACCGCATTATTATTCCCCGCCACACGACGGGACGGTTGACGACACTCCCCACCCTTGACGTCTTCCCTCCTGGCAACTACCTAACCCGCCCGCTAACCCGCCCTTCGCTTCCTAGAGCGCTCGCACTAAGCTGCCATCACATCCACATACGTACCCATTCCCCTCGTCCAGGTTAGCGGCCCACGGATCCGGCAACCCCGCCCAGCCACCACCTGCCTGCTACGTACATCCTCGCTCAACCGCTGCCGCCAAGCGCCCTAGCCCGCCGGAGGAGTACTCTAGCACGCGGAGCTGCACGTCTGCACGGCAAGGGTCTCGACAGCCGCGGCACGGCGCTCTGTGCTCCTGCCTCCGCGGAGGCACTAACCTACTCCGTATTGCTGCTCTTCCAGCTCCCTCCGCCCGCCGTCCCTCTGGCCCCTCTGCCAATCCTCACTACTACCACTACTCCACCACTAGAGTACTCGTACTCTACGGCCGCTGCCACTGACGCCAGCACGCACGTCACTGTGCACCACGCCCTGAGCCAGATCCCGCCCCATGCCCGCTGATGTCAGTCAGCCCTCGCGGCGGCGGCGACGGCAAGCGCGCCGATGATGCAGCCGGTGATGGATGTGGTGGCGGCTATTCCGTGCTTTACGCTGCCCTCTACCCTCTAGCTACTCTAGAGTAGCTAGAGTAGCTAGCGTAGAGTACAGTAGAGTACCAAACCGCAAGCTCGTGCCAGCACGTCTATTCTTAGAGTAGCTACTCGTACTCTGCCGATTGTTGGGGAGAGCGAGATCCACACACATAAGCCCTCACCTACTCTGCGCCCAACGCGCTTCGAGGTGATGCCCACGCCCTGGCTATCCGCCTAGAACGCGCCGAGGGTTCTGGAAGCCTGAGGCCCTGGCGATGGCGTTGGCGCAGGCGTGGTGTAGTGTAGTACTCTACTCTAGCAACGGCATTGACGTACGCACCCTAGGTTTGGTTGCCCTTGCTGCCGTACTGTAGCTGTCCTCTCTATCGGGAGGGAGGGGGCGGGGTGTGCGGCAGGGAGGAAAAAGGGCAAAGAGACATATTTGATATCCCTAGCCTTGACGTGCATTACTAGCGAGCGAGATACTCCGTAGATGGGCTAGGCTTGTGTGTGGAGGGAGGTAGGTAAAGGGGTAGGTGGGTTGGTTCGTAGGTTCGTAGGGAGTATGTAGGGACTGCTTGTGTGTGCGTGTGCTTTTGTAAGTCTCAGATATAAATGAATGTATGAACGAACGAATGAATGAAAGAGAAGGTGCTTAGTACGTGCATGTGCGGTCTGAGTAGGACCTCAACGTGCTTGCTTGCTAGTTTGTGTCGTGGACGGGTCCTGCTTGGTTGATTGGTTTGATGGTTTGATGTGCGGTTGTCGTGGTCGTGATCGTGGTCGTGGTCGTAGGTGTGGTCGTGGAGGTGGATTGGTGGTGGTGATGGGTGAAGTGGCTTAGGAGTACGACCAGCTGAGGACATAGCACACCACACCACCACACCACTTACCCTCTACAAACAACCCAAGCCCAAACCCAAACACGAAATACGCCACACAGCGCACAGCACCAAGCACAGTAGAAGAACGCCTAGAGCAGACGCGCCAGCATCTATTTAGATTAAAGCAGTGTAATACAATGAAATATAATAAGTATACACGCAGCCTAAACGCTAGCTAGCTAGCTGTCCCGTGCTGGACAGGGTAGTAATGTGCGGGATAGGGTAGTGTATATATGTGTGTGTGGTATTAACTATATTCGGAGTGAGTAAGAGAGGGAGAGGAAGAGTAACGGAGGGAGGAGGGAGAACGTATGTGTGTGTGTGTGTGTGAGACAGAGAGAGGAAGTATGTGTGAGTGAGACAGACACAGACAGAGAGAGGAAGTGAGAGAGTAAAGACGATGAAGAAGAAAAGGAAGAGAAGAAGAAAACAAGACAAAGCAGACACCTCCCATCCCCCGAGTGGGTATCTCACGAATCCTATCAACAGACAACAGACAGACAGACGTCGACGCAACCAAAAAGCAGCAAAAACCCCCGAAAAATATAGAAAGAACAATCTCACCCCCAAATCCCCGATCCCCGATCAAATCCCAAACCACATCCAACCCCGACCCACCACCACCAGCAGCACCGCCCTAAACCCCCTCCATACCACCAATATCATACCAATACTCCTCATCCAGCCCCTCCCGTCCAGGCAACACGACCTCCTCCCCCCTAATATCCTCAAACCTAACATTCAGCAGTCTAATCTTAAGGCCATACCCAGCCACCAACTGGACCAACTTCCCAGTATCAGCCGTAATCGGGGCCTGATTCAGCAGCATGAGCAAGCCATCCAACCACTCGGCCGCCAGCGTATGCGTCTGCGGATGCAGCTGCAAGAGCGGCGATTCCTTTGGGCCGGCGGGGGAGCTGCCGTCGCTGACACCGCCGCCGGCTGCGCCGCTGCTGAGCAGCGTCGTGCTTGTTTCGTGCGAGTTTTTGCGCGAGGCTGACGCCGGCGCGTACCCGTAGATGGTGATGCGGGTCGAGGTGCTGGTGGGGAGGGTGCGCAGGGTTGAGGCGCTGGAGGCTGTGGAGGGCGTGCCGGCTGAGACGTTGGAGACGACCGAGGAGACGGTGGTGAGGTCGACTGTTGTGCGGAGAAAGGGTCAGCAGGTCCGCCTATGCCATTTATATACAGAAGAGGAGAAAGGAAAGAAGGAAGCGTTTGGGGGGAAGCTCACTCTTATCTTGCAGCGCGTCCAATCGTGGCTCCGTGGCCAGCCTGTCGTGGAAGTCGGCATAGTGCAGGTAGCGTCTATTATGGCTGAGACGCACGTAGCGCCAGCTCGAGGGCACCGTCTTCGCCAGCGCCGACTTGGTGATCGGTCCGCTTTCCTCGCGGTAGCCCATCGTGTGCGGGAACCAAGCGCCCTGCAGCAGGCAGCGGATGCGCTGCTCCTTGACGAACTGCAGCGCCTCGTGGTTGAGCTCTTCGCGCACTTGTCTGAACGGGGCGAGGGCGTTGTTAGCAGGGGTAGATATGAAAGGCGAGGAAGGTGCGACGAACCGTAGGTGATGGCCCCATGCGTCCTCGTATGTCAGCTCGAGCAATTCCATCTGCATGTTCCTGAGCCGCTGGTATTCAAACTCCGCGAGCTCTTCTTCCACCTCGCCGAGCTCTTTGATTCGCGGCGCCTGGCCTAGCACCTGCTCGATCAGTATCCGCACGAGCTCCTCGACCTTCTCAAAGTCCTCCGTCTCGGCGCCCGTCTGCTTCCACAAGCGGAAGAACGCTTGCAGTCCGCTGGTGTGCAGGCGGCTCCATTGCAAAATGAGTGGCCGGAAAGCCCGGTCAAAGTTCGTGCGCGCCTCCAGCACTGCGTAACGCATGGCGTCGCCATCGTCCGTCTTGTCAACCTCAAAGTGGTCGTACAGGATCAGCGTGACTGCCAGACTGGCGCGAGCAATAGGGCAACGCTGCTCCGCCGGCTTGGTCGACTGCTCCAATAGCAGCTTCTGGAAGCCATCCTCATGGGTGCGCACGAAATCCGTCAGGTCCATGAGACCGAGATAGCCCGTCTGGTCGAATTCCCACGCCGGCGACTCTGTCTGGAAGCCCAATCTGCGCCATTTCTCCGGATGGTGCTTCCGGCTGCTATCCCCGCTCTTGCTCGATGGCGGCCGCTCCGGGTTGCTTGCCAGGTGCACGCTCTTGAGGGCGCGCCTGTGCTCGGTCTTCTCCGGGTCGACCTTGAGATCCCGCCATTTGCTCAGCAGCACCTTGCTCAACGACTGAAACTCAAAGAGCGGGTGTGCCAGGTCCTGAAGTGCCGAGCTCTGCATCAGGACGTAGACGGCTTTTATGACGCCCAAGTCTTGCAGTTTCTTGATAAACTTGTGCCACTCTGACTCGGAATCGTTGGTAATGGCGTCGCGCATGAGGGAGTTGATCAATTGCAGAGCATTTGCGCATAGGGCATGGTCTGCAGATGATAATCGGCTGACGAGCATCTCTAGGAACTGCGGGTACACGGCCACGGCGGGTTTCAGGGCACGGAATCCAAACATGCCGGGAGTCGAGGTGCGGTTCTGGGGGTGTGACACGATGGCAACGAGGATGGACATGGCGCCACGAAGGATGTTCACGAGGGGCTGGCTCACGACGAGTTCGACGACCTGCATTGCCAGTCATTAGTCCCAGCGGTTCCTATACCTCCTCCTTTCTCTCCTGCAGCCGCCATACCCGCTCGATGAGGTCCTGGTCCACAAGGTTCCAGCCTTTGTCCAGGTCCAGCAGTCTCGAGAAGCTCGTCAAACTGTAAGCCAGGGTGTTTCCGGTGGCATTGATGGCCAGGTAGCGCAGCTTGGGCAAGCCGCCTTCGGTTTCGAATACGTCGGCGAACGAGGGGTCGCCGATCAGCGACTGCAGCTTGAAGACGGCCATTTTGCGGGCGCTGTCCTCGTCGCTGCCGAGGCGCTCGACGAGCTCGGCTACGTTGATATCCTCCATGATCTACCGGTGTATACGAGTCGCGACAGGAGCTGGGGTCGGGGGTTCGCGGTGCGGCGAGTCGTAGGGGCTTTGGAATAGCGCGGGGAGGCGGGCAGACGCGGCGCAAAAGGGCTCAGAACATGGCGAGGGGACGGAGCGGTGGTGGAATCGAGGGAGGCTTTCGCCGGGGGGTTGCGGAGGGGTTGCGAACTGAAGACGTCGCAGCAGTCGCAGGTGTCGAGACTCAAAGACGCCCTGGCTCGACCAAAATGATCGCCAGGAACCGAGCAGGGATGCGCCCGTCGCTCGGTGACCCTCACCACCAAAAGTCGCGCTTCAATTGCCAACGCGCCGTCGCACAGCGTCCTCCCTACATGTCTGCCCCGCGTTACTCGTACCCCACCGATTTGCACTGCAGGATGGACGGATGCCTTAGGCACAGGCCGCCGTGTATCCTTGCCAAATGGGGCCGAAACTGCAGGCTTGGACGACAGCTTAAGCAAGGAATAATGAGAGGAAGACAGCGCGCAGCTGGGAGTACACAGTCCGATCTGTGTTCTAAGTATTATCTCAATGATCGTCTCTCTTGGATTTCTTATACTCTGTAACTAGTTGATCTCGCACTGGACCCGCTGGTCTCGCCCGGTCTGGCACTGCGGAGACCAGCCGCGGAGAAACTCCGGCAAGGGCGAGACCCTTTGGGCACAGGCACCGCCTCAGTTATACGAGTCGACTCTCAGCTCCCCTGCCCCTCCAACTTCACCACTGCCACCCCATTCACTGCTGTAAAACCCACCAGCAGCTTCCTCGACCCTGATTTCCCCCTACACAATTTTTCTTCGCCGCCATGGGTCTCTTTAGTAAGAAAGACAAAGCCGCCGCCAACGACGACGACAACCGCAAGGCCCTATTCGGCTCCCGCAGCAACAAGTCCTCGCCCGCGCCCTCGAACCCCTACGCCGCCCCTCCCGGCAACGCCGACCCCTATGCCCAGGCACCCCCGCCTTACAATGGCGGCGGCGGCATGAGTGACCGCGCCCGCATGGACAAATCCCCGGTGCCTCCTGGGGGCTATGGCGGCTCGGGCAGCTACGGCTCGCAGGGCGCCTACGGACAAGACCGCTTTGGCGGCGGCGGCGGAAGCAGCCAGCGCTCTGGTGGCTACGGCGGTATGGGCGGCACAGTGAACAACGACGCGGGGCGCCAGGAGCTGTTTGGCAACGCGGCACAGCGGGCACAGCAGGCTCCGCAGCAACCGCCGCCGGGCGCGGGCGGATACGGTGGCAGCTCCAACAACGACTACGGCGCCTATGCCGACCGCCAGCTTACGGCGGAGGAGGAAGAGGAGGAGGACGTCCAGGCCGCGAAGCAGCAGATCCGCTTCATGAAGAAGCAGGACGTCTCTTCGACGCGGAATGCGCTGCGGCTGGCGGCGCAGGCCGAGGAGACTGGCCGCGACACGCTGAACCGTCTGGGCGCTCAGGGCGAGAGTAAGCACTGCTTTTACGCATACATACGCTCGGTGGACATGCTCGTCTGACGGTGCTCTAGGGATCCACAACACGGAGAAGAACCTCGACCTCTCGGAGAACCAGAACCGGCTGGCGGAGGAGAAGGCGCGCGAGCTCAAGACGCTCAACAAGTCCATGTTTGCGTAAGTGCAGCTTCCGTCTTTGTCCGGCAAGCCGACAAAAGCATCAGAAGCCCAACACCACTAACAATAACCCCCACACATAGCATGCACGTGTCGAACCCGTTCACGGCCTCGCGGCGGCGGGCGGAGCGGGACGAGCAGATCATGGACACGCACCACAAAGAGCGACAGCAGCGCGAAGACACACGGGCCGCCGCGTTCGCGACGTCGCAGCGGCAGCAGCAGTTCTCGCGCGACCTGCGCCCGGGCGGCGGCGCAGGCAACACCAAGGCATCCCTGGCTGAGCGCTCAAAGTTCCAGTTCGAGGCCGACTCCGAGGACGACGAGATGGAGAACGAGATCGACGCCAACTTGGACGCGCTGCACGGCGCTGCGGGCCGGCTGAAGGGCTTGGCTGGCGCGATGGGCAAGGAGGTCGATGAACAGAATAGACATATTGCTCGTATTACGGATAAGACGGATAAGGTCGATGACCAGATTGCTATGAATAGGGCTAGGTTGGAGCGGATTAGTAAGAGCTAGGTTGGTGGTGGCGGTGGTGGTGGTGGTGCTGCTGCGCTTGAGCATCTAACCCATCTACATATATCTGCGTTTTTGTGTCTGGGAGGAACGCTCGCTCTCTCCTCTTCCTGGGTTCCTTCCTTCTTTGCTACATAGGTATTCTTATCCGGCCCGCGTTTTTGGGAGAAAGTAAGAAAGAAAGACAGAAAGATTGGGATGGTGATGGTGATGGTGATGGTGGAACGGCCATGCGGCCATGCGTGCATGCGTACACATACATATAGGTTATATAAACATTGGGATTCTTCGTTGTTTAAGATCGCACTACTCTCTACTATCAAATTCACACACAGATATATATAAACAACATACATGCATAAACAACCCCACCCAAAACCACAGTTAACCTCCATCCCCGCACCCCAGCCCATCCCATCCTATCCCACAAAATATGTATTTACATTAAGCAGCTTACCCTACCCTACAATACCAAGCACCACGTGCCACCCACCCACCCACCCACGCACACCACACCACATCACCCGCCCCCATACATAGCTCGGGCATTTCTCGCGAGTTGCACCCCACCCCACACAATGACCCCAGCAACAGCTACCTAGTCCCCAGATCTCGCCACCGCGCAGCAAGCAGCAACCAGCAAGCAGCAAGCAAGCCTCACTCTCACTCCCACAGCCCCATCACAAAAGTCACCGGACCCCAGCCCCAGAACCAGACCCTCACGGCACCCTCACGCAGCGAACCCACTTTTTCGCACCCAGCCACGCCGACGCCGGCCAACGTACGTAAAGCCCCGTTCCGTTCCGGCGTGTCATACAGTAGTCGTGGCACGAGCGGACGAGTGCCAGCATCCAGCCAGCCAGCCAGCGCTGCTGTGCTGGACCCTTCTTTTCCGCCCCGCACCACGCACTTGATTTTCGTTTTTGCTTTTTCTTCTACCCCGTGGGGCAGCGCGCGCCCTGGCGCGTGGCTGTGGCCGCGTGGCCGCGTGCGTTTTTCTTCAGGGCCCTTTTTTTTTTTTCTTTTATGTCGCCCGCCTTGACAATTCGCTCACGCCAGTATCAGTATAAGTATCAATGATTTTTCTTTTTTAAACTCTATCAATTCGATTCATTCTCTCACGTATACGTATGTATATATATATATATGTATAGCAGCAGCATAGTAGCAGCAGGTAGCCAGTAGCAGGGGTCTATAAACACAACAAAACAAACGGCGCAAAAACAACACAACACAACGCAACGCTCGCGCCGAGAGCGCCAGGCACGCGGCGGCAAGGCGGTCGGGATGCGGCCACGCTGTTGGCTGGTTGGCTGGCTGGCTGGCTCTTTTTTCTCTTTTTCTCTCTCTCGAGAGCGAGAAAAAAGGGTATTTGTATAGAGACAGTGAGTGAATACTGCGCAGCAGCAGACCCGACGGAAAAGACACTGCAGCCAAATGCTTTTTTCCCAATAGCAGCAGCAGCAGCGGTGGCGACGGTGGCGACGGCGGTGGCAGCGAGTAGCAAAACAGTTCCGAGAAAAGATATAGCATCGAAACCGAATGCTTGGAAAAGCAAAATAAAGGAGCAGAGCAGCAACAGAGTAAAGCCGCAAGCAAGCGCGCAAGCAAGCAAGCAACAACAAAAAACGAAATCTCAAGACGACCAAGCAGCCAGCCAGCCCAGCAGAGAAAAAGAAAGAATCCCAAAACTAATGCCCCTTTAAAGCCGCATGTAGTCTGTGTGTTGTGCGCGTGTGTGCACGTGTGCTGCAAAAAGACAGGAGGAAATAATAAAAATAAAAAATAGAGAGAAAGGATTCAAACCAAATCAAAATGAAAAAAATGAGGCTTTGATTTTCGCCGTAAACACCCGGATCCGGCCCAATGCTTTGTGTGGTGGTAATTAACGTTCCCCCCGTCCCTGCGCGTCATATCGTTCGACCTCACCCGAGGAATGAATCCTCTTTCGCAGAGGCAGCAGAGCGCGCAGCGCGTTCATTCGCCCGCCTGCTCGTTTGCTCGATCGCTCGCTTGCTCGCTCGCGCGCCTTGATTTTCTCTCCAATCTCTCGCTCTCTCCGCACTCCGCGTCATCCATAGTCTCGGACCGACGGCATGAGGCGGTTGCCGGCTTGCTTTGGCTTTGGGGGAGTGACGATCCCCACGCCTCCGATCATCCAGAATGATCGCCCAGCTTTCCCCAACAAACCCCAGCCGCGCGCCCCAATCAGCTGCGCCAGCCAACGTTCCAGATGACGTGTGCGATGTCCTTGGCCGTGTTCACCGTATCGACCACCTTGCCGAACAGGCCTGCCGCGACAATGTCGTCCTCGTCCTCTTCGTACGGCATGAACATTCCTGACGGCGTGCGCCGAAGCCCGCCCGAGGAAGCGCCTGCCGCCTCCGAATCGGCCGCGGACCCGGAACCATCATTGTGATCGCTCAGCTGGTGTGCTCGCGTGACGGCAACGCTGTCCCGCCGCCCCGCGAATGACGGCTCCCAGTTCATATCCGCCTCGTCGTCAGAGTCGTCGTCCTCGCCGAGCAGGAAGTTGCTTGATGGCCGCGACGGCCGGAGCGTCTCTTGCGATGACGACGGCGACAGTGCGCTCGAGCGCCAGAGGCCCAGCGAGTGCGCCGGTGTCTGGTCTGTCACGTCGGGCGACTCGGTCCTGTATTTCAGCGTGGTGTCCGGGAGCTTGGCAATGGTTTTGTTTTCAGGCCCGCTGTTGTTCTTGGAACTGCTGCGCGATATGCGTCTGCTGGGTTTCGCCTTAATTTCAAGGCAGTCGTCAGAGTCCGAGTCCGAGTCGTCGTTGAGGGCCCAGGTGTTCTCGTAGTCGTTGTCGTCTTTGTTGTCGATCGCGATGCATTGCTCGACCTTTTCGTCAAAGCGGATGTGTTTCTTCTCGCCAGTGCCAGGGGTGCTGATCCCGGACGTGGAGCGCGAGGTGAAGTAGTCGGTGGCTTCTCTGCTTGTTGATTTTGAAGGTATTGACATTATACTCGACGCGGCCCGGGGGTAATGCGGGCGGGTCTGGAGCTGCACTGTCGGTGTGCTATCCTCCTGTTGCGCTTGCACTGCTGCGGCGGCCTGCTTTAGCAAGGATGAGCTGGATATAGATCGCTGAAGCATCACTTCCGACATGCTTCGCTTCTTGAGAATCGGTTTCTTATTGATGAACGAGTTATTTTTCGATATGTGGCTGGAGGCTTCCGAGACGTGATTGGCGAAAGACGAGTTGGACGTTTGCAACGGTCCGTACAACCAAGTTACGTCACAATCCTTGAGCCTGCACGGCGGTTAATTTTATCGTGGTTACACTTGGGTAACGTGGAGGGATCGTGGCATGGATCCCGACAGGGTTGTACTGACCAGTTGAGCGTCTCAGGCGAAACCGTCCGTAACCTATATTTCGACTTCGCCCATGTCCGCCAAGACGCATTCTCTAGCCTTGATCTTTGGCCGTACGTTTTGCGGTTTGTGGTAATGTGTCGCCATGACGACCAGATGTCTTCCTCCTTCCAGTCGTGCGAGAGGTAGTCGACGTGGCGCGAGGGTTCCGGTTTGATGGCCGTGTCATCTTCGGCGACCGGTAACGGTTCGGGCGTGGAGCAACTGTTGGTTGAGACAGCCGAGTCGCTACCGGAAGAGTGCATTGTGACAGAGGCCTCGGTCTTGTCGTCATCGTCGTATGACGACGTGTCGGTGTATGACGAGCTGTCATTGTAAGAAGGGAAGGAGAGGCCGTCGTCATCGTCGTCGTCTGACGACGAGTCGTGGACTAGACGGCTGGTATTGTGAGGCTGGTAGTATCTCCGGATTGGAGTGGGTTGAGGAGGCTCGGAAGAGTGGAGTAGGGGTGAAGACGTCGACGCGGGCAAAGAAGTAGTAGTTGTTCCATACTCATTGAGCTCAGCTGGCGGATATCTTGGATGGCGACTTGGAGAATAAGTCCCGGAAGGAGCTACCAGAAAAGACGGCTGAGAGGGCGAGGAGCGACGCAGGGGCGAGGGGGAAAAATACGATTGCCCGTCGGGCAGTTGTACAGGGAGAACTTCCGCCATTTTCCACCGGTGCTCTTTTGGGAGCGGACGCCTTTTTTCCAAACCAAATAACCTCCGCCTTCAAAAACGCTATCGCTTCCTAGGTGCAAGACGTCTAAGGCGTTAAGCCGACATGAACTCGAATTGGACTGGTGGAGGAGAGGAGAGAGAAGCAGAGATGGTGGAGAGACAAGAGCCGGCGGGATGTCTTTGTGGACCGCGCGCACGATGCGGGGAAGACGCGGAGGATAGTGTGTGTGGTGCGGGCGGGATTGGGCGGACGGACGGCGCAATGGTTGGGGTTCGAGGTGGAGCAATTGAGAGCAGGGAGAGAAGCGAGGGTTTAAGCAGAAGTTTTCGGGGGCAGGGTGGAGGCGGGCGTGGGTGGGTAGGGTTGTTTGTGGGCAGTGGAGTGCGCGCTGGGCCTGGGCTCTTGTTGGAGGCGGCGGAAGAGAAAGCGAGCTAGACGACTCGGCGAAAACAGCCCAAGGATCGGCACGACGGGCACCGCATTTGCGCACAAGCAAATCAGGGCCGATGGCTCGCAGATCAAGTGATCTGAGGGGGCCCATGGGGTACGGGTGACGGTACCTCTGGATTGACAACAAATCTCATGTCTCTAAAAAAAATCACCCTAAGCCGCTTTGTGTCTGCCTTGCTTTTCTGCTTCCCTCCCCGTGCCCCCCTCTCAGCCCTGCCTGCCAATTACCTAGGCATTTGGGTTTATCCTTCGATCGATCAATATCACCCGGCCTCGCCCGTCGGTGGCTGTCTGCCGCCCGCGCCTTCGACGCAGCCATTATTCAATCAAAACGGCGATCGGCGCTGCATCTTGGTGTGGCGTCCGACCCCCTGAACCCTTAACTACGCTTCCGGTGCTGTGTGTGATAAGCTTTGCGCCGTGGGAAATCGTGCAAAAATTCCCGCGTCTCTCGACAACCCTCAATCTGCTTCCGTCGGCAGCCACAAAAGCTAGAAGCTGCTTCTTCTCCCTTCCACCGCCGAGCTTGGTACTCAATGGACGCCTACCACGGCCCGCCGCAACGGACGATAGCCTCCGCTACATCCGGCCGCCGCAGCGCGTTGCAACCGTTCCATCCAGGACCACTCTTCGAACTACTCTACTCGGATGCTACTCCTCTGCCGTCCGTCTCTTATCACACACAGCGGGGGACCACTCGTTCTCATTGCCCGTTGTGGTGGTTGCGCGTCGCTATCGGCAGGGGAGGTTGACTGGCCTGCCGCGCTACTCCCTCGACCGATGCCACCATCATCTCGCCGCATGATGTGCAATCGCGGCCAGGACAATCCCTTTCTCGGCCTGCGATCCCCACAATCCCTGCAGAGGTTCTCTTGCGTCTTTATGCAAATGCATATAAGCTGCCACAGCCCGCTTTTTCCCCCCCAATTTCAAGCTGGTCCACCGCCGACAAACGTCATGTTCACGCCGGGCGGGGTCGGCCCGTGGGGTCTGCAAGTCGGTACGTCGTTTGGACCTTCGTCCGGCTCACCACTATCCAGACATCAGTGAAGATGGAACCGTTGCTACGTCCGTACCTCCCCGCTATTCGTATTCGCTAATGTGTGGAGACAGTTTTGCGCCATCACGGCACTTGGCGTGCTCTGACTCTCTGACTCTCTGACTCTCATCAGCCTCTCCAGCTTTCTCCATCTCTCGAGCATGACGGAAGATTTCGGAGACGGCATTGATCCCTCCCGCTCGGCCTTCTCCATGTGCGTGTGCAAGTGGTCCCACAACGTCATGTTCTCCATTCACGCCGACGTAGACGCAGACGCAGGGCAAAAGGAAGGAAGTCGTCCCGGCGTGCCGCAGCTCAACACCACGAATCCCCTGGGCGGTCGCTTGCGCGGACAAAGGTCTAGAATCAGCAACCCTGCTCGCTTGGGGTGGGTTCAAAGCGCAACTCGTTGCGTTTGCTGGTGGCTGCTGCTGCAGCGCAGCTACCCCGCCCTTGGCTGTGCCAATCACGGTGCGGGGCTCCAGGTCCTGTCTTCCGCGGACCCGCGGTACGGGACGGCTTGGCGATGCATTATCGAGCGTGCTAATCATAACCATCCCTATGTTGATCCTGCTATCTTTCTGTGGCGCCCTACCTCTCACTTCAGGGCCTCTAGGCGCTTGGCCCTCGTGTCTTCTTTCAACGTCGGCGCCATCGAAACGCTCGCGCAATATATGATACGCACACCATGTTGTCTGCGCCCCAACCAGCACGTCCGTCGCGTGTCCGATGCGCCGTCGCCCCGCGGTCGCCATGGTTGTCGTCGTGTTCGCTGCTTGTGCCGCACTGCATAGCATGAGCAAGGGCGCGGCAGGCATTCGCGCATATGCTCGGCTTGAAGGCTGGTGTCGGGCTCGCGCACCTCCTCACGCCCGTCGCAGCCATTGGCCCGAGGCTCTTCACCGAGGATAATGGCTGCGCGGTAGGGTGATCCCGGGCGCTTGCCTGCATGCTTGCTGCGTGCCTATCATGACGCCACGTCGATGGACAAGCAGGCAGGCAGGCAGGCAGGCAGGCAGGCAGGCAGGCAGGCAGGCAGGCAGGCAGACGTGCTGATGGACACCCGGTGCAGTGCCACCACACTGCTCAGCCCTATCTATACATCGGCGGCTGGAGGACACGTCGCAGGGCCAGCATGCGTGCGGTGGCACAAACAACACCGTTCGTCGCGGCAAACCTCACGGCGAGTCGTACGTATGCGGATACATCCGGGCCCAGTCCAAATCAATATGCATGTAGCTAGTGTCCGCCATTAACTAGCGTATCAAACACAACCGCAGAAGCCTCCGCCTCCAACCCATACTCCGTAGCAAAAGCCAACCCGAACAAATACAAATCCTCCAAACTACTACAAACCGTAACCCGTCAACTATGTCGGTATCAAACATAGTCGATTACAGGAATCCATTTGACACCATGTGCAATGACGCCAGCACCAGCCCCCTCAGCACCCGTTCATGCACCCACGAATCGATTGGGCCTCGGCCTTTCGCGTCCAAAACCCCATCTCGCGCTGCGATTGGACGATCGATCGGCCAGCCATCGCATCGGGCTTGACGGCGGGACGGGTGCGGTGGGCTGGTGCTGATCTTGCTGCGTGGGTAGGTAATGTTGTGGTGGGTTATGGTGGGGGGTTGGTTGTGTCGGAGGTTGGTCTTTTGACTGGATGGGTGGGTCTATGGAGTGGGGTTGTGTGCTTGCTTGCCCACGTCTGGCTGCGATGCTGAAGCTGCTCAGCTATTTGAGATCGTTGGATGTGTGGTTGTCGGTGTGTTCTTTGCGGATACTTCCATTTAAAGCTGTAACGCAAAAACGGTCATAAAAAGCAAATGATAATAGGGCGATAAGGTTGTGGACGTCTCTGTAACGCTGGAAACGACTCTGGAATTCCGTTAGGACTGCTCTTGCTGCTGAGTGGTATGCGCGTGTATGTGTGCATTGGTCCTCCGGGTAGGGCCGAGGCACGTGTTTTTCTCTTGATTGTTGAGACCCGGTTTTGTTCGCCTGGCAGACGTGTGGTCGTGTGGATGTTTTTGTGCTTCTTTGTGTGTTGTTGGGTATGCTCTGTTTCCTTGAATTTGGGGGCGTTTTTATGTGGGTGGTATGCGGTGGTTAGGAAAAACGAGAGTGGAAGAAAGGAAAGAAGGAAGAGGAAAGAAAAGAAAAGGAGAGGAGGGAGAAGAAGATAAAGAAGAACACGAAGTAAACTCGTTCCCTAGTGGGGCTCTTAACCCACTGTACGGGGCCGAAATAACTCAGTCACGGAGAACTCCCCATTTACCAACATGCGGATATAAGAAGCAACAGTGGAGTTCCTTCTTCCTCTCAGCACTAGCAGCACCACCGAGTCGCCATCTCCCCTTAGCCCACTGATCCCGAAAGTTGTCCACTGATATTTGCCTATGATACGGAGGGACAAAGCTCACACAAAAGTGTTAACAACCGCCTTATATCGGCCGGGAGCGAGTTCAAACCCAACCCATAAAAAAGCCCGCCTCACCACTGCATTCGACATGACCATATCGGAGCCATATACCCTCTCAACCAGTGTACCTAAATGCCACCATAAAGAGTTAGTATTTACCATCTATGATCTTATCTCCTGACAGCTATCACCATCCGCTTATGAGCGCCTACAGCGTCAGCATTATGAAACTTCAACAACTTGTGGTGGCTTCAGTGAGGCGTGCTGGTAGTTGGAAAGCAGTTCTTTGCTTGCTGTGCATAGACCATATTTGATTTGGTTTCTGTTTGGCACTGGGGCTCAGCTGTGGTACGGATTAGCAAATGGGTGAGTGGATAAGCGAATAATATAAGTAGATATATATTATCATTGGTTCTTTAGCCAGTTTGGTATTGCTGTTGGCTTCGTTGAGAGTTGATAATGGTGTCGCTATAAGTCTTGTGGGGAAATGTGAGTGAAGGCATCACTGTGAGTCTGCGAATGCATAGGGAACTTGGTCTCATTTCTTGGGTAATGAACGGATATCTTCCGTTGAACTTCTTCCGCTGTGTACAATAAATCAACTAGTTCAATTCGTATAGACTGGTGATTTCCACGAAGGGTTTTATCATTTGTTGATCTTGTTGGAAATGTTCAGCAATACTATAGATACCCCTGTCGTGAAATGTCTGAAATATCCATAGATGGGGTCACTTATTGTTGAAGGAAGTTGTGTACTTATCTGGAGTTGTTCGCCTAATGGGCTGGCTATATCAATGCGTACAACCACACTGGCATCGGTTTTCTTGACTAAAAACGTTGAGGCACATCGCACGATGACCACAACTAACGTCCGTCACCGCGAAGCGAGATTCACCGTGAAGCGAGATGGTGATACGTGTACGGAGTAGAAGAAAAGACCCAGTTAAGGTGTGTAGAGGCTCTGTACGGAGAAGAAGAGTCCCAGTCAGGATATGTAGAGCCTCTGTGTGCTCTAAGACCGTTTCACCCATACCTGGGACTCGGGATAGGAGCTAGGCAAGGAGTACTCTGTAGGGACTGCTTGTATCGTCCCCTGTCTCGCTATACGGTGGATCTCGGTTCGCGGTGACGAACATTAGAGGCGTCATTCCTCAGCTGGTAATCATATTCATATCACATAACAATACACTTATCACACACATCCCTCTTTCTCCTAACTTACTTCGCAGCCGGGTTAATCAGCGTGCTTCCACCATCCGGATACAAGATCTGCTCGTTATAGAACAGCCCGCCCTTGCCCGCAAGCAGCAAGATCGTGGCCGCCATATCCGTGTCGTGGCCAGGGCGGCCCGCCGCATTGCCCGCTGTGGGCTTGAGCTCGGACTTGTTGTCCTCGCCCGAGGAGCCGGCTGTCATCTGTGGGAGGGAGTGTTAGTAGGGGGCTGGCTAAGGGATGGTAAAAAGAAGGGAACAGAATGACTTACCTCACTGGGGAAGATACCAGGCGCAATGATATTAACCCTAATCCCCGTTTTCACCAACGTCGACGCCAGCATGCGACTCACATGCGTGGCCGCGGCTTTGCTAGACGCATAAGCAAACTGGCCCATCGAGCTCCCCTTCATCTGGCCCGAGATACTCGACACAGTAACAATGCTAGGCGCATAGCCGGGGGTGCTCTCCTTCGCGCGTGCGAGCAGCGGCGCAAACGCCATGCTAGTGAAAAACACGCCCGTGACGTTGGTGTTGAACGTCTCGGCCCAGGATTCCTGCGGGGACTTCATGAAGTGCGCGCTGATGGCCTCAGCAGACGTAAGGTCTGGCTCTCCATTCGTGCTGAACTTCGTGGCGTCGTCGCGGGCGATGCCGGCGTTGTTGACGAGGAGGTGGATACCTGACGGCTCTTTCTTCGTCATTTCGGAGGCGAGGCGCTGGATGTCGGCTTTGTCGCTGACATCACCAGGGAGGCTGCAAGGAGTTAGTACAACCTAATTCTTGATAGAGCGGGGAAATGCGCGTTATATGCGAGTTGATTTAGGGCTGGCTGTTCACTTACGGAATGATCTGGCCAGGCCCCTTGTTGTACAACTCCACCGTCTTCTTCAACGTTTCCTCCCGCCGTCCCGTGATGTACACCTTCGCGCCATTGGCGACCAGCGCCTGCGTGATCATCAAGCCAATGCCTGTGCCTCCGCCAGTCACGACAGCCGTGACATGCGAGACATCAAACAGCTTCGAGCCGGTAAGCTCGGACATATCTGCCTTGCCGGTTGCCATGGTGCGTGCTGCTGATACTGCCGGAGCGATGATTCTGTAACTGGGGCGTGTGCTGGTGAACGAGTTTTTGAACACGGGTGCGCTGCGTGTAAATAGTCGAAGCATCTTGCAAGGGCGGAGTGGTGCTGCTGCTTCTGCCTCTTTTGTATCTACCCGTCTCCAGTTGTTTATGCATGTGTAACAGCATCATGACGTTCGACGTCGTATCTACACGTCATAAGGGTCCAGGACTGAGATCGTATTGTCGATCTGATATTGAGATCGATCTTATTGCCGAGGTGCTTGGTGTAGCAATTGCTTGTCGCCGCATCCACCACTTTCATTCATAGAAGAAATAGTGGTCAGAGGTCGTAGAGGTGCTGTTGTCCGTTGCCAAGTCCATCTCAGTCACATAAGTTACAGCTATCACAAACATAGTGCCCGATACCTTGTGATGGAAAAAAAGGTCAGACGCAACTGTGTCGACTCAGCTCGAACATGTCCATTTTTTTCAATTGCAGTGCACATTAAATTCCTTCTCCATCGTCCCTCGCCCACCTCTTCTCAGTTCGGCTATAATTCAAGCTACGGTTAGCGCGCTGCGGGTAGCAACTCTGTGCTCGGTGAATTATTGACAGTTAGGGAATAGATTGTGGAACATGAATAGATAGTCGAAGTGAAGACATGCGCGGGTAGAAAAAGAGAAGACTTGGTGATGGAAGGTGTGACAACAGGCGAGTCTTTCCGCCCCGTCCCGCCCCGCTCCACAGCTCCGCTACTCCGCCAAGCGATAATGAGATCAGAGCTTCAACGCTCCAACTTGTGAAACCGAAGAGTAGGTATCACAGTTACGCGTACAAGTGCTCACCACCTCCCAACACTTGCCGCCCCCTTATCTGACCGCCCACTATTGCTTTGCTGTCTGTTATGCTCGTTTTGTAGCACCCTGGTCCGCTGATGCGCGCGACCGTCCGAATCCTCGTCTCTTTCCTTGTCCTCTTAATTGCAATGAGCCTCTCTGGCCCGCTTCTCCCCAGCAAGCTTACCGCGTCTGCTAGAGCAGGCCTCTGCAGCCGGGCACAATGGCTGTGTACCACTAGCTTTAACCGGCCTCAATTCCTCTCCGCGCAATCCTTCTCGTGGATTTCGGGGAGCCCTTCCTTTATACGACTTTTCAGCGGAACTTCAGCAAACAGCTCCGCCGCGACCCAATTCAGCTGGCGCATATCCGCCTCATACTCTGCGAAAGGCAAACGCTTCAATCCCGAACTAAACCTCTTCAACCATAATTCTTCCGTCAGGGCAGCCAAGACGGGCACCGGGCTCCAAAACATCGGAGAGAAAGACAAGAAGGATCGCCCGGCCAGCGGACAGGATTCCTTCTTCGTCAACGAGGTCGGTACAACTGGTTCGGTGGCCTTTGGCGTGGCCGATGGAGTAGGCGGCTGGACCGAGTCCGGCGTCGACCCGGCCGACTTTGCGCATGGCATATGCGAATACATGGCAACGGCTGCGAACGGCTTCCCCGAAGGCTTCAACTCGACTACACTGCATCCAAAGGACCTGCTGCAACTGGGCTACGAAAATGTCATGAAAGACAAAACAGTCGTCGGTGGCGGCAGCACTGCTTGCATAGCAACTGCAGATCCCTCTGGCTCAGTCGAAGTGGCCAAGTGAGCACTGCAACCCACCCAGACCTGGTACAAGCTAATGCTGCAAAACAGTCTCGGTGATTCCGGCTTTATCCACATGGGCGTCAATGCCGTTCGCTATTTCTCTCCTCCGCAAACCCACGCATTCAATACCCCCTATCAGATGTCGAAGATTCCGGAGCAGATGCTGGCCCAGATGAGGCTCTTTGGCGGGTCACAAGTTCATGGAGAAACACCGAAAGATTCTGCGATTACCAAACACCGGGTGAAGCACGGAGACGTCTTGGTCTTTGCCACGGACGGTGTATGGGACAACCTGAGCCCCCAGGACCTGCTTTCAATAGTTGCCAAACACATGACCGCATTGGGTGGTTGGATCGACACGAGGGATGAGTTCACTGTGAGCAGAGAGCTCCCGGCCCTGACCGAGAAGGGCAACTTCAGCAAGTCGGACAACAACACGCTGCAGGCGCTTCTCGCACTGGCCGTCACCGGAGAAGCAAAGGCGGCCAGTCTTAATATGAGGCGGGATGGGCCTTTTGCAAAGGAAGTGCAAAGATATTATCCGCAAGAAAACTGGCATGGCGGCAAGCCAGATGACATCTGCGTCGTAGTGGCCATCGCTATCGAAGAGGGAAGGTGATAGGCAGGGGTGTCCGTGAAAGCATTGGAAGGCGCATGCTGTAGATGGAATACGGTACAGCGGCGGCGTTTGAGGTCAGAATCTTGTCTTTGCGTAGCCAGTATATGTAGCAACATTGTACCTTACGTTCCCAAGTGCGGCTCCGTGGAGATGCGACGGATCTAGCTGATCTCGCAGGGCTGCAGCCGATGCGGGGGAGTAGTCTGGCGTCTCGCACACGCAAATCCAGCCATTCCCATCAGCCTGTCGCCCTGTCACCCTGATCCGCAAGCGTTCCCGTCATCGTTGAGTGCACAAAGCGCAGTGACGCACGTGAGCATTGCCGTGGCAACGCAAGGGCCAAACATTCGCCCTGCCCTTCACGTAAATCCCGCGCCCTCGACACACTCGCACATCCAACCCACGACGCGACGACGACAACGACGACAACCATATTCGCCCACCCCCCAGCATTCTCTATGGAAAGGTAGCACACGACCAACATTCGCTACGCCCGATCGCAACAACAAAAAGCCGCTTCGAACAACATTCAACTCAGCATCGCATAGCTACTCTGGTCACATCTAGCAATGGCCGCAGCATCCCCGACCCCTCTGTCGTCCTCTGGCTACGACAGCAGGATGTCGCGCTCCACTTCTTCAATGAGGCCAGCGGCTCTGCCTAGGCGCGAGTCGCCTATCTCTATCCTAGGACAATCGCATGGCTTTAGCGCGAATGCGCCGATGATGCAGCGCATCGACATCGGTGACAGCTCCGAAGACGAGATAGAGCAGCCCATGAAGCTGAATCCTTACACCCGAGCTCTGCTTGGTCAAGACGAGGTCGGATCTCCCGAAAGACCGATGAGAGGCGCGCCCAAGCTACGGATATCGAGAAACTCCTCCCTCTCAGGGACTCCCGGTCCTATGCAAGATACCATAACTCCGGCACCATCATTGCGCATCAAACGAGTGCCTCTGCGCGGTGCTCCCGTCCGGAGATTGAGGAGAACACCCCAGAGCGAGGAGGAACAAAATCAACAATCGGAGATGGACATGGCTTCCGAAGTCCGTAGCCCTCAACACACAAGCGCTGGCAGCCCCAGCGCCGGTAGCCCACGCGTTGTGCGGATCACTAGCCCGCGTAACTTGCGGATGGGCAGCCCCTCCCAGGACCAGGAGAACCAGGCCGCTTCGAGTTTCAAGTCAAACTCGGAGATGCCGGTTGACAATGGAGAAAAGGTGGATTCGATGCTCAAAGATTCGGTGATGAAGGACTCGTCGATGAAAGACTCGTTCCTGAAAGATTCTATGATGAAACTCGACGCGCCTGCCAAAGCCCCTGCGGTGCAGCGTGAAAGCAAGCCGATGCCGCTCGCGCCCGTTGATGTCAACAAGCCGCTTCGTCCCGCGCCGCCTCCGCCGCCAAAAATGTCTGTTTTGGACACGGCAACTGCAGTAGCTGGCGCTTCGACGGTGAAACAAAAGAAGCGGAGGAGGGCTTTCATGGTCAACGGAAAGCCCTATCAAGAAGTTGGGCGGATAGGAAAGGGCGGTAGCTCCGATGTCTATCGCGTCATGGCTGAGAATGGAAAGCTGTTTGCACTGAAGAGGGTGAAGCTCGAAGACGCAGACGAAAATGCCGTGAGGGGTTACAAGGGCGAGATTGAGCTTTTGAGAAAACTAGAGGGCGTTGAGAGAGTCGTGAGACTTTTTGACTGGGAAGTCGACGAGGAAAAGCAAATCCTCAGTGTGGTGAGTAAATTCCCCATTCCCACGAGATCAGACGATCTTTTCTAGCCCTTCTTTTTTTCTTCTGTTTCCGCCAAAGACAACGTTGACTAACCCAGAAATAGCTCATGGACATTGGCGAATCCGACCTCGCCCGCATATTACGCATGAGGATCGACCCGGAGGACTCCCACCTGGACCTATCGTTTACGCGCTTCTACTGGAAAGAGATGCTTGAATGCGTGCAATCAGTGCACCAATACGACATTGTGCACTCGGATCTCAAACCCGCCAATTTCCTTCTCATCCAAGGTGCGCTCAAGCTCATCGACTTCGGAATCGCCAATGCCATCGACGTCGAGCACACCGTCAATGTGCACCGCGACTCGCATGTCGGAACGCCGAATTACATGTCGCCGGAGTCACTACAAGACGCAAACGCAAGCGCGCGGCACGGCCCCAACGGCGACACGTCGCTTGGGCGCATCATGAAACTGGGCAAGCCTAGCGACGTCTGGAGTCTCGGGTGCATCCTGTACCAAATGGTATATGGGCGCCCGCCATTCGCGCACATCCCGAACCAGATCCACCGGGTCATGGCGATCGTGAATCCCAACGTGCAAATCGAGTTTCCATCGCACGGGCTAGGGGGCGTGCGCGTGCCGGCCGGCCTCAAAAAGACGCTTAAGCGCTGCTTGCAGCGTGACCCGGCGCGGCGTCCCACAATCCCCGAGATGCTGAGTGAGCGCGACGAATTCCTGTGTCCGGACGCGGGCGACGACCTGCGCATCCCGGAGCCGCTGCTCGCGCAGATTATCCAGCGCGTGGCGGACCGCTTCAGGGATCCGAACAAGCCGATGCCGACCGAGGACGAGATCAGGCAGTACCCCGGCAGCTTCTACGCCAAGATCCGCGACTTGCTGGAGGAGGCATAAGTGTTGATGAAGGGTGATTGTCTTTTGTCTTGGCCTGGTGACGACGAAGCATCGATATCACTCACACTTTCACGCACACACACATCGGAGACCGGCGTCGATTCCACTCTTCTCACTTCTCACACACTTTTTTTTTTTTTTTCCTCACGAACTGCGTGGTGCCTCTAGCGGGCGCTCGCGCATACAAAAGCGTTGCTGATGTTGATTGTTTCTGTTGTTGGTTGGATACGTAAACTAGCAAGGCGCCTGGTGCTGCTTCTTCTTTCTCATCATCTTCTTTTACTTCGCGGTCCGGCCTGCGTTCTTCTTCGCTCTTCTTTACTTTACATTTTCTCTTCTTCGAGATGCCTTCCTTGCTCGTCTTCTTTTTCTCTCTGGAGAGATGGAGACAGAGAAACTTCTTTTTTTTTCTCTCTCGGTTACTTACCTACTCTACCCTACCCTTACCTACCGACCTGCCTGTCTGGCTGCATTTTCTGTTTCCTTTGTTGTTGCTGTCGAGCGTCGTTGGTGCTGCTGCTTATTCTGCATGGCATGAGCGGGTGGCGTGAGACGTGGAGAGGTGAGGCGTTGTTTGTATATACCCTTTATAGGTTGGCAGCGGTAGCTTGAACAGTTGGCTTTTCTTGATCCATCGGCTTGCTTGTATGTACATGTGCTTGTCGGTGATTATGAGGGAATGCGTGTTTAGTGACGCTTTTGGAGCGTTCGTTGTGCTGCTGGACAGTGTTCGAGTATTTATACAGTATGTAACTCACGCTTTAAGAGTACGAAGATTGCGTGGCATGGTCGTCCAATCTTTCGTCATTCGTTTATTTGCTTTGCCATGCGCAACGGCCGTGGTTTTCTGGCGAATTGCTGGAACCATACTAGCTGCCATTACATCTCAGAAGCAGCCTCGACATGCACCAAGCCCCTCTCATCCACGCGCATGTGCGCCCTCATCCATACTCAACACCCTTCTCCCGCTCAACTCGACTTCTTGTTCTTCTTATCCTCCACACACTCCACATTATCCTCAGGCACCTCATCATACTTCTCGATCAAGAAGTCATAAACATCATCGCTCAGATCGCCCTGCAGGGTAATCTCCTCGCCGCCAGAAGGGAGCTTCGTGACGCTGGCGCCAGTAGCGAACTTCTTGCCCAAGTCCTTCGAGACCTTCTTGAGCTCGAGCCCAAAGGCCTCGAGCCCGATGATGGCCGTCACGTACTTGCGCTTGTTGCGCTCGATGCGCTTGATCGTGACGGTGGAGCTGGCTTTCAGCTCCTCGGCCTTTTGCGCTGCGGACTCGGCTTTCGCGGCCTTTTTCTTGGCGTCTTTCTCTGCGCGCTGTTGCGCTTCGAGCGAGAGGCTGGAGAGGTTCGCTTCGATTGTGTCTGTGTGGCGGGGTGGGGGGTTTTAGCTGCTGCTGCTGCGTCGCGGGATTTGGGGCCCCGGTGTGTGAGGATAGGTGGGCAGTGTGGGGACGTACCTTGCGAGTACAGCTTCGCGTGCATGTCGGGATGCGTGCTCGAGAGCCACTCCTCGCACTTCTTAGTCGTGCCGCCAAACTCGCAGTACTGCGCGCGTCTCGTCAGCCGACCGTCGTCTCTATGCGCGCGCGGACCGCGCCGCCGCCGTTTCACCTCCTACCTACTTCGGGCGGCAGGCTGCAGACTGCGCGATGGGTCAGTCTGGGGGCTCGTGGTTCGGGACGCGGGGCTTGACGCACCGCCGCAGTATACGACCTGCTTCGCTTCCGGCACGGGCGCTGCTTCTACGTCGGCCATTGTTGCGTCGTGTGTGCTGAGTGGTGTTGTTGAGTGGGTTTGCGGCGGGATTGGCACGGTGGTCGTGGGCTGGGTTGTTCGAGGCGACGATGATGGCGGGGGCGGGGCTGTTCGGGCTTGGCGGGATTTTGCTCGCTGTTTGGCTGCCTGAGGCATGCATGGGACGCCTAGGTGGGTTCCATTTTGACGGGGTACATTGTACGCGTCTAGCAAGGGTTTGGTGTTGTTTTTGTTGTGGAAACCATTGTTTGTTTAGCTTTTCTGCTCCGTGGTTTTTCGAGTCCCGTGTTTTATACTTCAGCAAAAGCCCACTCTTCCTGCTCTACGTAACAGCTCTCGTTCTCAAGCCCTTATCAACTATCTAGTCTTTTGAGATCTAATTGAGAAGAGCTGCTATGCTCAGGAAATTTTACTAAAGGAAACAACATTTCAACTGCCAACCTAAAGGTCGTGCAGAACATATATATAATCCTAACTTTAACCTTAAAGTCTAACTTCCCTAAAATATACTTATAGATGTTAGCATCCTCAGCTTTACCCCGAAAGCAGATCATCAGTAGTTTAGTATTAGTATAAGGCTCGAAGAGCGTCCCTAGCAGCGCACGGCGCGAGAGCTTTCTGTCTACCATCATGCTTCATCTCATTCTTCAACGGCTCCACCCTCTTGCCCATGTCTGCAGGCGCAATTGCAGCAAAAATATCCTAGCTTCTTTCCAGCGCTCTTCTAGCTAGCGAAATGACCTTGTTGTTCACGATGCGCACGGACGAGATGGGAAAGGTCATCTGAAAGAATGCGCGGTCGCATGACCTTAGGTTGATAGGTGGATGATCGTCTCGCACATGAAAGGCGATTCGCGGCGTGGCTCTGGCTCAGGCGCAGGGCATTTCCTGAGATCGGTGTTCGGTCGAGCAGTGGGATGCGCGGCGTGGAGAGGCGCCTTGATCTTTTCGGGGAACGTCCGCCGGCGCCCGCCGCAGGATGAGCTTCGGGGATGTTGGCGGTCGAGGGCCAACGAAACATCAACATCCCAAACAACGTACGCGAACGCGCCTCCTAGCTCCCTGCGACTCGCGCCCAGCCAGCGATGAAGCCACCATAGCCGCACACAAACACCGCTCATACACGCATCCGTCCTACACCTATCCGTCTCACGCCGCGCCGGGCTTTCGGCGACTCCTAAGCCATCATGGCCTCCGGGGGTGGAAACATCAAGGTGGTGGTGCGTTGCAGGCCCTTCAACAGTAGAGGTATGACCGAACATCCATCCTCGACATGAGTACCCGCCTAACTCCGCGTAGAGAAGGAGAGAAAGGCACAATGTATCGTGCAGATGAAGGACAGCCAGACCGTCCTGGTCCCCCCCAAGAACATGGACCCCAAGGCCAAGGGCGCGAAGGCCGCGACCGAGGGGCCAAAGACGTTCAACTTCGACAAGAGTTACTGGTCCTTCGATCGCAATGCTCCCAACTACGCCGGTCAGGAAGATCTGTTTAGCGACCTCGGCAAGCCGCTGTTGGACAACGCTTTTCAGGGCTTCAACAACTGTATTTTCGCCTATGGACAGACCGGCTCGGGTAAATCATACTCTATGATGGGTTATGGCGAAGAGCACGGTGTCATTCCTAAGATTTGTCAGGGCATGTTCGAGCGCATTGACAACATGAAGCAAGACTCGCATTTGAATTGCACAATCGAGGTCTCGTACCTGGAAATCTACAACGAGCGCGTACGCGACTTGCTCAACCCTGCGACAAAGAGCAATCTCAAGGTCCGAGAGCATCCGTCGACTGGTCCCTACGTCGAAGATTTGGCAAAGCTCGTTGTCCGCTCGTTTCAGGAAATCGAAAACCTCATGGACGAGGGTAACAAGGCGAGAACGGTCGCCGCGACAAACATGAACGAGACATCTTCCCGGTCCCACGCCGTTTTCACCTTGACGTTGACGCAGAAGCGGCACGATGCTGAGACAAGCATGGACTCCGAGAAAGTGGCCAAAATCAGTTTAGTCGATTTGGCTGGTTCAGAGCGCGCTACTTCTACAGGAGCGACTGGCGCGCGTTTGAAAGAAGGTGCAGAAATCAACAGATCCTTGTCCACGCTTGGACGTGTCATTGCAGCACTGGCCGACTTGTCTACCGGAAAACTGGGGGGAAAGAAGAAGAACCCCAACATGGTCCCGTACAGAGATTCCATTTTGACATGGCTGCTGAAAGATTCCCTGGGCGGTAACAGTATGACGGCTATGATTGCAGCAATTTCGCCCGCCGACATCAACTTCGAAGAAACGCTATCGACCCTCCGATACGCGGATTCCGCCAAGCGCATCAAGAACCACGCCGTTGTCAACGAGGATCCCAATGCTCGCATGATCCGCGAGCTGAAAGAAGAACTTGCGCAACTCCGTTCAAAGCTTGGCGGTGGCGGCGGAGGTGGTGGCGGAGGAGGGGGCGGGGGCGGAGGCGGCGCAGGTGTTCCACCAGAAGAAATCTATGCCCCAGACACGCCATTGGAGAAACAAATCGTCTCAATCACATCATCGGACGGCACAGTCAAAAAGGTCTCAAAGGCAGAGATTGCAGAGCAGCTTAGCCAGTCTGAGAAGCTGTACGAAGATTTGAATCAGACGTGGGAAGAGAAGCTGCAGAAGACAGAGGAAATCCATAAAGAGCGGGAGGCCAAACTCGAGGAGCTGGGTATCAGTATCGAAAAGAATTTTGTCGGCCTATCCACGCCCAAGAAAATGCCGCACCTGGTCAACCTCAGCGATGATCCGCTGCTGGCGGAATGCTTGATCTACAATCTCAAACCCGGCACGACTTCAGTTGGCAATGTGGAAAGCTCCTCTAGTGCAGAAATTCGATTGAACGGGTCGAAGATCCAACAGGACCATTGCACCTTCGAGAACGTTGATGGCGTCGTAACTGTAGTGCCGAAAGACAATGCCGGCGTCATGGTCAACGGTGTGCGAATCGAGGAGCCCAAGCGACTGAGGAGCGGGTACCGCATCATTCTTGGCGACTTCCACATCTTCCGTTTCAATCATCCTGAAGAGGCGCGAGCTGAAAGGGCAGAACAGCAAGGCAGCTTATTACGTCACTCAATGACAACGAGCTCAGTAGGCACCCCTACGGGAACACCTTCTCGCCCCGGACATGAGAGAAGTTGGAGCAACCTCAGCAAGGGTGAATCAGAACCCGATCCTGACAGCTCAAGAGGAGGGTCGCCTCTGCCTTTCGGTAGAGGCAACCGTGAATCCGACTGGGCGTTTGCTCGACGGGAGGCCGTATCGGCCGTGCTCGGGCCCGACCAAAAGATCTCCAAATTAACCGACGAGGAATTGGATGTGCTCTTCGATGATCTGCAACGGGTCCGTGCTACGCGTAAGGCTAGGCCGGAAAGTAAGCTGTTTGAAAGGGAAGACGATGTGGAGTCCGATGCATCTTATCCCGTGAGGGAAAAGTACGCGTCCAATAGCACCATGGATAACTTCTCCCTGGATACGGCTTTGACCATTCCCTCAACCCCGCAATTCAGCGAGGAGGGCGACCGTTTCAGGACCGCCAGGGAAGACATGCAATCCCAACTCGACCAACAAAAAGGAGAGTTCCAAGCCAGGCTGAAAGATGCAGAGGAAGGCCATGTCGACATCGAAGATATCCGAGCCGAAAAAGTGAGGATGGAAGAATGTCTTCGCGCCGTCAAAGAAGAGATGCAACAGCAACTCCTGCAGCAAAAAGAGGAGTATGAAAGACACATCTTCGACTTGGGAGGCCATTCAGCTCTTGAGAAAGCGCAGAAGACCACACCCGTCAAGCTACCTGGTTTACCTCCAGAGGAAGTTGCAAGGGCCAAAAAGGTGTTCACGCATTGGCGGCAACGCAGATACGTAGCCATGGCAGAGACGCTGCTTCAGAATGCCGCATTGCTGAAAGAGGCTCAGGTCATGAGCCAGCAGATGGACAAGCACGTTGTCTTCCAGTTCTGTGTGGTCGACGTCGGACACTCTTTCGCTTCTTCCTACGATCTGGTGCTCAACGGCGTTCCCGGTGAGGATGACGAAGACCTTGAAGCAACACCGAAGCCTTGCATAGGCGTCAGGGTTGTCGACTTCAAGGATCACATTATCCATCTCTGGTCAATCCAAAAGCTGCGAAGACGCATCAGGGCTATGCGTCAAATGCATCAATACGTGAATCGCCCCGAGTTGCAGCAGCATTTCCGCCTGGAAAATCCGTTTACGGAGTCTTGTTCGCCGGAGTACTCCCGTATCGGTGATGCGGATGTGCCGCTTGCGGCAGTTTTTGAGTCTCGGGTGCAGGACTTTGCCATAGACGTCATCTCATCATACACCTCTGGAGTTGTCGGTATTATACGCTTGTCTTTGGAGCCGTCGTTTGCAGAAGCCCCGTCGTCTACGCTGAAGTTTAACGTGGTCATGCACGAAATGATCGGATTCCCGGAACGAGAAGGTTCGGAAGTCCATGCTCAGCTTTTCTTTCCCGGGATTTCGGACGAGGGCGGCGCGACGACGACTCAGCTCATCAAAAATTTCGACGAGGGTCCGATCCGTTTTGAGAGCGTCCATAGCATGGGCCTGCCTCTCGACAGCCCCCGCACGGCATCACTTCGCATATCGATCTTTGCGAAGGTGACGACAATGCATTTGGACAAGTTGCTCAGCTGGGACGACATGCGGGATGAAGCTCCTCGTCCTAAGCTGAAGCGCAATCACTCTCGACTACCTGAATCTGAGTACTTCGCCGAAGATCGTCACGATATCTTTACGCGATTGCAGATTCAGGAAATGGCCGAGGATGGAAACTACAAGCCAGTCGATGTGGTACAAAACAACGCTCTCGATATCGGGGTCTACCAGTTGCATCAAGGTATCCAGCGGCGCTTCGTTGTCAATCTTACGCACAGCTCTGGGCAAACGCTGCAGTGGCAAGACATCTCCTCCATACGCGTCGGTCACGTCCAACTTCTCGATCATAACGGCCGGACCATCAGCTCAGACTCGCCTGAACCCATGGTCCCAGTGAAGCTCATGGCTACTCCAACGGTCAAGGATAACGCTGATGGTACAAGCAATGTGACGTTCGTCGGACTATGGGACACAAGTATGCACGCATCTTTGCTCCTAGACCGGACGACTGCCGATCGCTACCGGGTGCAAGTGTCTCTATGTTGGGAGGTCGCCTGCGCGAAGCTGACCAAGCCAATGACTTTCTCGTTGGATGTTGCATTGCAGATACGATCGCGTTCCTATATTCGCCCGACCTCTGTCTTTAGCCAGTTCTTCGCCGCTACTCGTATTGTGCACTCAACTGTTGGAATGTTCTCTGTAGCCATACGGCCTGTGTCTGCCAAGCGCGCTGTCGACCTGTGGAGAATGAGCACCCAGCACGACTACATTAAGGGAGAGGAGTTGCTCAGCGGGTGGACGCCGCGTGGTGTGTCACTCGTCAAGGACTTCATCAGCACACGCAAACGACGAAGGAGAGTTGCAGAGATTGAGACTGCGCGGACTGTGCTTAGCACTCGAGCACTGACAGTAGATGCTGAGATTGACACCGACGGCCCTCTCACCGGGCGGCAGAGGCAGCTTCTTCTCCGGGTCCTCGACCTCTGGAAGACCAAGAAGGATATTGGCGAGCTGATCCTCGTGAAAGAAAACCTCGAGCCGCCTGAGCGTGGCGCTGCCTTTGCCACACCCCCTAACGGCGAAACGTCTCCCACTCTCATCTCTGAGGTGCGCTATGTGCCCAAGAATCCTACTATGCTGAAAGGCGGATATCTGTTGACGCCCGACGACACCAACACGCGATGGGTGCGGCGCTTTGTGGAGCTACGCCGGCCGTACTTGCACATCTACTCCGTCCCTGAAGGCGACGAGATCAACGCCATCAACCTCGGGAACTCTCGCATAGACCACCAGCCACAGCTCGCTAATCTGCTCCAGCGGCACAACATGAATGTCTTTGCCGTCTTTGCGCCGCAGAACACGTTTTTGTTTGCTGCAAAAAGTGAGCGTGAGAAAATCGAGTGGATTCTCAAGATTGATCAGAGTTATTTCAGCAGCAGTGGAAGCCACACGCCTGACAGCGGATGATCAATGAACTTGGAGAATTGGAATAACAAAAAAATAGGAGATGGGTGACGAAGGAATGCAGGATTTACGGTTTCTTTTTATTATTCTTTTTTTGGTCTGCTTCTTTGTCAATGTCAATATTGTTTGGTTATGAGGTGGAGCGGTATAGTTGGATTTTCGGTTGTTGAGTTTTAAAGGGCGTCAAATGTTGTTCTTCTGATACCCAAGATTACGCGATCTCAAAGTCTCCTTTCTTGGATCTGCTTTCCCTACCTACCGTCACTTGTGAATATCTAGATGGACATGTAGCGCAATGCAAGCTTGGAATCTTTTTCTCTCTTATGCCCTTCCGGGCTTCGACTCATCTATATCCCTGGAATTTCCCATGGCGTCGATTGGCGGATTTTCAAGTCGAGTGCGCCAACATGCTATGATGCCTATTTAGGATAGTCCCAGCAACCAAGGAGTCGGAAGAGCATAGAGCAACAGTCATCCGACGGCCGGAGACCCGGGCCAAGTACCTGGACGTTCTTCGCAACCTCCTTGCAACCCTTGTTTATAAGGTATAGGAGGAAAGCCTTCCATTAGCTCAAAAAAGAAGCATAATCACGGATGGTCCTTTTCGGAAGGTTCACGTTTCGCTCGGCGGCCCTCCCCGCGCCGTTTGAAACCAATTTCTCAACTCGTGTTCCCCCGCTGTAGTTCTGTTTCAAGGCCAACCTCAACACCCGCTTTTCCTTTTAGTGGACATCGAGGGACGTGTTTCCGCGCGCTTCGTGATCGTACTCGGTCTCTGGCGTCTACATACGTAGTAGTAAGTAGGTGATCGTAGTAAAAGGAGAAAACAAGCGAGATGATGAGCGATCTCCGCTGACAAACACTTGAAGGTTAACTACCCCAAACTACATAGAGCCTGAGGGGAAGGTGACAGCGAACACACAAGCCCAGTGGTGAGCCGGGAATATTTAGGTGAGCCGAGGAGGATACAGAGCATTCAAGACAATGAGAATCAATCGTCTATACTTGGAATAGTCATTGCTATTCAACCAAGCTTACATAAATGCAGCAACACAGTCTCTCGCTGAGGCTTTACCCTCATTGGCGGCATTTCCTATTCATGGGACCTACGAATTCATGACTACAGTCTCATTTCAAGCAGCGGTCCGCGCTTTCAGTGGGGCAGTGGTCTCGACCGAGTGCGGAGCATCTACCCGGTTCGCAGGGCTGGCGCATCCACCACACTCCTCGTTAATCTATCCATAGCCGAAGTGAAACAAGGTCGGGTAAACATAATGGCGCTTCCAATAACCATGCAATATATAATCCATATAGACCACCACATCGACTCAGCTCTGCACGCAAGATTCGTCCTAGCATCCACACTCATTTCTTCCCCGAGACTGGTTCTCCTCCCTCCATTCATTCAAAACCTACTTACGTCTCTAAACGTTTATTCACCAACAACAACCACCACCATCACCACCAACCAAGATGCGCAACGCCGTGTCCGCCGCCGCGATGGCTCTGGCCGTAGGCTCCGTTTCGGGACAGAGCCTGTACGACAACTACAAGTACGGCAACCAGTTCTACTCCGGCCCGACATCGGACGACTCGATCTACATCACGAAAGCGACGTACTCGATGAAGCCGCCAGCGACGCCATGCAACTACAAAGCGGGCGGCGAGGAGGAGCTGACGCTGTGGATCGGGCTGCAGCCGAACCCGGCCAACACCGACGTGCTGAAGCTCGACTTTGTGCAGCCGCTGCTGGACTTCTCGCCGAACCTGAAGAACATGGGCTGTGAAGGTGTTGCTGATGATCAGTGGTGCGTTGCGGCCAGCACGTACCACCCTGATGATGGCACCGGCAACCCCTACCAGCAGGGCCAGACTTACGTCCCGGTTCCTAAGGGCTCAACCCTCGACTTCGAGGTCAAGGTCGATTCCGAGACCCAGGAGATCGTCCAGACTGTCTCTGCGGACGGCAAGGTCATCTCCACCCAGTCCGATAGTACGTCTCCTCTGTTCTTCCTTCCTCAATTGCGGTTTGCTAACCCCCTGCGTTCACAGCCAAGGGCATGAAGCCCCAAGTCTTCTACTCCGGCAACGAGTGCTACCTGCCCCCCTGCGGCACGCTGCAAGGCTACAGTGCGTACCCCCCTCTCTTATCGCAGTATAAACCCCACAGTTCGGCAATAACTAACAGCTCCACAGGCTGGGACAACATCGTCATCGAGCTCAACAAGGCCGACAAGGCGTACGGCGACACGCTGACGCTCGACGGCGCCACGTCTGATGGCGGGCTTCAGACCTCCGACGGCGGCAAGACTTGGACTGCCGAGTCTATCAAGATCGGAAAGGACTACTTCTATTCTGATGACTCTAAGACTGAGTGCTCGTAGAGAGTGGGTCTGAGGGTTGAAGGAAGCTGACTATGAGGGCTCTCTATGATATGATATGAAAATTATCCGAATGGTTTGCTGCTGTTTGTTCCGTGATGTGGTGACGGTGGTGACGATGTTTCTTTGATTTGGCTTGTTTTGGAAGTGAGTTTGAACTGTTGTTGTTGGTCTATAGGTATCTTCCATGCTCTTCTCGCCGGGTGTTCTTTTGTCTGAGCTGCAAACCTCCAGAGAACAACAGTTTCAAAAAGAGCAAGGACAAGAACAACCACGAACAGCCCCAATCCACTCTATATAAACAGCCCATGTTATCTTCCCGCACAAACACATCCACCCTCCAGACATCCACCGACAACCATCTACACACCCAGCTATACCACATATTCGGCCGGTCAGCTCTAATCAAAGACACGCACACCGCTCCAACCCCCCCAACCACAAGCCAAGAGTCCAACCCCTAAGACTCCCCCACTGCAAAACCTCGGCATGTAAAACGATAATGGCCACTATCATCTCCCACCGCCGCGGACCATCATTTACTCACACCACCACCGCACACCATCACCATCACCACCCACTCCTACAAACCCGTCTTCTCAACTCAATTCCAACACATCACCTAGATAGGTACAAACAATAGCCAGGAAGCCGCATGAAGTGAACTGGGTAACCAAGAGTTAGGTAGTATCAGATCCACCAACAAAGCAGCACCTACACAGCAGCAGTAGCTCCCGAACTATATCCAAGAGTTCCTCAATTAGTCTGCGGGATACGAGTTTATAGTGTAGCAGGCTGGTAGGGAGGATAGAGGTAAGTTACTAATCAAGAGGACACACCCAAGCACACAAACGCCCTACCCACCACACCACTTGAACAGCAAGCAACCAACCAAGTTCCGCCCCAAAACGCAAGAACCGCCAAAAGAAGACGAACCCACACAGCAAACCACCGACCGACTCACTGGCTGCCTGCCTACTCAACTGCATCTATAAGCCATTCCACCACCCCTCACACACTGACACTACTATCACTGATATGACATCGCGTCTCCACACCACACCACGCCTGCTCACTGTAGATGTGTACGTGCGCACTCAAGCGTACATATCCTCGTCCCCCTCGGCCGCATCGCCGAATTCTGCGCCCGTGGCTCCTTCTCCGCCTCCGCCTGCGCTTGCTGCTGCTGCTGCTGCTTTGCCTTTGCCTTTACTTTTGCCCTTGCTCGTGCTTCCGCCACCACCAGCACCACCACCGCCGCCGCCGCCGCCGCCGCCGCCGTTAATCAGATGGTCGGTCCGGATAACGTAGTCGTCGTCATCATCGTCGTTGTCATCCGCACCCGCGCCCCCATCACCACCTCTCCCATACCCCCCCCCCCCCCCCCCCCCCCCCCCCCCCCCCCCCCCCCCCCCCCCCCACCTCTTCCGCACCCGCGTCCCCATCCGCACCAGCAACACCAACCTTCCCCTTACCTTTGCCCTTGCCCTTCCCCTTCCTCGCCGTGACAGCCGCATAGCTCCCGCCCTCACTTCTCTTTGCCTCGGCCGCCTTCGCCGCCGCCCTCACATACCCCTGGGCACCGATCTGGGGCTGCGGCTCACCCGTCCCCGTTCTCCCCCGTTCCTTCTCCCTCGCCTGCCCCTCAAATGTCCTCCTCACTCTTTCATAATGCCCCAACTCCTCACCACTAACACTCGGGACCAACTCATCTCTCGCAGCAGCAAAGTCGGCGGCCGTAACACTGACCTGCATGTCGGCAGGGCCAGCGACATGGTCGAAGAAATGCGCGATCGTCATCGGTGCCTGCGGGGAAGACTGTGCCGCGCGCTGGGCGTTGATGCTGCGGACGCGGGCGTCGACGGCGCTGGCTTGCCGCGTTATCGCTTTGAGCATGGCGTCCGAGCAGAGGGCGTAGAGGTCTGCGCCGGTGTAAGTGAAGGGGAGGGTCTGCGCGATGCTGGCGAGGGAGAGGGCGGGGTCGAGTGAGAACCTGTGTGGGGGGTGGGGTTAGCGCGTGCGTTGTTTACGACGTTGTTGTGGGTGTGGGGAGGAGAGGTAGGAAAGGGATGTGGACGTACTTCCTCGTCAGCGCCTCCAGAATCGTCAACTGCTTGTCGTGCGTATCGCTGACGCCCAAATAGAGCATCTTGTCGAACCGCCCCGGCCTCAGTAATGCCTGGTCGAGCAAATCCGGCCGGTTCGTCGCGCCAATCACAAACACGCCTCCGCCTCCTCCGCCACCCTCCCCGCCGCCATCGCTCATCCCGTCCAGCTCCGCCAGCAACTGACTCACAATGCGGTCCATGACGCCGCCGCTATCGCCCTGGTTGCCACGCTTCGGTGCCACGCTATCCAGCTCGTCGAAGAAGACGACGCAAGGGCGGGCGTCGCGCGCGCGCTGGAACACGCGGCGCACGTTCGCCTCCGACTCGCCGATGTACATGTTCAGCAGCTCGGGGCCTTTGACGGAGAAGAAGTTGAGGCTGAAGGACGTCGCGATGGCTTTGGCCAGCAGCGTTTTGCCCGTGCCCGGCGGCCCGTAGAACAGGATGCCCGACCGCTTTTTCATGCCGCGCGCGAACAGCTCCGGCCGCGACAGCGGCAGTTGGATTGTTTCTGTTACGGCGTCCTTGACGTGCGTCAGGCCGCCTACGTCCGACCACTGCACGTTGGGGATCTTGGGCGCGCCGATCGCGTCCGCGAAGTTTTTGCGCGCGGCGTCGACTGCGGCAGTGAGGTCTGCGGTCGTGAGGCTGAGCGTGGATGCGCCACCTGCTAGTTCCAAGTCTTTGACTGTGAGGGCCATGGAAGTGTCGGGGAGGTGCTTGTTCGCTTCAGAGACAATGCTCTCTAAGCGCGTGTGCTTGGCTACGAGCGCCCGGTCAATCACATCGACTAGGTCACCAGCAACCAAGGCCGCGGTTTTGACGGCAATGTTGGACAGGTCGACGTCGGGTGAGAGACGGATGCCGCGGGCCTCGACGATGCCCCGAAGAATGCCCTCTCGCTCTGCCTCGTCTGGCGCCGACATCTCCAACTCATGGGTGAACAGGCCGCGAATGCCATCAGGGATCTTATCGACTTCGGTTGTTGTGGCGACGAGGACTCGCGAATCGGCAAGGACTTCCTTCAGGGCTGCTACCATCCGGTCGGCATTTAGCGCCTCGACGTGCTTCAAGAGAAGGGCCGTGTATTCTGCACCGCAGGCCAGCGCTCTATCAGCTCGAGCCTTGAGGAATGCCTCAGTCTTGACATCGCCTCCCCCCGAACCTCCTTCCGTGACAATGTCAAAGGAGTCGATGGGAAATGTGTGCAAACCCAAGTCTTCGCAAGCACGAATGGCGGTGGTGGCTTTGCCGATTTGTCGCTGCGTCGAGGTAACGAGAATAGCCAAAGGCGGCAAGCCCAAGTGTACCGCACGGGGGCTTGTAGCTGCCAATACCAGTTCTCTTATACGGCGTCGAAGCGGTGAAATGTATTGGCTAGGCAGATCCGTCATGCCAAAGGGTTTTGTAGCAGAACCGTTCGGTGGTGCAGGGATGCGCTTCGCGCCGAAGTAGTACTGCCAGGAGTTACCAGTAGCGCTCGGCAGCTTCCCTTGCTCACTTCCAGCCTGAGCAATTTTCGTGTTTGTAGCATCGACGGATACAGTTCCTCCCCAGATATCGTCAGAAAGGTCGCCATTATACCGAGCCTCGCTTGAGACCGCCGCAGTTACGTTGCTGACCTTGAACCAAGCCACGCTCTTCAGGTTCCTGTCTGTGTTAGGGCGAGGGTCGGTGGATCCGTCAGACTTGGAATTCGACAGTAACTCCTCGGTTTCTGCTTCATCCTCGGGTCTGGTTCCTTGGAATACTGCTTTGCCTAGGGCCTCATCCACTGCGATCCCTATCAAATCACCGCTCTTTACTATGCGTCTTTTCTGCTCAAAGTAGTCTTTCAACCCGACAAACAAACTTGGTTGAAGAAGTCGGTCGGTTGATAGGGGCGTTGACAGCTTCAGTAGCTTGACCTCTTTTGCGAGGGGCGGGAGCGAAGAGCTTGTAATCTTTGGCTTCTGGAGGCCGGGCGTCTTGGTAAAGGGAAGTGATGGAGGCTGTATGGGAGATATGCGCAAATGGGTCGGGCTACCCATGTTCGCTATGAGAACCGGAGACAGATATGCCTGGCTCGGTGAGCTTCCAGGTACTTGCGTGGAAACGCTGGACACTCGCTGGTGGGAGCGGTTCACTGGATACCGCGCAGGCTTTTTCGACATGCTTTCCGGAAGCCCGAAAATTCTCACCGCGCGGAATTCAGAAGGCTCAGCTTCTTCGTTGAAGGCATATTGGAGACTCAAGGCACCGCCCCCATGCCCTTGCGGTTCTTGTGCAGCCTCGATCCGTACCCAGTCACCGGAGAAACATCCTACCTTGACAAGCGTATTTGTGTCCACGAAAACACGAGCCTCCTCGTCGTCATCCGAGCCAGGCTTGGGGTGAACCATCTCTTCCGGAATTTGCTCGAGGAGTCCCACAGCTTTGAAGACTTTTCCAGCGCTGCCACTGCCTCTGGTTGTTGCTGTTGTAAAAGTGGAATATACGGAGGCAGCTCCGGGACTCATTCTGCCAGTCTGACGAATGGTCCCACCCCTTGGTGTGGTCGAGGTCCAGGCAGAAATAGTGCCCGAAGCCTGCCCTGGTAACGAAGGAGCACTCAGGGATATCATGTCGTCTGAGCCGTCTGAGAGGTCTCCAGCATCAGACCCTGAGACTTCTGAATCCAGATGTTCTGCAGCAGACGCATCTCCATCATCAGATAGCGAAGGTCCAGTAGAAGAGCCCTTATCTTCTGCGGCAGAGTAGAAAGTATCATTTGATGTGTCTTCATCGTCTTCGCCGGGGCCGGACGCTAGCCGCGGGCTAACGAGGGCTGTCGAAGAGGCCTTGGCGGACTTGTTCCGGCTACGAGAATGCAACACGACTATCCTTGTGCTCGGAAGCAGTACGCCCTGGGATACTGGCTCACAAGAGACGATTTTAGCTGGAGGAGCGGGCACATGAGTGATTGGATGTCCATCGATTGGCAAAGGCAGCAGGTCTCCCGCGTGTACTATGCTGGGGACTTCTAATGCTTTGCGGACTGCATTCTTCCATGCCTTCTCCCGCTGGGCCGAATCTTGCGATTTCCCCTTGACACCGTTCGGAGCGAGCTGCCTCTCTTTGGCTGGCGTAATGCCAAATCCGCCTCCGAACTTTGCCCGGACCTCCTCCAGCTTGCGCAGACCGTCCGCATCGATACTGACAAATATCGTGTTCAATCCCAGCGGGGCAACATCTACAATGCGAATCTCAATTGGTGCATCTCGTCGTTGAAGGCGGTTCGGGGCCGTCGACTGGAGCGCTTGGACGAACGATTGCAGCGCTAACGAAGCGGCGGGGAATTGGAGGGAGGAATTCGGACGCGATGAGTCCTTGTCGCTATTGCTAGCCGCACGAACGGGCAGGATGGTCCAGGAAGCTGCAGTAGGAGAGTTGACGGAGCTCGGCGTCCAGGGCGTGATGGCGACATGGTGGATGTCCTGATTGCCTGTCCATTGTGTCGTCAGTAAAAGGCGCAAATGGGTGACGTGTGGAGTAAGGCCTACCCGGTGCTTGCCTGGCGGCGGGGAACAAGTCGGCGAAGAGGTCGTCGGATAGAAGGCCGACGTCGCCCTTGATGCGCTCGTCGAGAAGCAGGCGGGCGGAGATGGCGGGCTTGTCGTGTCTTCTTCTTCTGCGCCTCCGCCTGCGCTGGTACAGGACAGCGTCGGCGGCCATGGTGGTGGGTTGGTGTTTGTTCTTCGGAAGCGGAGAGCAGCTACCTAGGTTCCACGGAAGGTGCTCGGTGGAGCTTGCCGAGGCCGAGGTAGTTTGTTGACTCGACGCGCTAATGCGGAGCCGCAGTGGGGTTCAAGGCTGGAGGAGTACGATAGGGCTGTGACACTACATCTAACGTTCACTATACAATTGCCTGTTTCGGGTAGAACTGGCGCCTGGCATTATTCCCATGCGCATCGCGAATCTCACGCCAAGCCACAAGACGTGGAGGCGGAGTGCTGAGGCGGGATCTTCATGTGAGACGCGCGCGTGAGGCTTGTTGGGTCCAAGCAAAAGCCGCACGTTGACAGCTGAAAATTTACGGCCGCGCTTCCAACAACCACTACGTCATGCGGCGCCGCCGTCCCTGGTTCCATCGCGGCGAGTAACGGCTGATCTTGTCCGCTTCCATGCGTTCATCTGCCGCCATTTTACCTCCGCCCTGCTTCCCCTCAACCTTTCCACTTTTCCACCCATGAAATCACCTCCAAACTCGGCGCCCCCGAGGCCCTTATGATACCCGCTCCGCCCGCCCTCCCGTCTCCCGCAACAATGGCCTCCAGAACCCAGACCGTCGCTGCCAAAGCGAAGCAGAAACTCTCCTCCATGTCCTCCAAGGCGCAGCCCGCCATAGAATTCGCACACCAGTCCGAGCACCTTGGCCAGTACACCGTCGACCAGGAGAACCAGCGGGAGGGCTCGACTCACGCAGTCGAAGCCAAGTTTATTACTAGCCAGGACCCTGTCATCGCCACGGCCAATGGCGGCCGCCTGCCCGCCGTGCCCGTCGAGGAGGCCATCAAACTCAACAAACTCAGGGACGTCCTCGACAACCGCGACCCTTCGCAAAACAAGCCTGTCGATCCCAGTTCGCGTGAGACCAATGATGGAACCGTACACGGCGCAAAGCCAAGCAGTTCGGCCATGTCCGAGAGAGATGGTTCCAAACCAGATGCGACACTAAGGGACGCCGTCCCACCATCGAGGACGAATCCCCTATTCCCCCCACTGCCAATGTACGGCCCACCTACTTTTTTGCGTAACATGCAATGTTGGGGTTTTAGATTTTCTTCAGCTATCCTTTCCTTTGTTTTCTTAATTGTCATTCTGTTAGGCGCAATGTTCACCAGTATACCCCTTCTCTGCAAATGGTTGTGGAGAAAAATAACTTTCAGGGATCCTAATCAGTACCGGCCATTCTACGAAGAGGAATTGAGGAGGAAAGAGGCGAGGAAGAAAGCAGAAAAAGCATGGAAGCAACGTCAACAGAGGAACGAGAAGTGTCCGGATAAAGAGCATGCCACCGACTCGACAGAAGACTATCCAATTATGGAAGGCGGGCCTGATCCGCTGGTCTGCGACGTTAGTTACTATGCGCGGAGGGTTGGTTTAGACTGCGAGACTTTTTTGGTTCAGACGGAAGACGGCTTCATAATAGAGCTGTGGCATATTTACGATCCACGCGACTACCGCCCCGCATCCTCGCCGGACAAGGGTCCCCATTCTCCGGAAATCTTCCGCCCAGGCTTTGCTGCTGAGGGAGCCAAGAACGGTGCTTCTGGCTCCCAGTTCCCCTTTGGACAGAGGAAGTACCCGGTTCTCATGATGCACGGTCTTTTACAATCATCTGGAGCTTTCTGCTCCAATGACGACAAGAGTATGGCTTTTTTCCTGGCCAAGTCTGGCTATGATGTCTGGTTGGGAAACAACCGCTGCGGCTTCACTCCGCGCCACAACATGCTCAAGTACGAGGATCCTCGGATGTGGGCATGGAATATCCGCCAAATGGGCGTCATGGACTTGCCCGCGCTCATTTCCCGCGTTCTGTCCGAAACTGGATTCGAGAAGCTCGCCCTCATAGCCCACTCGCAAGGAACAACGGAAACCTTTGTCATGCTGGCGAAAGAACAGCGACCAGAGATTGGCGAGAAGATAAGTGTTTTCTGTGCGCTCGCCCCGGCGGTGTACGCGGGTCCCCTGATCGGGAAGATGTACTTCAAGTTCATGCAGGTGATTAGCCCAGGCATGTTCCGTGTAATCTTTGGCATCCATGCCTTTATCCCTTTCATGATGCATATGCACAAGATTCTTCCTGGCAAATTCTATGGTGCTATGGGCTACCGCATCTTCTCCTTCCTGTTTAACTGGACCGACGAGCGTTGGGAAAAGGATCTACGCAATCGCATGTTTCAATTTGCACCCGTTTTCGTCTCGTCTGAAAGCATGCGCTGGTGGCTCGGACGTGAGTGCTTCGCAAGGCAGAAGTGTATTCTGGCGACGCGCCGAGAGAAGGAGATGGAAGAGAAGGAAGACGACATGGCCGAACGCCAGGAAAAGATGCGCCAGTACTACCGCCACGGCTCACGCAACGAGCACTCGACAGAGCGCCGCGACGATTCGCCCTCGTCGAGCTCTTCTTCCCGTAGCCAGAGCCCAGCCGAAGGCGAAGGCAACGATAATCGCGGGCACTACGACCACCGCGGCCGCCACGCATGGTACGATGAGCGGGTTCCGCCGATGGCGCTATGGGTGGCAGGCAACGACGACCTCGTCGACGGGCGGCGACTACTGCGGCGCTTCGAGTGCGGCCGCGAGCCCTACGTCGACGTGGTGCACAGCAAGATCATCGAGGGGTACGAGCACCTCGACGTCATCTGGGCCATGGACGCACTGGACAAGGTGGGCAAAGAAGTGCGCGAGGTGATCTGGCGCACGGCGCCCGAGGAGGCGCGCCGCGCGTGCAAGATGCCCAGCGAGTGCCAGGACCTGCAGCCGTACAAGCGGATGAACGGCCGCATCGAGGTCGACGACATGGGCGACCATCGCGCGCGCACCGGAGTCGATGCCAGTGCTGGCGAGTGGATCGAGGAGGTGCATCGCCAGACTGGGGACATGAGCGTAAAGGACGTGGCGACTGCGTAGGGGAGACAGACACAGACCCACCGTGCTCAACTTCCTAGGAAGCTGTTGCTTCCGTTTTCGTTTTTCGCCCCCAGCTTCCTAATGTTTTTTGATACCTGGTTGCATATGATCTTTTTGGTTGCGTAGACAGACTACTACACTTTGGATACACATGGCCCACGGGCTTTCATTTCACCATAGCAATATCGATACCTATCATTATCGTCTATATAACAGTACACACAGTTAAAGTGCGGTGTCCGGGACGGATGTGTCTCCGGGAAGTGATGTCGGTAGCCCTGTACGTGGTAGCACGACTTATGATCGGCTTTTATGCATACAGCGATTGATAACGCACAGGATACGGCAAAGAGGGCGGTTGGGGACGCGTAAAAAGTTCGCACAGGGCATGGACGCGTACACGCTAGGTACTAATATAGATGCTGTAACTAGTGCGAGTCATGAGGCATGGTGCGGGAAGGAAGCTAGCTAGGCGCCGAAGCAGGCGGGCCATGGTGAGGAAGAAGCAGAGAGAAAGAGACAACAGCAACCCCACAATTAGGGCGATCGCGGATGCGGGGAACAGCGGGCAAGCCCATCTGCCGCTCTCGCAGCGCGTGCCACGGCAGTCGGTTATGCGGGCGCGCCGCTTCGGAGGGCGGGCGCGGCAGGCCAGCGGCGTCAGCGGGGACGTGATTGGCTGGCGCGAGAGTGGAGGGGGAGGAGCTTGAGCTCTGGTTGCGCGTGCTACGTATGCCCTCCCCGCTGCTAGCCGTCGCGATCGAGGCACGATATAAGGGCCTGCGGGCCTGGGTGTGTGTGTGTGTGTGTGTGGGCGTTGCGTCTCCGGCTTTATCGTCTTCATCATACTCATAAGGTAACCTAGGGACTGAGCTCCGCAGCTGCTGCAGAATCCTTCGCGGCCTTTACCTATTATTGTCTACCACCACAACCACCACCAACGCAAAAAGCTTCAGCCATGGGCCTCGTCGAAGCCCTCTTCACGCCTTATGCCCTGCTAGCCGTGCCCGTCCTTTACTACCTCCTGCCGTATCTTCGCAACTGGTCCATCCGCGACATCCCCGGCCCTTTTCCCGCGCAGTTCACGAACCTGTGGCTGCTGTTCCAGTGCCGCAAGGGACGGCGCTACCTCGCCGTCAACGAGGCGCACGAGAAATACGGCAAGCTGGTGCGCATCCAGCCGCACCACGTGTCGGTCGCGGACGCGGACGCCATCCCCGCCATCTACGGGCACGGCAATGGGTTTCTGAAGAGGTGCGTATACCAGCCTTCGGACGCAGCGCGTGGACACAATGAGCTTACTGGTCCACGTCCTCCCGCAGCGAGTACTACGACGCCTTCGTCTCGATCCAGCGCGGCCTGTTCAACACGCGCGACCGCGCCGAGCACACGCGCAAGCGCAAGACGGTCGCCCACACGTTTAGCGCAAAGTCCATTGGCCAGTTCGAGCAGTACATGCACCATAACCTCGAGCAGCTGGTGCTGCAGTGGGACCGCATGGCGGGCTCGGTGTCCAGCGGATATGCGGGCTTGGACGCCCTGCACTGGTTCAACTACCTCGCTTTTGATATTATTGGCGATCTCGCGTTTGGTGCCCCCTTTGGCATGCTCAAGGAAGGCCGCGATATGGCGGAGGTCAGGGAGACGCCGGATAGCCCGCCCAAGTTCGCGCCGGCTATTGAGGTCTTGAACCGCAGGGGCGAGGTTTCGGGGTGAGTGGATGCTGGGGCCTTCGTGCTTGGAATGCGCGGGGATATGTTTGCTGATAGGTCCATCGCAGAACCATTGGCTGCCTGCCCCAGATCAAGCCGTACGCAAAGTACTTCCCCGACCCGTTCTTCTCCAAGGGCATGCAGGCCGTGGAAAACCTGGCCGGTATTGCCGTCGCACGCGTTAACCAGCGTCTGGCCAATGCGGATAAGGTTGACCGTGTGGACCTGCTTGCGCGCCTCATGGAGGGCAAGGATGAGAAGGGCGAGAAGCTGGGCCGCCAGGAACTCACCGCTGAAGCTCTGACGCAGCTCATTGCCGGCTCGGACACGACCAGCAACACCAGCTGCGCGCTGCTGTTCCACTGCTTGAAGAACCCGCATGTGGTCAAGAAGTTGCAGCAGGAGCTGGACGCAGCGATTCCTGACATCGACACGGTGCCCGAGTTTGCGCAGGTCAGGGACCTGCCCTAGTAAGTTTGGTCTTTCTTTTTTTCCGTCGTGGCGTATTCATCGCTTGCACGAGCAAAGGCTCTCAAGCACCGGCGCTAACATGGCCACCCAGCCTCGACGCCGTCATCAAAGAAACCATGCGCATCCACAGCACCTCGTCCCTCGGGCTCCCACGCATAGTCACCACCGCAGCGGGCATCGAGCTCCGCGGCCACCATTTCCCCCAAGGCACGGTGCTGTCGGTGCCCGCGTACACGATCCACCACAGCAAGGAGATCTGGGGCCCCGACGCCGACGACTTCCGCCCCGAGCGCTGGGAGAAGGTGTCGGAGACGCAGAAGGCGGCGTTTATACCGTTTAGCTTTGGGCCGCGCGCGTGCGTGGGCCGCAATGTGGCCGAGATGGAGCTCGCGCTTATTGTGAGCACCGTGTTTAGACGCTATGATTTTGAGCTGAGGCAGAGCGTGTTGGAGACGAGAGAGGGCTTTTTGAGGAAGCCGTTGGGGTTGGATGTCGGGATGCGGAAGAGGGCGGTTTGAGTGGGGAGTGTGCTTGGTGAGGACATTGACTTGGAGGTGTTGGGAGGCGTTGTTGTGCTTTCAGCGTGCTGCTGTTGTGCTAGCGGCACCATGCGGGTTCAAAAGTGGAGGGGCGATCGTTGTACAGTACGCGTCGCGAGTATTTATTTGTGCAGGCGCTGAACGATGATAGCTAAAATTTAGCAAGGACTTTATTTTTATCGAATGCTTTGTATTTGGATACCTATTTCCATGTACATGAGGTAAGCGGACATCGGTATCGCGTCATCGGCACCCGGCATCGTGTGGCGGGCAGTTGACATCGGCTCTACGGCACCACCACGACTGACACGACCTAGCGCACCACCATGTAGGAGTAGGCCCTGGAGGCCCTGAACCTGTATCAATCCAATCCAACCTCTGCAAAGAAAAAAAAAAAAAACCGTCCCAATGGCTCCAGAAGCGTCTTCCGGGAGCTATCTCATCGCCCGCGCGCTGCGCGACCTGGGCGTCACCGTCATCTTCGGCATCGTGGGCATCCCCGTCGTCGACATCGCCGAGCAGGCCATCAACCTGGGCATCCGCTTCATCGGCTTCCGCAACGAGCAGGCCGCCGGCTACGCTGCCACGGCATATGGCTATCTGACGGGCAAGCCGGGCGTGTGCCTCGTCGTGGGCGGGCCGGGAGTGCTGCACGCCATGGCCGGGGTACGTCAGAGCTCGGATACTACTGAGGCAGAACCTACCGTACCTATTTCTAGACGCTGACAAGCTACCTACGCTGCTGCAGGTCGGCAATGCCCACGCCAACGCCTTTCCTCTCCTGCTGCTTGCTGGGTCCAGCGAAACCCACCTCGTCCACAAGGGCGCCTTCCAGGAGCTCGACGCCGTGGCCCTGCTCGCGCCGCACACGAAGCTCGCCGTCCGCCCGCCGAGCCTGGACGCCATCCCGCAGAGCATAGAAACGGCGTACCGGTCGTCGTGGTACGGCCGGCCGGGCACGGCGTTTGTGGACCTGCCCGCGGATATTATCCAAGGCACGGCCGCCGCCGACGACGCCCACGACATTCCGCATGCGCGCCTCCTGCCGGCACCGCCTCCCAGCGCCGGCGACAGCGCGCGCCTGTTCGCCGTGGCGGAGCTGCTGCGCTCGGCCAAGGCCCCGCTCGTCGTCATCGGCAAGGGCGCCGCGTACGCGCAGGCCGAAGTCGAGATCCGCGAGCTCATTGAGCGCACGTCGCTGCCGTTCCTGCCCAGCCCCATGGGCAAGGGCGTCGTGCCGGACTCGCATCCGCTGAACGCGGCGTCGGCGCGCTCGACGGCGCTGCAGCACGCCGATGTCGTGCTCGTCCTGGGCGCGCGCCTCAACTGGATCTTGCACTTTGGCGAGGCGCCCAAGTGGAACCCGGCTGCGCGCTTCATCCAGGTCGACATCGCGGTCGAGGAAGTGGGCCGCAACCGCGGGGACCCGGAGACGAGCATCGTCGGCGACCTGCGCATCGTAGTGCCGCAGCTGCAGCAGCAGCTCTCGAACTGGCGCTACAACGCCACGGACTCTGCGTTTGTGAAAGCGCTCACAGCCGCGCGCCGCAAGAACGAAGCCAAAGCCGCGCAAGCCGCAGCCACACCCTCGCAGCCCCTGAGCTACGCCCACGCCTTCGCCACCATCAAGCACACGCTGCACAAGCTCTCGCCCCCCGCCGACGGCGCCGTCGTCTACGTCTCCGAGGGCGCAAACACCATGGACATCAGCCGGTCGGCGTTCCCAGTCGAGCACCCGCGCCTGCGCCTCGACGCGGGCACGTCCGCGACCATGGGCGTCGGCCTGGGCTACGCGATCGCGGCGCACGAGGCGTACAACAGCCCTGCAGCGGCAGCAGGCTTGCGGACCGCCCCTCCGTCCCGGAAGAAGATCGTCGCCATTGAGGGGGATTCGGCGTTTGGGTTTAGCGCGATGGAGATCGAGACGATGGCGCGGTATCGCATGGACGTGCTGGTGTTTGTGGTCAATAACGGCGGCGTGTATCACGGGGACAGTGACAGCGCGGAGGAGTGGGTGCGCTTGCAGGAGGCTACGCTGAATCCGCATGGGGCGGCTGGGAAAGACGGCGCAGATCCGTCTTCGCGACAACCCCAACCCCACCTCCGCAGCACAAGCCTCGGCTACGAAGTGCGCTACGAGAAGCTCGCGCAAGCGTGCGGGGGATTGGGCTTCTTTGTGCGCACGGCAGAGGAGCTGGCAGCCGCTACGGAGGCGGGCTTTAAGGCCCGGGTGCCGGTCGTCGTGAATGTGGTTGTCGAGAGTGGCAGGGGCGGGAAGCTCGAGTTTGGGTGGCAGGCTGCTGGTGCGAAGAAGGGGAAGGGGAAGGAGGGGAGGGGTGGGAAGAAGGGGGGGGAGGCCAAGTTGTAGTGCGTGCGTGTGTGGGGTTTGGGCGGGTTTATATATATGTAAATGTTCGATAAGGTAGGTAGGTAGGTAGGTAGGTAGGTAGGTAGATCTCTGAATTCCTTGCAGTGTACCACCCAAGCAACACCAACGCACCCCAAAACACCTCCCAAACCCCCAAACCCCATGAACCATAAACCATAACTCCCAACGAAAGAAGAAAAGTAAAAGTAAAAATAAACAATCAAAAGCGTGGATTAACCCCCTACCCCTACCTCTACCCCTAAGACGCAGACCCACCACCACCACCAGTAACCCAGACGCGCCTGACCCAGCCCGCGTCCTCGTCTTCGTCGCCGTCGCCGTCGCCGTCCTCGTCCTCGTCCTCGTCCTCGTCACCTACGGCGCCTGAGCGCGAGCGTGCACGCGTCCGCGACGTCGTCGCCGTCTCAACGACAATGACGACGTCGCGCCTGATGCCGCCGGTAGGCGTGGGCGTGGGGGCGTTGGGCTCGTCTGCTTCGTGCTGGTGGTGATGGTGGTGTGCGACGTCCACGTCCTCGACTTCCGCGTCAAGAACCAGATCGACTTTCGCGTCGCCACCCCTACCCAACCCGCCCTCAACAAGCACGACACGCGCGCACGCATCCAACCCGCCTTTGACATCGTCCACGTCCTTGACATCCTCCAAATCCCCCATCTCAACATCCACCTCCTCAATCCCCTCTAGCGACGCACCGGCCCCGCCATCCGCGCGCATGTCGTCTCGGCTGCGCAGTCTGCGCCCCCGCCTCCCGCCTCCACCGTATACGCGCCGCTCCCAGCTGCCGTTGAAGCCGACGCTGCTGTAGCGCGTGCCGTCCCAGACGCCGCTTACCCTGCCGTTGTACCCACCTTTACCGTATCCGTCCTTGCGGCCGTACACACCCCCGCCATACACGCCCCGGCTGCTGTAGACGTTGCGGCTGTACACGCCGCCACTGGAGCCGTCGTCGGCGCAGCCCGAGCCAGGCACGCCGCGCGTGCGCAGGCAAGGGAACCATTCGCGCAGCAGCGGCCAGAGGAGGGGCAGGTTGAGGAGGATGGCGGCGTAGGAGGCGCCGCGGGGGAGCCAGAGGAGGGCGGGGGCGGCGTTTGTGGCTGGGGAGGCGAGGGTGAGGAGCGGGGAGAGGAGGAGGGCGAGGCTCTGCGAATGGGGGGTTAGTGGTGGTGGGATGGGAAGGAAAGGCAAGCCAAGGAAAAAGGAACAGCACTCACGACGAACAGCCCCGCTGCCCCCCAGCCCAACAACCCCGCCAAGCCCGCTCCTCCCCCACGCCCCACCATCCCCAGCACCAGCAACCCAAGCGCCAAAGTCGCGCCGTCAGCCGAGAGTTCGAACGCCGCCAGCGTGCCGGCAAAGGCCGAGCGGGTCGCGCACTGCAGGTGGGGGACCGGCAGGGCCCAGTTGGCGGCGAAAGGGATGCAGGCGCAGAAGAAGGCCAGCTGCATCGCGAGGTAGCCGACGAGCGTGTATGCGGCGAGAGCGCGCGTGAGGCTGTGCAGGAGGCGCGAGCGCGGGTGCGGTTTTTGCGGCGCTGGGGCCAGGGGTGTCGGTGGTGGTGGGGCGGGGGGCATCAGCCGCGTGTAGTGGAGCAGGAGGCAGAGTCTGAGTAGTACGAGGGTGTGCAGCTGTGCCTGGCGTTGGAGATGGAGTTAGCGGGTGGTTGGGGTAGTGGTGGGGGGAGGGGCGTTGAGCTGGTGTTGGATATATATATGTGTGTGTGTATGTGTATGTGTATGTACACACCAACATACCTGCTCCATAAGCACGACCATCTTCGCGCCCTCGACACGGGTAGCAACCTCGTCAGCCGCGAACTCGACAACGCGGTCCCCGGGGCGAAGAAGATTTGTCGCGCCAGCAGCCGCGACGGCATTCACGCTGCCCACGAGCAGCGTGTACCAAGCCTGCGCGCACACACGGACATCAGAAGAAAAGCGGGCGGACGGCAAGGGGGGGTGGGAGCGCGGCGTGACGAAAAGGGAACGCTTTCGTCACGCGCGCGCGGGTCGGCGCACCGCTGCCAGGACCATCACGTAGTCGTCTGCTTGGAGCTTCTTGAAGCCGATGCGCGACGTGCGCGCGTACCTGGGCTGGGGCGTTAGCGGGTTGGTTGCTGGAGACGTGGGGTATGGGTTGGAGGGTTGTTGTACGCACATCCGGAAGAAGATGATCGAGATGCCGATGCTGTATAAACACCAGGACTCTGTCGCCAGCGCCGTCTGGAAGTCGTCGTCGAAGCTCGCCATGCTTGCCGTTTGCGCTGGCCAGTCGAATAGGATGCAGTAAGGTAGGTAGGTAGGTAGGGAGCAGTGCCGTGTGGCAAAGAACAGTGCTCAGTGGCACATGCTAGAGCAGGAGTGTCGGGGCAGCAGCGCGCAATCACGCAACAAGGAGCGAGCCTTTTCCCGGCAAATGGAAAAAAGAATAGAAATAGCAGAAACCGTCCTAATAGCAACGGCAATGACAGAGACAGCGACGGCGACAGCAAAGATACAGAACAAACCCCAACGCGCCCCCCCAGCGCACCTACCTCAGTTTATACACCGCGCCAGAAGCCCCCAGAGGATCAGCCTACCTACTCGAGCTACGTTAGCAGCACGAGCCAGAGAAGCAACCGCAGGTAGTGGCAGGGCCCAGGGATGCGCGGGCGCTAAGCCGCGTGCCTGATGGCCGTTTAGCCTCGTTTAGTCTCGACCAAAGTACTCCCTGACTCTAGAGTAGAGTAGGCAGCGGCGAGAGGGGTCGCGAGTCCGCTGCGCCGCTGCGCGCTAGCTCGGCGCACGCCGTCTTGTTCCCGTCAGGCCGCGTGCCTGTGCTGGTGCTGGCGCTGGCGCGACCGAGGAACGTCGACGCGGCCCGTCTTGACGGTTAGGCTGGTTTGGGGTTGGGGCTGGGGTGGACATGTGAGAGTGAGAGCGCGGGAGCGGGAGAGAAGAACGATGAAGCTTGAGAGTCTGGTGCTGGAGGGAGAGATGGAAGAAAGGAAAGGAAAGGAAAGGAAAGGAAACAGCGTAAGTAGATGTCAGACGCACACTCCTCAAACCCATCACCCACGCACCTGCCTATCCCCAACCCCTCAAGGTGCTTACCAACAGAGCAGCAGCAGCAGCACGAAGGAAGACGCCATCCATCGGCCTGACCCCCGAGCGCTTCATAGCTGTTCCGATCATCTGCATAGCGCTTGCCCGCACCAACAGCCACAGCCCATCCTGCTCTACACCACCAGCACGCCACAAGCAAGCAAGCAAGCACTCTAGTGGGTGGCTGTGGCTAGGTACTCGTAGTACGCAAACCCGCACCGAGCCGCGGCGCCCACCTTGTCTAGCCGCTCAAAGCCGATCCCCCCGCGCCAAGGAAGACGACGACGACACCGCCCACGACGCCGCCAGCGAGCCCGCTAAGCCGCCTTCGGAGGCGCGGCGCAGCGACGACACCAACACCACTGCATGCATGCCAACCAAGGCTGCTCCGCTGACCTCATCACTCGCGCCAGAAGGAAGGCTGTGGCGCGGTCTAGAAACCCGCTCGCTCGAGTACTTGGCTGTACGTATGCCCAGAACACTTACTTGAGCTGAAGGCACGACGCACGCAGAACGAGAGGTGGTGATGGCGCTGCGCTGCTGACTAAGCCAAGGTACACGCGACCACCTAGCTAGCTACGTGCGCGCGCTTTCTTCTGCTGCTGTTTTCCTACGTGAGTGAAGCGGAAAAGCAGGCGATAAGACAACCTCAACTTACACTTACGTCCTCCTTCACTTACTCCTGTGCTCTACACACCTCAGTATACTATTCCCTGGGTATTGCATCTTGGACAGAACGGATATTAACGGGAATATCAAATATATAAACGGTATCGAGCAGCCATCACACGTATACAAAGATACGCATTCGATCGACCTCCTAAGTGGTGGTGTTGTGCATGGTGGTTTCTACCTACCTACTGCTATTGGCTACCTGATACTCGACCTACCTACTTACCGCCCGCTCCAGCACCACTCTTCACTCTTCACTCTTCACTCATCACTCAGCCAGGGCAGCAAAGCAAAGCAAACAACCGAATCCACCCTCATCCCCCACCCCCTCACACACCCCCAGCACGCGCATACGCGGCAACCCACTCGCGAAACCTGCGCGCATCCTCCCTCATCGGCGGCACAACCTCGCCCCTCCGCACCCGCCTCGCAAACGCGCGCGCCGTCTCCCTCGCCACGACCGCCGCGCTCTTCTCTCTAGCAGCAGGGCGCGCGTCCTCTTTCTCCTCGTCCTTCAGCAACGGCGTAGGCGGCGGTGGTGCGAGCTGCAGCGAGAAGCGCGGGAGCGCTTTGGGTTTCGTGCTGCTGTTGTTGGTGTTGATGTTGGTGCCGCGGTAGTGTGGGAGCGGCGGTGTGGGCGTGGCGGTGGCGGTTGTGGTGTGGACATCGTCGTCAGCTTCGTTGTTGTCGGTGGCGACGGTGGTGGTGTCAGTGTTCGTGCCGTCGCCCTGCTCGTGCGTGCTCGGGCCCGGACTTCCGGTGAAGAGGTAGTCGAGCGCGGCGTCGCTGTCCCCGGGCGTCGAGGCGCGGGAGGGAGACGCAGCGGGGTCCATGAAGACGCAGCTGGCTGAGGACTTAGTCGCAGCCGCGATCGCTGTGGTAGGCGGCGTGCAGGCGCGCATGAAGGCTGTCAATGTAGACGTAGATGTGGATGTGGATGTGTACTTGGAAGTGTGCGTATTCTTGTTGGTTGGAGTGGCGTCTTCTGTGTCGGTGGACGTGTCCATGAAGATGTCGTCGTCGCTGGGCAAGCTTACGCAGAAGCCGCTGATTCTTGGACTGCGAGCCTTGTGCGCGCGTGTGCTGCTTCCCGGTGTAGGTGTGCGCGTGCCTGTGGCGAAGGATGGGTATCCAGCTGCGGAAAGTGAAGCGCTGGCTCCAGTGGTTCCCTCGAACCCGAATACGGTGCCCTCGGCATCCATATCCTCGTCCTCGTCTTCAAACACCCCTTCGTTAGAGCACTCCACGAACCTGTAGGCAGTGGTGGCCCTGCCACCAAGTGTCGTGGCGCAAGCAGCAGCAGCAGCAGCAGCAGCAGCAGCAGAGACGGCTGCATCAGTGAGCAGTCTCACGCCGCCCTCCTCCTCCCTCGACCCATCGCTCCCCGTCTCGGAATTCGCATCTTTCACTCCCTTCTCAACATCCACACCTCTCTTGCCAGAACCACCAGCAGGGCCGTTCCCTCCATTTCCACGCCCCAAAACACCAGCACCCACTCCCACCATCTTAGCACCCAGCCGCGCAATCCCAGGTACCCAAACAACCGCGCTCCGGAAAGCCTCGAACACGCAGCTCGAGCACGTGCGGCTGTGGTGGTTAAGCCGTGCTTTCTTGCGCTTTCTAGGGTAGTCTTCTGTGACGTGGGCGTGGTCGTCTCGAGCGTAGCCGTCTCGAGCGTGTCCGTCTCGGGCGTGTAAATCTCCAACGTAGTAGCAGTGAGCGCAGACCTTCACGTCTTCCCTCCCTTCGTCCTCCTCGCAGCCCGCAAGTCTCAAATCCCTCCCGACGGGCTCGTTGTAGCAGTTGCGAACGCTCTGGCCCTTCAAGACGCGGGTGCAGAAGCCGTCAGTATCGCCACGCCGCTCGCTCGCAGCAGTGTCGCAGTCACATACACAGACCCGCCCGTCGTCGTCGTAGTGCTTTCCTCGCGTAGGGTCTCCCGCCGGGCCTCCCGCAGAAGCGGAAGCTAGTGCGCCCGTGGACCGCGGTAGCGCCTGCCGCGTTGGTGGTGTTGTCGTCAGGGACGCACGGTGCTCGGAATCCGAGTCCGTCCGCGCGCGCGGCGGCGACGTCTGCGCCAGCGGCGTGTATTTCTGCGCTTGTGCCATGGTATTAAGCCAAGGGTGCGGGATGGAAGCTTTGGGGTGTGTTTCGTAGGTACCTAGGTATAGGTATTTGAAGGAGCGAGGGAGTTTGGGGTTTAGAGTTTGGAGTTTGGAGTTTGGGGAGCGGGTGTTTTTG